TAGAGTGAAGTGAGAACTAAGTAAAGCCTTTTTGTGTTAAAAATATCAGTAACTAAAACAGTGAGATGTGTTGGTAATGAAAACAATAATATTTGAATAAGTTTAAGTTATGAAAATGCTAAAGGGGCTGCTGCATGTACATGAATCTAATGGGGTCATCTTATAATGATGGTAACTACCAACGAACTGGTAGTCCACCAGGGTACTGTGTGGTTGCACCACAGGATTGACTTGTACAGTTCCGGTTGTAGTGTTAAAACTTGGACATTGTTTAGTTGTCTTGAAATACAATCTGAAATTATCCTTGCCTATTGAAGATGAATTTATATAAAATAACTTACTAACTAAGCCTGAAGTTGGCCAAGGTAAAAGAGAAGATTGGAAATATTATTCTTTGAAATGAAAATCCGGTTCGTAAGCTAAGTGACTATTTTTTGTATTGTTAATATTTATCGTGAGTGTTAATCTTACAATTCAAGCTGATTCCATTTAACAGTATACACTGGTTATTTTGACAGTGATTGTATTTTACTTTACTTAGCGTTTAAATTTATATTCCAAGATTTTTAAGAGATATAATTTCCTCAAGCTTGGCTATCTATATGGAACAATAATTTGAATTTATAACTATAGAATCTAATGAGAAATTAATGAATAGAATATTTCTCATTCATATATCTTCAAATTTCTTCGTATTATTATCAATCTCTTCCACTATGGAAAACATTCAAACTATAGTGATCACATTATGACTTAAACGATTTTTATAATTTTTTTTATCATCTTATACTTCATATACCTGTGTTCTGAATTGATCATCCATGCCAGTTTCGATGTTGACATTGAATATCTCTTTAACTGTGAATGTTATTTGTGGTGAAGAGCTATTGAAAATGTCAATTTACTAAGGTTGTATTCTTCAATGAAATCTTTTAGATTTCATGATATTTACACTATTATGATTACAAATATGTTTTTATATAATGGGCTATTTAAATAATCAATTTTCATTAATATAGGGAATTTGAGGAAGACGTAAAATCTCCATAATTTAGATCATTAACTGATCTAAGTTAGACCATCATTGAAAACGTGTAAGCACTAGATGATCGTTTCATCCTAGTTTTGGACTCATCAAGAGTGCATATCCATGAACCCAAGATTGATTATCGAAACCCGAACCTTCAGTTTCACGCTCTAACGCTTGACCACAAGAATAATGAGCCAACATCCGATAGTATACTGCGCACACCTCATCTATCGCCTTATGCGGATAACCTAGTGTTATGGTCGTAGATGTGCATGGCTGAGGTACCCCATATTAGAACCAAACAAACATCCAATGCTTCCAGTTTTTTAATGGTGGTTTAGCGTTCATGATTTTAAAAACGAGGATAAACTTTGGTCAAGAATGAAAATCAGCATTAAAATTTTAGATTACAGTGTTTTACCCAGACAGAAACTTTGTGTTCGGACTAATTAGAGAAACTGACTTCATTAATAATCATTCCTAGTGTCGATACATAATCCGTAGTCGCTTGTGAGATCTATTAGGAGTGTTCCTGTTCTTTTTGGGACTTTAATCTGCATGTTTATTCATTTAATGTGTAAAACTAAACCTAGTGCTTACAGCTTCGGGCATCTGCCTCAAGTTCCAAGTGCCGTGCATACGCTGATCTTTCATTTTCCCTATTTCCTTGAGGATTCCAATTGAAAGAATATTTTGTAATGCTGTTAGATGATTCCTGCATTATGAGCCCTATCTATCTTCAGAGTCTTTTCATAAATTCCTTCTCAACTTGTGGCCGCTTCATTTTCTGATACAGAGGGTTGTTACCAAAGGTGAATAGCATGGAGTGTGAGTATCTTGCGTAGGCTATACTTACCAATTTATCTACGCCTGTTACCCCTTGTAGAGCATAGGCCATCGATCAACATTCTCCAACCAACTCCGCTCCAGTTCTACCAAAATGCTATTTATTCTTTTCATTTTTGCCTCTTGTCTATTGGCCTTACGGATTCCAAGTTAGGCCTTGACTCGTGATACGATTGCGTGATTTCTGCAACATGTGTCCTATCCATCTACAGCACTTTTCCTCAGTTTCTTATTCAGCTGAAAGCTTGTTTATTCTCGCCCACTGTAGATTGTTGTTGGTGATGTTTGGTCAACAGATCTACAGTTTACTGTTTAGACAACTGTAAATAAACACATGTACCTTTTGGATGGTGGCTTGAATAGTTCACCAACTTTCCATCCTATTCAACAGACAAATCTCGATGTTCGTATTGAAAATTGCCGCTTTGTTATTGGTTGACAGTTGTTCTGATTACCGGCTGTTGTTCAAATATCAATATGTTGCGTTCGCTCCTCCAATTCGTGTCTTCACATCTGCATCATTGTTACCGTGATCATCTGTGATGCTGTCCAGGTTTGTGAAGGTTTACACACTTTCCAGAGCTTCTCCATCAAGTTGGATTTGGTTGACATATACTGCATCGTTTTTTCCCTTGTTTATGCTGAGACAGAGGCTGCTGCTACACTGGCCATCTTCCCTTGCATTTACTGCTGCTTGTGGGATAGAAGTGCTAGATCATCTGCGAAGTCTAAATCATCCAGCTGCATCACAGCTGTCTACTATATCTCGTACTTCCCCTCAAAAGTTGACGTCTTCATAATCCAGTTGACCACTAGGAGAAGGAGTGAGAGTGAGCGACCTTGTCTGAAAACGGTCTTTACTTGGAACGAGTCTGTCAGCTGTCCTCCATTCAGGATCTTTCAGTTTTATCTATCATAAGAATTCCTTGTGGTATTGACTAATTTCTAAGTCATACCGTGGTATCAAGGAAGCCTCTATAGCGTCATCCTGTCCACCCCATTAAATGCATTCTCATCGTTAAGGCAGCTGATATAGAGTGGTAATTTGCATTCGTTTGATTGGTCCACATTGATCCGTAGTGCCGCACTTCAGTAACTACGTGATCGATCCTTACGGAATCCAGCCTGCTGATCTCGAAGTTGGAAGTCTACTGAAATTCATTCCGTTAAGCAAAACCAAGTGGAAAGATTTTCCTGGTACTGATAGTAGTGTAACGATTCTATAGTTCTAAAACCTACGAAGACGTCCTTTCTCTAACATATTGATGAGGTGTCTTTCTTTCCAATGTCTTGGTACTTGTTCTTGTTCTCCAGTCTTTCTAAAGAGAGCGTGGAGCATACTCGCATTTGTTTCTATATCTGCTTTCAGTGCCTCATCTGGTATTTTGTCAGGTCCTGCTGCTTTGATGACCGATGGGTTTAGTGGGGCTAGTCTATTCAAATGTTCTTCATAGTGCTCTGTACTTGGAGCTCGGCGACCGTTCGTTTTGGTTGACCATATTTTCTAGTAGGCTTCTTCATTCTTCACTTCTTAAATCTTGATCGGATGACCAGTACAAACTCACACATTATGATCGTGTTTCTTGCACCAAATACAACCTAGGATATTGAACTGATAGCTGCTTTAATCCCTTTTCGGGTGTTTTCCACAGTAATTTCCTTTTCTTTGAGTAGATCTTGTAAGACTTGGGACTTACTGCTGACCGCTATTTTGAATTCAGTGTGTTTTTAAGAATCGAGAAGGGCTGGATCAAACTCTTGAAATGCTTTCTCCAGTTTTCCAGCGCTTAGCCAGCTTCGTTAATAGAAGAGTAAATAAGCTCTTTCCACACCCATTACCAGACTCACATGCACTTTAGAAAAACCAATCTTTTTTAGTTTATTTATTCTGCTAAATAATTAATAAAAGTTATTTATCTACTGATTCCTCTTTAATAATCAACTATCTTGATGATAAAATAAAAATTAAAAGATACAAACACCAACAGTAAAGCCCTAAAAAGCAGTTATCTTCATCTTGACATGAAGAACGTCACATTTATTTTATGTTTCACTAAATTTTAACTTTTCAGTCAATCTCTGGAAAATGGAAGTAACTAATTACTTATTAGTGTAAGTGGTTAGTGATGATTGCTGAATTTTTTAGTTAGCATCATGACCTTAGTAAATTTCAGAGTTCTAATGGAGATCGACAGATCAATAACATTAAAGAATGTTTGTGATTAATGTTAAGTAACTGGTTAGAAGTATAAACTATTGGATTCTGACTCTGTAGTCTGAAGATTAAGTTCTCACTTCATGTCAAGAAAATCCTAGGTACCATACCCTATGAGAGTGATGATACACACTTCTGAGGAGTTGCGCACTGCAACGAAAGGGTTGTCTAATGCCCCTTGGTTTTCAATGGTTATTTAACTACAAACAATTTATAATGTAAACGATTGAATGCTGTTCTGGATCGTTTGGATTCAGTGGATAAATTAGGTTAGATAGAATCTATTGAATCAGGATAAGCCAGAAGTTAGTAGTGGATTAAATTATAAAAATATCATAATAGATAAGCACTTAAGGCAGAATTTTGTGACTGTTTACTTGAATAACCTTTAGGATGAAGGATTAAGATTTCGTTTGAAAGCTTATTGTAGTTTACCATAATCCTCGGTTGAGTACTAGTCAGCTTCAACAGTCAACAGATATCAGACACTAATGAACTGTACATAGAAATTAATTTTTTCAAAATAACCATTCTCCCGAGTATAATAACGCATAATGTTTACTGTTAAGAATGATGCCTTTACTCTTATCTAACATTGTGAACAAAGATTAGACTATATAATGAATCGATCAAAGTTAAAATACAGATAACTGTGTTCCAAACTAATGATTAAACGGTTTTACTGCAGTCGAGAAACCTAAAAATTATGAACTCGATTTCTTGTAAGATAGTAAATGCTCACTTCTAAGTGATTACAAACCAGGAGACCATAGCTAACTGGTATTTTTTACTTTCCAATGGTTTTCCATGTAATGTCTTTATTGGTGAAAACTGTCTGTACACAACAAACTTCACCAATTGATCTCTTAATCTGAATTATATTTCAAGTCGTGAAAACTAGGATTTAATATGTATTCTTCAGTTTGGTATCCTTTTCAAAGAACTCAAGGTTTCTGTGGCGAAAACATCAATGCTCAACAGCGTAAGCGAAAACTATGGACCAGAAAGTTACAGGAAAAATGTGATAAACAAAATAGCTATATTTTATTCACTTAAAGCATAGTTTTAATTTTGTATCAAAATACTCACTAAGCTATGAAACAAAGAAAAATTCAGGGATGTGATTTTCTTTTCAGAAACCTTATTCTCAAGCTGGAGAAATGCAAAATGATCACTCACTTATTTAATACTAGGGCTCATTTAGTGTATGAATTTGCACAACATAGGAAAGATTTTTTGTGTACAAGTAATCAGACATAAATTTATTGAGTTAGCAAGTCAAATATTATTAATCTGATGAGATTAAATGACACAACAGCGATGAATAATTAATAAAGCGAAAATGTGCAGAAATATTGATTATTATATGAAGAGCAAAAAGAATATAAAAATGACAAGACGAAAGACAAAATATTTTCTGGGTTAGAAGGCTTGAACACTTATGAAAGTTACATTCTCGGAAAGATAAGGAAATGAACAGAGTATTGACTTCTATGACCTCTTCAGTCTCAAGCAATTCCAGGAGCAAGTATTTTCGAGAAGTTTGGTAAATACGTTTGGCTATTTACTCTAAAATGGATTTCAACACATTCTGAACTAACTATACTTCAACTAAACTGAATTGCTGAATGCAAGTTTTCTATTGTTGAGTGAATTTACTACTTATTTTTCGCTTTATATCATATCCTTAGGGATGAGAATCTCTTCATTGAATGTTATTTTAATTACATCATAATGAAACGTAATTCATACAATATTTTCATGAACAGTATCATCGAATCAGTCCAGCAAGACAGTGGTGATATAATCTTTGAGATCTTTCAGATAAATTATTTTTACACAAAAACAAATTCTTAGCTTTATTGACCAAAAAGATATTATGAAATTATACCGAAAGTATCGAAAACTAGGACGCTTGAAGAAACGTTTGAGGGTGGGAATTTTTATTTGACACTAGTTCTATTGACATTGTATTAAAATAACTCAAAATGTTCTTATTAATTTACCAATAGGCAATTCAAGTACATTAGTGACAACACAGGGAACAACAGTCGGAACGAATGTAACAGATCCAGTTACGTTAACAACTGTAGCAACAACTATAAAAACAGCACCAAATATAACACAAATATCTTTGCTGTTAAGTGCTACGACAAGTGTGAATTTGAATAGTTCATCGTCTACTACACCCAGTCCTACAACTACTGTTATTAATACAACTATCACTAGTCCTACTACTGCTGTGGTTAGTACTGTTTTTAGTCCTACCATTACTGCTACTGCTACTACTACCTCAACGACGAAAAATTCAACTACTACTAACACAGCCACTAGTGTTAACACAACTACCACTAGTCCTACTACTGCTGTGGTTAGTACTGTTGTTAGTCCTACCATTAGTACTACTGCTACTACTACCCCAACGACGAAAAATTCAACTACTACTAACACAGCCACTAGTGTTAACACAACTACCACTAGTCCTACTACTGCTGTGGTTAGTACTGTTGTTAGTCCTACCATTAGTACTACTGCTACTACTACCTCAACGACGAAAAATTCAACTACTACTAACACAGCCACTAGTGTTAACACAACTACCACTAGTCCTACTACTGCTGTGGTTAGTACTGTTGTTAGTCCTACCATTACTGCTACTGCTACTACTACCTCAACGACGAAAAATTCAACTACTACTAACACAGCCACTAGTGTTAACACAACTACCACTAGTCCTACTACTGCTGTGGTTAGTACTGTTGTTAGTCCTACCACTAGTCCTACTACTGCTGTGGTTAGTACTGTTGTTAGTCCTACCATTAGTACTACTGCTACTACTACCTCAACGACGAAAAATTCAACTACTACTAACACTACCTCTAGTATTAACACAACTACCACTAGTCCTACTACTGCTGTGGTTAGTACTGTTGTTATTCCTACCATTACTACTACTGCTACTACTACCTCAACGACAAAAAATTCCACTACTAATACTACTTCTACTACTAACACAAGTTTGATTAGTTCTACTACTGCTGTGACGACTACTACTCTCAGACCTACAACATCTGTTGTCTCCAATATTCTCCAGGGTTTATTGACTTCAGGAACTTCAACTGGTAAACAATGAATAATACTTCATTGTTCTTAATATTTAACTAATGTGTATAAGACTTAGTATTTATGAAACAAGTTAAAAGGGTAGTTCAGTAACTATGTTAGGCGAAACTGTTGAATGCAGCTTGTAAAAGTTCTCAGGAATTTGTTGAAAATGCCAAGTATCTCTTTAAACATAGTGATAGTTGCAAATTAAAATGTTTCACTTGTGATATAACTATTGATACAGTGGCTTTCAGAAAAACGGTCCTGTTTACAATGAAATATATTATAGTTAAAGTCGGCAATCCAAACCTGAACTTTTACGTGGATTTACAGGAATAACGTCACTGTATGCCAATCGATCATCACTAGACCCTATTATTATTTTCCCTCCATTTCACTTTTGGTTGGAAGACATAGTTGTAAAAGATATTATTTGAGTATCCATGAAATCTGGTTAGATTTGTCTCTGTTCCGCTGGTAAAAACATGCCTGAGAAAAAAACCGATATCTCCTGTAAAAATGACGGGTCAACTACACATCTATAATCATGAACTGACCATTGATCAATAAGAACAACCGTAATCACACGCTCATCAGTGACTGGGCTCTGAGATGGAGTTCACTAAGCTTTATCAGTCGAACTGGAGGTGAGAAAAATGGTAATAAACACTTTTAAATAGAAGCCGCTTTAAAACGTCAATATATCAAGTTAGAAAATTTGCACCCATCAACTTCAACTTAGTGTCTGGATGATATGTTTTCCCTAAGGTCCTAAAATTCTTAACTTGTTCTTGTGTACTTTGAGAAACGTAGGAAAGTTTCTAACATTTATCTATTGCTTACAGGATTCTACTGGTTCTTTAAATGAGGTCGATCAAGACTAATAACTGTATTCACTCTGAAAACATTGTAAACGAGTTGAACTTTAAATTGGTGTTTATTTCTGTTTTTATTAACAGGTGTTACTTCTACGAATACGTCTACCAGCAGTCCTAACACTACCAGTTCGAGCATTATCCCCAACACCACAACTGCAAGCAGCAGTCCTAACACTACCAGTCCGAGCATTATCCCCAACACCACAACTGCAAGCAGCAGTCCTAACACTACCAGTCCGAGCATTATCCCCAACACCACAACTGCAAGCAGCAGTCCTAACACTACCAATCCGAGCATTATCCCCAACACCACAACTGCAAGCAGCAGTCCTAACACTACCAGTCAGGGCATTAAAACCACTGCTATCAGTCTCATTGAAACCACCAATGGAATCATACCAACGTCTAATATAAAATTACCGTCTTTTGAAGATGATTCAGGTCCAAAACCAATTCAACTTCCAGTTCCAAAATATGAACTGCCTACTGAAGATTTAATAAGTATGGAGACTTGTATTAATCAGAAGTTTACTGAATTTGTTACTTTTAAATTAATTCATAGTTTTTAATGAATAAATTAAACTTATTTACATTAAACTACAGCATTAAAGTGCGTCACTCGTCTATAGGTTATACAGTAGTTGAAAGTTATTTGTAATAGTATTTAAATCCATCTGCAAATCCTATTTATCAGTTCACCAACCTCAATGTATTTGTTGTCTAATAAAGTATATTTAAGTAATGAGATTATTAAATGAAACTAAATTGACTATAATAGTTCAACTTATATTTATTTATAAGTGATAATTAGGAATTATAAAGAGACAGTAAAAAGATTTAGCTTTTTCAAGTGTTTTTGTGTGCTGATTGTTTGTTTTTCCAGATGATTTTAAACAAACATTTACTAGTGAATTCATTTGACGTAGAATTCTTTGTCAACAGGAGAATGATAATAATATTACAAAGTGTATCAATAGACTCATCATACTAGTTTATGTTAAGTGCTAGTAATCTCAATGTCTTCAAAGCGCTAAATATTTAAACTGGTAATTTGAAGACTACTTCTATCTCGATTGTTATATCATAGCATAAAGCTATACAAGTTATTAGATTTTAATTAATGGTGACAATAAAGGACATGTAATTCCTTTACGTTTTATTGTCATAAAACTAATGCTCATATACTGATCATGTAAAATATTTTAGAGCTATTGATATGATCCGCTTTGATGATTGATGCATTCTTACTGATAAAGTACAAGTTTATTTATCTCCTGTTATACAAGAGGCAACTTATGTAACTCAGTAGTTTTGTAAAACAAAACCGCTAATTTGGAGGAGTCTTGGATACTAGAAATAGCAAGAATACTCTTCAGGTGAGTCATAAATAACGGAAATGATATTCCAAGTTCCGTAAATCGAAACTACTAATTTGATAGGTAATGTTGATGTGGTATTGAAGAAAATGTATGGTCGTCGGATTGCAACAACAGATTACGATGCATTACACTATGCGAGCGACGCTGCTTTATATTATTCTTGTTCTTCCCCTTACATATAGATGTTCGATATGAAAGTACAACAAATCACTATTGGTCATTCGAAAAAGTTTTAGGAAAACCATTTATCTTTGATCGTGCTCCAGACAGTAATATACTGACAAAATCGATATACGAGAGACAGAGGTTGTATGACAGCAAATTACGGAATGATGTTCGTATTAAAAGTGACTTAAATAACCCCGAAAATTCCTTATTTCTACCTTTAAATGGAACCTTGCCAGAAGGAAGATTAACTGCTCCTGGTATTGATAAATCTCAAAATAGTATTTACGTAAATATGAATGAGAACGAAAGTTGTGTTTGCCTGCTAAATGACATTACACGTGAACGATACTACTTCAAACAGTGTTTGTTAGATGTTAATGAATGTGATTATGGATTGAGTTTGTCTGTTTGGCTTCAATTCACCACAGAAACATTCAATCCAAAGGAAGTTATTATATCAACTGGTAAGCTCTGAATGTTGTTTATTACCTAATCTACGATTGATAAGCCGTATTGGTATTTAAAAGTATTTAATATTACGAATAACCTGGTGACACATGTCTTATAAAATCATATATAAAAACTAATGAACGTCATGAATCAGTTGAAGTTATAATCAAATGTGTTAAATGATGGCTCGCCAGTCTTGAGGGTCACGCGTTCGTGCATGAGACTGAAGGTTCTCTGTTGGAATCCCGTTTGTGGATCTGCAATGCAGAGAAATCTCATACTAGGATGAATTGGCCGCCTAGTGTATCCCCTTTTTCAATAGTAGTCTATCTAATAACAGAGATGATCTAAACTGCTAAATTTCTACGATCTCCATAAATCCCCTCTTTTAATATTAAATAAGTGTCAAGTTTAAAAATGTTCAAATAAACAGATAGTGATAAATGTGAATAAATTTTACGGCCTAGGTTGGTGTGACAGTTTCCTATTTTTTCCATATTATATCAAATTTTTCTCTTTAATATTTACAAAAGTCACTTTATTTTTACTTGAACTCCTATAAAACTGACCATTATTTATTTTCATATGAAATAGCTTGACTTCGCTTTTAAAATGTATAGTAGATTGCTCGGAATGTATGCTACAAATACGTGACATTTTAATGATTAACTTTGTCTTCTCATTACTCTATCAAAGTTTATCTATGTCCTTTATGCATTTAATATAGGCCTCAGTTCCAGAGGAGACGAAGAAGTGAAATTATGACTAAACTTTTTAACATCCTCCATTGGTTTCATACATATTTATCTCAAGTTAATAAGGATCCTAGATATCGACTAACTTAACAAAAATCATCAAATCGACAGCATTAGGTCATGTAGCAGAATTATCTTTTATAAAAATTGACGAACTTAATCTTCGTTCTATGATAGATGCATTGTGAAAGATAGTTTAATTTCAAAATATTAGTCATAAGTTAAAAAATTATAAATAATTTATCGTTATTCATATATGAATCACTATTTAAATGTCAGTCACTCTGGACGTCATTGTCACAACACTTTGAATAGCCAAAAAAAACTGAAATAATATTTTCATTAGAGTTGAGTTTCATTCTAGGACGAAACGGCGTCCATTGCTCCCAGGTTTCTAATGATGGTCTAACAATGATCGATTCTTGATTTCAACGAAATTATAATGTCTGGTTGCAGCTATTCATTATTAGTCATTTTGCTTCTAAGATTGCCTAAGGAATCAAATCATGGGGCGATATTCCTCACTTCGAAGACGGTCAACAAATCAGAACCTATTTCTCAAACTTACATTTGATAGCCTTGAAGAAATCTATCTGTGGTTTCAATATGTAGCAATAGCTGCTGCAACTATCTGAAGGAACTGTCTTGATAGTACAATAAAACACTAAAAATTTAGTGCTGTTTAATAGGTTTGCATCAATTACAAATAGCAATAACTAAAAATTTTATTAGTGGTCCACAGTCTCCTATGCCTTCCGCAACATCTGGTTCAGAGATAATGGATGATATCCAATGGCCTTAACCAGTGATCGAAATCGTGGGCTTTGAATAAGCACGTAAAGGTTATTCAAGTCAGTGACTGATCATTGATTACATCCCACTGCTTGGTGTCGCTTTCGTAATAAATATGCATTTTCCTGACAGTTGGATCAACATCCTTGGTTTAACGCTTCACTTTATTTTTTCCATGCTCATTTCATTAACTTCAATTTTCCAACCTTAGTTCAGGCATTGATTGATCGATAACTTCAGATAGCACCACATATATTATGCAACCAACAAGTGATAAATTCTGAGAGCGTAATTACGAATGATATGCATGGGGTGATTAAAATATTCATTTAAATTCTGTTGTTCACTTCTCACATATTAAAACTATAGCCCCAGAGAAAGGAAAAGGTTTTTCTCTTTTAATTAACAATGGGATGTTGGAATTTGAACTGAGGACAACAGATACTTTGTGGAAGGTTAGCAGTTCAATCACAAAAACATTAAATAAATGGATTAACATTGGTGTTGCATGGGGCAAAAGTGCACAAAGTATAAAAGTAAGTTTTTGATTAAGTTAGACAGTCATAAACTTAGTTTCCATAATCATTTCCAACAGAATAAGAACAAACTCGTTAAAAACTTTTTGATTAAAAAGATTGATTGCACTATCAGTCAACATAAGTCAGCCAGAATTAACCAAATGAGTGAAAGTTAGTCGATAATCAAAAAATAAGATGGCGTAGTGAGTGAAATAATTTTATTACGGCTATTTGTAATCCGGCAAAAGGATTTACTACATTCGTTCAATGTTTGTTCATACTTCCACAAGTCGATGTTACCTATTATCTTCCAAGTTCCTGAATATAAATGAAATGTTTAAGAATCATTCTAAAGTCAGTGTTTTTGGTAAATTTTAATAACAAAAATCATTTCTATTAAAAAGACGAATATTCTGACAAACGAAGTAATTTTATGTCTCTATATCATAGAAGCAGAGACTTGTTTAGCTGAGTAATTGAGACGGAATGTTTATAGAAAATATAAACTGTATTGAAGCAATTCACGTATTTGGATTTGATTGGATTTTGATTTGCTGCATAGACAGTAACAGAAGGACAGCAGCCATCTGAAAAATGTTGAGATGATGGAGGAACTTTGTAGCCCAGGTGGACGATTGTGGTAAAGTTTCTTTTTCTGAGCCGCATGCTTTGGTTCTGGAGCTTTCATTATTCTTCTCAATAACTTCATCAAAATTAACTTCATGTAGGAGTGAACTTTATCGAATTTCTCCACGTATGGCTCGTTACTTGTCCTATTGACCTCAATCTTTATTAGTTGTTATCGACCTTGAACCTGTCGTTGTCTGCACCTTTGTTTTGATTGTGTCCCTCTTTGATCTGGTTGTCAGTCCTATGTTTGCCTATTATTTTTCTGATCGGTTGGTAAATTGGATCGATGTAGATAGATGTGTTTGTTGAATGACAATTGACTTGAGTGCCAAGCTTCTGAAAAGACATACGTGGAGAAATTCGATAAAGTTCACTCCTACATGAAGTTAATGTTGATGCTGTTATTGAGAAGACTAACGAAAGCTCCACAACCAAAGCATGTGGCTCAGAGAACGAAACTCCACTGTATTCAGAAGAATGTTTTTAAATTTTGTGGATTTATTATCTGTATTCTTCTTGGAAAACAACATTCCATTAATATTAAGAAATATAATCATGAAATCAACTAGTTTATTGCAAATGCTTAGATATGATTAGATTTTTTCTATTAATTAATTAATTAACTACAAACTATTCATTACTCAGAATATTTCACAAATTGCGTACCAATTTGCATTATGTATAAATCATTTGCCTTGGAAACAAATTATTGATCTAGAAACCAAGACTATATTTTGTAACAGTGAGCATTATCGGCCGCGACTTTAAAAAGTAACTGCAAAAAAATTGTAACACAAATAGAATGATTCACGATCATTTATATAAATTGCAGTGCTAATATCTACTGACTTTGTCTTATCAACTAGTTATAATCTATTTTCAAAAAAAATCCAGTCAGTATTTGCATTGCCCTTGTCATCCGTTTTAATGCTTAATAGTTGATGTATACAAGATGATAAGGAAATATGTAAAAGATGTAAAAAATTGTTGATGATTTGATCAACTTTGCTAATATTGCCAATTAAATATTTAGAAACTCAGCAATCTGTTATCCACTAGCTATAGAATATCGATCAGTCCAATAGGCATGATTTAGAAATTTAAAAAAGCAGTGAATTATGATTCATGATGTAAAAATATTCTATAACGTATCATGATCATGAAGTTTAGTCCGAATCAGCATAGGAAACAAGAAGAGGATGCAACATATTTGAGAGCACAGTTAAGATTTCTTAATATTTATATGCTCAAAATGAAATCACAGAAGAGAAGGGAATGAAGTTGTAAATGATAATAAAAAGACAATAGAAACAAATTATTACCAAAAAAATGAAAATCTAGACAACTACTCATCATAACATTGAAGTGAATATTTATTTAAACATCATATTAACTTACTTACTTACTTATTTACTTAGTTACTTACGCCGAATGGAGCGGTCCAGTTTTCTACAACCATCTCCCTACTGGGCCTATCTTTTCATCTCTGCTCAATTTTCATTCATTCTTCTCATGTTTGTCTCCATTCACTCACCTAATGTGTTCCTTCCTTGGCCTTTCTCTCTTCCTTTGTCAATGAGGGTTTCAATTGAGGGCTTGTCTTGTGAAGCAGTTGCATGCTTTCCTCAATGTGTGTCCAATCCACTTCCATCGCTTCTTCGTTATTTTACATTCTACTAGAATCTGGTTTGTTGTAGCTCACAGTAGGTTCTTGCTGATGGTGTCTGGTCAATGGATCCGAAGTATTTTGAGCAGACAACTGTTCATCAACACTTATATCTTCAGGATGATGGCTTGTGTATTTCTCCAAGTTTCCACCAACTACAGTAGAACCGTCTTGACGTTTGTAATGAAAATTATGACTTTGATGTTTGTTGATAGTTGTTTTGAGTTCCAGATGTTTATCAATTGTAGAAAGGCAGTCATTGCCTTGATGATCCCTCCCTTTACATCTGCATCAGATCCAACTTGCTGGTCGATGATGCTGCTCAGATATGCAAAGTTGTTTACTTTCCTACGGCATCTCCATCAACTGTGATTTGGTTGGTGCATGTTGTGTTGTATCGGAGAATCCTGCTTTTCCCCTGCGTATATTGAGACTTACTGCTGCTAAACTGATCGTCTTCTCTTGCATTTGTTGTTGCGTGTGCGGTAGAAGAGCCAGGACATCTGCAAAGTCCAGATCGTCCAACTACATCCTAGCTGTCCATTGTATACCGTACTTTCCTCCACATGTTGATGTCTTCATAATCCAGTCGATAACCAGGAGAAAGAGAAAGATTTAGAGTAAGCGACCTTACCTGACACAGGTCTTCACCTCGAATGAGTCTGTCAGCTCTCCTCCGTACACGATTTTACAGTTCAGTCCATCCTAACTGTTCCGTATGATGCTGACTATCTTCTTTAGCACGCGATATTAGGGTTCATTCAAGAGTTATATAACGTGCTCTACTCACCTGCTTCTCTGTTCTTCAATGTCGCTGATTACTTTTCCTTCCTTGCTTTTCACTGGTCGTTCTCGTTTACGATAGTTTCCAGCGAGCTTCTTTGTTGTATCGTACATTTGTCTCATGTTTCCTTCTCTTGCAGCATTTTCCTCCCTCATTGCTAGATCTTACACATATTTTAGTTTGTCGGCTTTGACGCTCCTCTTCATTTGCTTGTTTGCTTCTGTGTATTCAGCATGTGTCTTGGCTTTCTCTGCTCTTGTTAGGCTGATTTGAACTGCTGCCTTCTCATCCCTCCTTTCTTGAGATTTTTCGAGGGTAGCAACAGAGATCCATTTCTTTTTGATAGTACTTCTTATGGCCCAGAACCTCCCAACATCTCTCGACGACTGATTGCAGCCTCTCGTACAACTGATCTTTAATGTCGTCATTGTAGTCGTTTGTAGATGCATAGCATTGGATGACGTTCATTGTAATTCCCTCTTCCTTTGTCTCGAAGGATGCTATGATGATACTGGGTTCATGAGATTCCCATGCTATCATTAACTTTTGTGCTTATTTGTACAGCATCAGTGCAACTTGTTGTGTGAGTGATCGGAGTATAGTAGCAGCTCTCTTGAATCAAGTCTCAGTTGTCCGACCTGTGTCCAATGTGTTTTGCTGGTTACAAGCACCTCCATGTTGAATCTTTTCGTTTTTGCAGTAATTCGGGACAGTTTTCCGGTCTTCCACATTGTTCGAACACTCCATGTACCGATATTAATGGTTGCTCTGTTTGTGAGAATGGGCATCGAATTCATGACTTATGAATGAACTGGGCTTGCATCATGAGACATTATGACTCTTGTGAATGAAGGTTTTCTAACTCCAAGGAATTGATTTTTCTGGTTGGCGTGTTTTTGGTGAGTTATTTTTCTACGAGATGTTGTTTCCATCGCTATCTTTTGGACGGGCAGTAGCCATAGATGGGCTACAGGTAGAGTTTATTTATAGATCGTACTGAAGAGAAAATGTAACAGACAAGAATTTACTTAATATGACTGTCTTTTTGATCAGTGAAATGGTATACACACTTTCTTTTTGTGTGTAAAGTTCAGTTCGAAATCGTTTGATGCATATGCACCTCTGCAAAACGAATTAAAATTGCTGTATGCTACATATTACTTTTTCTGAATGCTTTTGAGATGCCTACAATGTGTCCGCTATCTATCAATGTTTGTTAGTCGTACCTAGGAAAACTGTACTTCCTTTTAGACACAATTTCTGTTGGACTCTGTTCATTGTCATGAAATGATTTAAACTAAATATAATTTGCTGGATTATTGAAAATCTTTTTTTAATTTATGCAAGTAGCTTTAAACATAGTCTGATTTGTAAGTTTTAGGTAATTGAAATAACCTTTTTGAGCACTTTTTAAACACTGAGACAATGAAAAACACTTCAACGTTTATTGGTTGACTTTCAGAAGACGGTTAATTAGTTTCTTTTTCATTTAACTTACTAGTACAAATGTCTAAATATTGACGACAATTATTTTTAATTGTAATTTGGTAATGCTAAAGAATTAAAATCTCTGGCCCATGTTTCATCCTGCACTTAATTTGTAATTACAGTATATTCATTCACCGAATGTTCAGTGGATATGTTTGTGGTTGTAATATGATAGAAACATGAACACTTAGTGTTGTAACGCTCGCTTTAATATAATTCCCAGCTAAATCCTATCGCTTAGTATTCTCTGACCACAATACACTGGACAAGTTCTCAAGAATCAAAACACGGTTGAACAGGAAAAGATTATATTCAAGATAGCAAGGTTAAATGGAGATAAGAAGCCAAAGGTGATGGCGAAGGTGAAGGCGAAGGCAAAAATAGATACAACGTTATTTTATTTATAGCATTTACATGAGAAGCTTTTGGATAGAAATTCACGTGATCGACTGGATTAGAATTAGCCAATCAGCATGCAGCTAACACAGACTGATCAATTTGAATTTTGTTAGCTAGTAATTTTTACATATGATAAAACAAGAATCTTCAATTCATTGTTAAACTGAATAATTTTATAAAATATTATATGTTACAATGTTTAGTCAAAATTAGTCTCTAATTCAGTTTTATGATTTTCATAAGATTTTCTGATAATTTTCTTATTGCAAGAATTGATTTATAAGACTAATGAAACTTTATTTTTTCTACTTCAGCTTGTGATAAATGGTAATACAGTTTCGATGAAAAACAATTATCAAGGTGTTCAACATCTGGGTAGCAATTCAACACCAACATCAATATGGGTTGGTTGTAACATGGGACTAGATGGAGAGAAAATCATTTCTTCCATCAATCCAGGAATTAGGGTAGCAACAGTCGCCTTATGGTATTGGCCTATCCAGTTAAATCAATTGTTTAGCGGAGGCCTAGGTAAGTTGATCATCTATTAAAAAAAACTGACAGTTATCATACTGAAGAAACCATATTGAACTTTATTTCCATACTAATCAAAATTCAATCAATGTTTCTATTAAGATATTAAAAATAAAAAATTCAGCTGAGAATTATTTCTTTGCGATTAGTTCCTGATCAGAGCTCTACGCCAATATATAGGTTATATAATTAGTCATAAAATCGTTGCCAAATAGATGATAGCGAGTCAATTTGACGACATAATTATCATTTCGAAAAACAACGTCTAGAGAGTTGAAATTAAAGTCAGGAAGAATGTTCATAATCAGTTTCCTAAGAGGAAGAAAATAAGAACTGAAATTGAATATAAATATAAATGTTTTTATGTTGTCTCAGATTAGTAATTAAACAGATATTATGAAGATTAGGTAATAAGATTATTGAACTGGTTACGTAAGATCGAAATAGTTAATTTGGATTTTAATAAAATGAAAGTTTGGAAGATTTGTAAAATTCTTAGAAATGCAATGGTAGCTAAGTAGTTATATTGAACTGTGATTTCAAGAATAAAAGCTTTTTTTTTTGGTTTTGTCGGTGATTTCGCTTCAGGTCTAGTTCCAGACGTAGGCTTTACTAGGTACTTTGATGGATGGATATTCGTGTTTACTTAATAGATAATTAAAAAATTATAGCTCTTCTTCAAGAGTTCATTTGAGCTAAGTATTTGACTAAGTTTCTGTTTTATTGTAATGGGACACAGCTCAGAAAATGTATACACAGGATTTGTCTGGTCGGTTTCTTTTTGTAGTTCGGTCAGTTTACTTCAATGAATTATTACCCAGAAAGATAGTGCTACAGTTTTCTTCGTTCTTTATAAGAGTGATTGCCTGATGAACTCTACTGTAGTACTTTTCTAATGGGTTCTGGGCTTGACCATTGTTTGTTGTAACTAAAAACATGTCCTCTATAGAGTGGCAATAAGAAATCAGTTAAGAGTGGACCTAGTGATGATCGCATAGAGATACCATTACACTTTCTATAAAACTGTTTATGTAATATGTTTATTCATGGCGCAGATGATTATTTAATCCATCGAAGATTCTGTCGTAAATAATCTGTCCAATTTATCAGACTTGTTTATTGCGTTTGTGATGATCTGTTTGGCTATATTTGTCGAGATATTACATTGATTGTCTCGAATTTTATCTAAGAAATGATAACTTATTGTTTAAATCATCTAGAGTGATTAAATTTACCTTGAATATCATTTAGTAACATATTTCTTTACTCGATATTATACTGTTATTTTTACTCAATATTTCATCGAAGAAGATATCCCTAATAAAAAAACCACTCCAATGTTTGAGAAGCATTCAATCTATCGAATGGCTAGTGTTAATAATGTTAATCAATATTCCTTATTTAATCGTACTCTAAACTTTAAGTCTTTGGTGATTCATAATATAAGTTCTTAGAGTACGCGTGTCACAGAATGAATATTCATATGAAAGTTACCTTCAATATGTGATAAGTTAAAAAAGAAAGAAAAAAAAAGTGCACTCAATTACTTCTGTTCTTATGTAACACTAAAACTGAAATATCTTTCATACAATATATATATATATATATATATATATATATATATATATATATATATATATATACTGATATTATCAGTATGGTCAGTTCGATCGAAACCAAAATCCATAACACAATGATACAATCCTAATGAGATAACATTCGGAAGTAATTACCGGTTGTAACTTGGTAGTATTCTCCATCCTATTTTTTCTTTTTTTTGCAATTGAGAAAACCAAGTCTCTAAGGATATGATATTTTCTATAAAAGTCGAATGAATTATGACGTCCAATTATTAATACATTCCTTGTGGAAGAAAGCTGACAAATTTGGTTCAGTGTGAAACTTAATGATTCAATTGTTTTGTGTTTTACATTGAAAAATTCGTAACTACAAAATAGGTGTGATGAATCTGTATACACACACTGGCATATTGTTTGTTTGATTTGTCATATTACTTATTTTTCTTTGACATATTTTTTTCCATTTCATTTCATAGAGAATTATTTATTGAAGAAGGATGTTATTATAGAATCATCAGTTTCTCAACCAATTAAAACTATAAATTATGCAGATTATACAAATGAAGTGGAAGAGCTTACACCTACTGAAGAAATTAGCAAAATTTTAAATCCAGTTTACTTGATGGCTGATTACTATAATCCTTTGTTGTTTTTAGCATCAAATTATACAGGGAATGATGTTAAACTGGTAGTTGATCGTTCTAAGCTGAAAACCGCTTATCAATTAACATCAAATGGAAGTTGTTTTGAAGTTAGTAACATGAGTATCAGTATCAGTTTTAAATGGTCCACAGTATGAATGATGATAATATTATGGATTGAAATAGGCTTATATTCGATTATAAATAGACTCATTGCTAATACACTAGTGACATGAAATGATATCAACAAAAAGCTTACTGATTATATAACGACAAATACTAAACAGACACTTCAAGGAAGTGCAACTAATTAGTAAATCTAAACATAATTTTACTGTGCAAAATGTTATGTTTATCACTGATTTTGTGTGGAATGCTTCACATACTTACGCTGGCTCCTGAGTCTGACGATGCATAGTGAGAACACAATGACCAGTGGTATAGATTTATTTGACTCCAGAAATAAATTAAAATAATGTAGGAATATACCTTCTTTTTTATATGATTTATTTACAGTCAGTAGCTTACTTTGTTAAAACATTCACTATACTTTACATTTAAGAATCGAAAACCAACAAACACCACTAATTGTCCAAATCATATAATTGCTTCTTAAGATGTGATTACTTGTCGAAAACGATTGGAGAAAATCATTTGCATATTTCATTCACACTATAGTCAATAAAGTCATCGATCGCTATGTCAGTAAGGAAATAAAAGTTCTGGGTTAATAGTATAGGAGGCAGAGTTAACAAATCAAAGGATAACTATAATCTGATTATTAGGACCAATCATTAATTACCATGCCAATTATTCTGAAAAAAACTCGTAAATTAAATAAACAGTGTTCATTTAGTTTTTTCAGATAAATTAGGATAATATTTAATATTAAATGTGATTTACTCTGACGTCATACACTAATTCATAATTTTCGAAATGAATATAATCATTGATGTAGATTTTCCTTCACTGACCCGTTACATAGGGTTTCAGTGATGAAAATTAGAAGTAATCAGCTGAAAGATTTGGCTTACTGACAATGATCAACAAGTGTTGTAAATTCCATTGATTTTTCTCAGCCAGGTAACTCACCGGTGTATTCAGAAGCGTTTATGCAAAGATTCTTTCGTCTATAGCCTTACCATTTAGTTAAGCACATAAATGTCAGATTCTTCCAGTTTGTTCGATTACAGATGACCTATACAGCCTCATTTACACAATACATGAAAAATAAAATGAATGTGCTCTATTCAATGTTACGAACATGTCCTTGAGAATCATAACAGCTACATTATTTGAAAGAGACATGACTGACACCAATGCATAGTGGAATTGATATTACTGAACTTAATTCACTTCCTTTATGGGTTTAATATTAGGCATTTCATTGGTCAGTAAGATGACGCTTCCGATTGGTGGGACAAGCGTACGGATGAATGGTGGGGATAGGCTTTTTTGACTAAGTCATTCCCTACACCTACTGTTATTATCACCTTGTCAACCCGTGTTTGACATTCTAAAAGTCCAAGCGATTGTTTGTTCATCTTGAAATCTGGCAAACCACATTCGAAATTTCGCATAGACATTAATTGTTAACCTATTTCAAACCCTACCCACACACATCAACCCAATGAAAAATGACAATTGACATTATTCTATAATTACCTGCTATGGTGATTGGATGTTTATCTTATTGATCTGAATTTTTAATAACACTGTCCACAACCTTTGCGTTTTTTCACTAATCTTTCGTCTTCTGATATTCATCTCTTACATAATCTGATTAATGCTTACATATTTATTTGTTTTATCATGTTGAGCAATTACTCAATCACCTCATTTTCTTCTGCATCATTACTTTCTATAATACAAATACACGTAATTTTGACAATGTATATTGACCTAAGTTGTGTCCCTATTCTTTGCGTTATTTTAGCTTCGTTTCGAATATTTATGTAAACTTCACAAACTAAAGTATGCTAGAATATTTGCCAATAATTACAACGATAAATGACATTTTAGGCTGTATGCAGCTGATGAGAAACTATGAAATGGAATGAATTCATTTTACCATGCAAATTTAGTATTACATCTTGATAAAACTGTTTTTATACGGATATTACTTAAATCTAGGTATTCTACTACTGACGACTATTCCTTCATGTAATGAGTTTGATAGGTTATAGCTATCAGTTTAAGTTGTTAATTATCAATCAATTGATAACCAATTAATCTTAATTTCTATCTTTTTTTAGGTCAAATTCTTCAATGAATTTACTTGTCCTGGTAGTGTAAATCGATGCACTCAAGGTTTATCTATGGGTATATGGTTAAATATACCAGATATTTTGAATACTACTGTTGTTATATTAGATATTCTAGAATTAGTCAATGGTATCACTGTGTCAGTTTATAACAGTTACATTAATATTTTCAGTAAGTGTAAATTAGACACGTATTTTTATTTTAATTCATTTCCAACTAAGCAATGGCCTACTGCGTTATTATTGAGTAGCTCTATATTAGTCGATAACTGATAAATCAAGCTTCTCCAGTTTAACGTTCATCAGATTATCGATACACCTTTACTTCGGGTAATATCTGTGATAAACGCAAGATCTAAAGCCTATTTTCTTGAAATAACCTCAGACTAATCTACGCTACAGCTTGAACACGAGAGAAAAGACACAGAAAATGAGATGAAAGTTTTACTCCAAGGTTAGTTCGTGTACAGAAAAATAAGGGTATTTATAGAGTTACTAATGACTCTCGGTTTGTGCAAGGTTCGAGAACAATACCAAAAATAGTGGTGGTATGGATAAGTAAATCCCCAATCAGAGTCGTGGTACATAATTCTATATTCTCCGAATGTTTCTGCGAAGACTCTATTCACTGCTAATTGGATGAAATGTTTCCTGGAGTTTCTGGACCTCCATAGACTTTTCTAAAGGATATTTCGGGACTCCTCAATAATTGAAATCGATGCGTTTTTAGGTGATTTCGATTCATTATAGACGCGATCAAATGGATCACAAGTCGAGCTTTTGCTGTTGAAAGAAATCAGAACCGAGTAAGAAGATTAGCCAACAATGTAAGCAGATACAATAAGCATATTACCAGGTTACAACTGTTAGCATTATCTCATAGCCCAATATTTAGCAGTAACGATATGGTACCTAAAAATAGGAATATATATATATGTACCAGACTATTGTAAGTAACCTAATGGTATATTGATTCATATAGGTTTGGGTTTAAGAATTGTTTAAAATAAATAATTTCGGAGGGTTTTACTTTAGGTCTAACTAATCGCAGCGCTATTTCAGAAAACTGAAAAATTTTAGTGCAGCACAGAAACTGTATTTTCAACCATCTGGCGAACAAACAAAATCCTTGCAACTAAACAATTATGCGATCAAGATAAAGGAAACAACTTTATTTTCATGTTATTTCCCAATCTCTTTTTAGTTACCACATCCAAGGGTCTAGTTGTTTTTCGTGTGTACAATGTGATACCAAAAGATATTTGGTTTAATCTTGGAATAAGTGTGTCAAACTTCATAGATCCTACTGTGGCTGTTTATTTTAATGGCATTGCAATGCTTGTTGAACAAGTTATGCCACCGATAGAAACCCCAACGAAACGAAATGACCGTTGTTTAAATGGATTAATTCTGGGTAGCTCGAAAATCAATCGAAGTGCTGCTGGCGTCGCCTACAATGATCTTATCCTATGGTATAGATGGTTATTTTCGTTTGAGTCACATCTTTTTGTGGGTTACACCAGTAAGTTAAATAACCGTGTATACATTAAATTTATCTGACTAACTAATATTATGCATTCAGTTTAATCCATCTTTTGAAATAATAAACCAAATATTTCAAAAGCACAAATAAATATTTTGATGTAGTTTGCTGTTTCGATGTTAGTTTCGTAATATATTACCTGGCAGAGAAATGTTCTGAGTAACAATAAATTTTGAAAATACTTTCATCTAATTATAGAGCTAGATGATACCAAACTTAATGAGTGTTTATAACATTTTAGTAACACATTTCGGCTTCCATATTAAATACAAATACACTAAAAAAAAAAAATTAAGATTGTGTGTGGAACTTTCTTTTTAAGAATGTCATATACATATGGGCCGATTAATCACTGTTTGATTTCTACACTGACATTTAAACGGTACATTATATATGCCGTTTCTCTAGATATAATAAAATTAGCAATCAGTTTCCACAAATATATTATTAAAGGATTGAGTTTATGCAAACAACAGCAAACAATTAGTTCTTGTCAAGTCTATTTCGATTGTAGAGCCGATCACTGGAATCGATACAAATATTGATGCTGAGTGAAGATTGTTTAAAAACTCTCATTATTTTCGTAAATCTAACAACGAGGGCATATCAGAACTATTTTACATAAATTACACACATATATCAAGCAGAACATATGTCAATAAGATTTATTTGAAATTTCAATGAGAGTAAAAACACTCACCACTTGGTGAAACTCAACTATTCTGTTCAATTATTGCTCATCAAAAATGAGATTAGAATGTAGTTTCATTGTAAAAACTGTAGTTATTTTCTTTTAATTGCCTGTTCTTATCTATAAATTTTGTGTTAAAGAAGTGTTCATTATTATTTCATTTACTGACAGGAGCTCAACAAGCAAATCTTCATAATGCCAGCTATTATTGGACACCTGATCCTTATATAGCTTATGACAGTAATGTACAAATACAAGTTAGACAGAAATACAATTATTTACAACCAGAAAATGATTACTCATTGACAGGTATACCTGGTTATTCATTGGCATCAATTTATCGGTCAAAATTTGTCACATTTCGTTTCAGCCAAAATGATTATGAGAATAAATCAAAAGTACCTGTATTCGAAATGAAACCACAACAATATATGATGTTAGGTGAGCTAATGTAGTTTCTAACGATAGTTTTTATTTTATAACGACTAGTAATTCAATCTGTAACTAAGACAGAATGCGTACAACAACATAACCACATATTTTTCACTTTTTCCATTCAACTCTTATCACCAAATTGAATTTATTTCTTTTAAAAGTCTATTCACTGCTTGCAACATTGATCCTTATTAATTTATCTGAATGCTATATCAACTATGTCCAGTCAATAACTGTACCGATTTTTATCAGGGACTTTTGAGTTGTATCTTATTATTGAAGAATGTAAAAAAAATATTCAATATTTTGAATAAAAATAAGAAATAAAATGGAAGAGGAGATGTATTCAACCTGTCTTTGACAAACTGATGATAAAATATGAATTAATTACGAATTAACAATTGTTACACATCAAAACGTTTACAAATATCATCTGATTGTCGTTATAGTAATGCACATATAGTATGAAGTCAACTGTAATGAAAGCAATTGTAATAAATGACGATCGATCCATAATTATGTAGCGACAGATTCTTCCTTCTGATTATCTTATCTTGGTAGAAATCGCTAATAAAACTCTTAGTTTCAATTACTTTTTTGAAACCATGAATCGTTCATTGTTAGACCACCATTAGAAACCTGGAAGCACTGGACGGCCGTTTCAAAAATGTGTAACTTAACAATCTTCACAACCCCGTAATGTCAATTACTTTTGTCAAACTAAATATTTTATACTACTGCTAGAAATATGTAGGAGATATAAAATTCCGTCCATGCTGATAATTGGAACAAAACTCAAAGTTTATTTGTATTATTGCATACGACTTTGAGATTTTGAAGTACTATAGAATGCATGGAAAATTTGATAACAATTTATAAGTTTGTCTACTTAATTCCTAGACGAAAACATACTTTTGCTTGCAGAATTTCAAACATGAAATGGGACTTCACTTAAATGGAAGGTTATTATTATTTACTCTGACACTAATTTCACGGTTTTCTACTATATAAAAGTCAGTAACTAGTGTTTTCAATAATAAACTTGTTTAAATTTGTGTTTAACTTCTTCAGAAGAATGTTAAGTTTATTTATAATCTGGTTAGTTAGTTAGTTAGTTAGTTGAATACAACTGAGGTACAATACACTAAACATTGTGCCATTTTAGGAATTTTGTTTTTCAACAAACTAACATGATTATCGTTGTAATACGAATCCTCATTTACCATTATTAATCACAGTTACTTCTGATAAAAGTAGAATTAAGTGTCAGTCCGATAATCGTCTCTTTTGAAAATAGTAGCAACGATCCAGTCAGTATGTTGACACGATCATATAATCTTAATGGATATTTCTTCAAATAACTAATAATTAATACATATAAGTTATTCAAAACTGATCACAAAACGACGTTTTAGCAATAATTACCAAACAACTATTCAATAGTTCTGATTACTTTTTTCCATAAATAAAAATTACAGGGCTACGTAAATCTTCCGAGGTGATATCAACGAATTTAATATGGACTGGAAAATGCTTAATTGAGCCAAGTCTATCTACTTGTAATACACGTGGATTCTCAATATCAATATGGTTAAAAATATTATCGGTTAGCTCGGATCGTTTAAGATTTTATTTAAGTTCTGGCGATGGTGGGACAAGCTTATCATCAATGAGTTATTATCGGGGAATATCAATATTCACAGATACATCATTAATTGGTGTGTCGATTTCACAGTTTTCATTAACGTGGCAATTAGTGCTTGATTCCAGTAGTTATAAAATTGGTAAGCTATTTTTATGTGAATCATTTCCAATTAAATATATTCAATATTGATCTACATGTTTAAAAAATAATTTTCACCATGTAGTTGGAGTATGGTATTAGATTGAATAATAAGGTAATACTTGTATCAGTGTGGTGCGCGCTACTTATAAGTAGTATATGACGCGAGTGCAAACGTAATGTCTGGCAGCAGAAGATGGGGGAAAATTAAGACAGGAAAAGCGGGAACACAATGGAATTTGTATGAAACGCATGAACAGTGAAATGTCAGACAATGGATTGATGTTTGCAACAGGAAAAGTCCAGTTCGATATGATGGATTGATATTTTGCAAATTAACGATTTAGGATATGGTTTTTCTATTTTATCAATCAACGATTCATCTTGAAACTACTTAAAAATAAATTAAAAACCAATAATTTAACTTGTATTCAAAGCCAAAAACAAAAACGTAGGTTGGTTCCAGTTGACTTTACTGGAAACGGAAAGTATTTCACCCTGATTATACTTTACTCTTTATATGATTTATGTATTTATTAAGACATGAGTTTTTTTTTCTAATGACATTCTGATGCTACTCTTGAAGGTTTTAGGTTCATCAGCGTTGTTTATGCATATTTTCTCAGTTAATAACTATGAATATCCATAAAATATACATCAGATAATTTCTATCATCTGCTGAAACAATCTGTACAACTTCCCTTTCATAAGCTTGCTTTTATTGAATTATCAGTGTACTCAAATTAAACTGTTCAATTAATTAGTTATTTAAGTGAGTTCACATTAAAAACTAAACTGATCAAGTAAACAAATACGTAAGTGGAAAGTGTCTGAAATTCCATCATCTACATTAAGTTCTAGTTTTAGTTTAATGATCAATGAGAACCACTGATTGTCGATTAAGGCCAATCCTTAATTTGATTTATAATTATCATGTACTAGAGCTGCAATTGCCCATGTTCTAGTCATAAGCTGTGACTATTGCAGTTTAACCATATAGTTATCAAATAATGGTATTGGGAAATAGACAAGAAAAGGTTCTCCACCCTTTATAAGGCCTTACCGCCAGAAGCGGAAATTCATGGGGTTAGGTGAGGTGTGCAATTTGTAGGGTCGATCTTTCCTAATCTCTTCTTTCCTTTGTGAGAAAGCAGAGCCTTTGCAGATGTTGGTTGTCCGAGGCAGTAACTTACGGCTGTTAAAACTCTCTACAGTCAGCATTACGACTTCGCCTTCAGATCTCGATTTGCTGCTTCAAGTCTTACCATCCTCAAATCGACCTGGTTCCAACCCTATACCAGATAAGACAATAGGCTTCCGTAGCTAGGTGTCAGCATATTGATGTTTGCTGCGTCTTCGGAACGCGCATAAAGGATCCGAGTGCAGTCATTCATTTAACCTAACCTTGTCAACTTATGCTTCATGTTTTTGGAGATCTCTCTGGTGTAGGTATAGCACTGAATTCTAAAGCAGCAGATCTCATAGACTGGGTCCCAGTAGACAGTTACTTATGCTTTTTTCGACTAAGTGGAACAGTACAGACTCGTTGCCTCTGCCTACGTTTCCACTGAACATAGCTCAAATGAGGTAAAATATGAATTTAACGGAAACCTTTCCAACCTTCTTCAGAAAGCCAAACACTCTGATGTAGTAATAGTAGCGGGTAACTTTCATACTCAAGTAGGTGGATTGGGGGAAACGGAAAAACATCTAAGTGGCTCTTACGGTGTCGCGGCTCAAAGAACAGCTAATGGCAACCGTTTGATACAGATAACCGCCTGTTTCTGAAAAACACTAGCTTTGAGCATAAGGATAAACATGTTTTGACCTGGCGACCCCCAAAGTCAACTCAAAGCTTGACCTAATTAGACAACTTTGCTATCAACGACCTATGGAGTGGCTCAATAGAAGACTGCCGCTCATTCTGGAGCTTATGCTCAGACTCGGATCATGGTCTACAGTTTACATAACATGAGAAAGCCATAACAAGAAGACCGCTCAGAGCTCTACTTAACAACAAAATAGCCAAGAGTATATTTCGGGTGAAACTAGAAAAACAGTTAAAAAACCTTGTAAGTGATGTCCGCTCCAAGAGAGTTATGAATGATATCCAGAAAGCTGTGGAAACAGCAGTGATATCTGTCAGCAGGTTAAACCAAAAGGTTAGGCAGAAGCAGTGGATTTAAGTGGTATCCACCGAACAGCCACTGAACGTACCAAGTTCTATATTGCAGCTGACTGGCTGATTGACAGTGTGAATCAGGAACATCACCAATCACGTAGGAATATAGTCATAATATGCAAACAAACTTACCAAAATATGCGTTTTGAATTGCTGAAGTCCAAATAGAGGTCTAAATTTATCTTACCCTTCAAAAGAGCTGTAGATTTTATAGTCTTGCATCCAGTCTACTTAAGAGTCGGAAATTGTGATAAAAAGTTATTCATTAGTATATGTTTTTGGTGGCTCTTCAGTTGGCTTCAATATTATTAAAAATATTTTTTTGTTAGTATCTAAAAACAATACATAAAATTTTGAATATATAATATGATTTACATTTAACTGTTGGACTATAAAAGTTATTGGTCTGATAAAATATCTATAGACTAATACATCATCTCATAAACTGTGAGCTTCTATCAAATAACCAGTAATACCTATTATCTCTACAGGAAAGTGGATAAATATTGGGATATTGTGGCGTGGAGATGTTGGGCTAACGCTGTTACTAGACGGTGTCAATTATGGAAGTACGCCTTCAAGTGGTCAGAAAGTTTACAAAACACGTGAATCACCACCGTATCTTGTACTTGGACGCTATGATACAGATAATCAAGCAACATGGTTGTCACCATCGGATGCAGACGATGCCACTAAACAAAGCAATGGTAGCCAACCTCAATGGGAGATGAGTCATTATGCATTAGGTGATATAGCCTATTTCGATAAACTGTTAACTCACAAAGAATATAATCAACAGATCGGTCTATTAAATGTTCCATATTTACGTAATTCAGATGGTAATGTTTGGTTTGGTAAAGGTTTGATCAGTCCACCTTTATCCCAAATCATGGAAGCTGTTTCGAGAAGAATTTCAAAACCTGGACCCATTCTTAATGGTGAAGTGTCAGATTCAGTGCTACTTTTAAGTAATCCTGAGGCAGTACAACTAACAGCTGGCGGTTCTCTACGTTTAGGCACCTTCGAACTAAACTCATGCCCATTTAATTTACAAAATTGTCAGAAGGTACATAAATGATCAGTTATTTACTCAATTTTTATTATTTAAACGGTTAAACTGTTGTTATGTTGATCGAAATGAATGCTCTGTAAATACACTATACTAACGGAACTGATGAACTTTAAATACAAAACTTTTGTTTTTATACAATGCTGACATCATTTTAGCCTATTAAGTTAGATCTTGGTACCATAAATAAATAACTAAGAGCAAACGTCTTGTGCATTAGTGGCTAGCTCAAAATATCTTTTTACTGGTTAATAATACAACCCAATGGTTCATACTTTGGTATCTGTAATGTATTTAAAAACCTACCATACCAAGTTTGAATATCGAATGCTAACAATAGTCATTTCTATCTTAGCAGAATTATCCCAATACGAAGGACTTCATTCTTAATGATGAAATCTAATTCTTCAGCGAACTGGTTCCAAACATCAAACACATCAATTTCACAGACGATAAGGAGACTTGTTTTCTCAAATATTTGTCTTAGGCTTCGCAATTTAAGTATCACACAAGTGAAAGGAATTTCTCCGAAAATAAACCATTTTAATGGTCATTCAAATTATTTATTAAATTCTTTATTATTTGTCGCAACATATTCGTAGGATCATTGAGAGGTTTTCACATATTCTGCAAACTTTCTGGGTGAAACAGTAAAAAAATCAGTTTAGTTCATTTTCAGAAAATGTTATGTTACATCCAAACAAACCCCCACGTTTTTGTATACTTCGAATTATTCCGTCAATATTTGCGAATTTGTATTATTCAGAATAGTAATATGGTCTCAAAAATGCAATCATATTTCATAATACGCTTTAGAGAACCCAAAGAGAATAGATCATGTGTTGAGTAAAATGAAATCATCCTACAGTAGATAAGTGTTTGTAAAATGTTAACCTTACTGATCAAATTATTCAATTATCAAATTAGATTTATTTTCGACCTTCATTTTTTATTTAACATTGTGAATGGTAACCAGGTACCTTACAGTTAATTGGTTTTCCTAACTAGTTAATTAATGAATATATCGAATCATGTAAATTTAAGTTTGATCATCAATAAGAAATCAGAAACGTCGTTAGATACTGTGAAAATAGCTCACTAGTATCGTCTTTACATGTAACAGATTAATGTCTGTTCTATGATCCCAGACATCATTCAATTTACCCGAATTGCAAACAACGGAACCAACGTGAAACTTGGCTTCACGGTTTCCTTATCGTTTCATCTCTAAGCATTGAATGTCAAATAAAATTTACAGTTATATCTAGTCAGTCAGAATAATAAACATACTTTAATTTGGTTTCCAGAATAAATATAACCTTGAAACATAGTCTGTGGCTTATTTATGTATGCTTTTATCTATTTTAATAGAGTTAAAACGAAGAGAAATGAACATATGAACTAAATAATAATATTTAATCATTAGCGAATGATTTTCTTTAACTAATATACCAAACTATTATTATGATCAACTTCATTTGGTACTTAGGGTCTAAGCATTGGTGGTTGGTATCGTTTTGGTGGACATTTCTTGAAACCAACTGACAGTCAAATGGAACCAATTATATTATTCACTGGATATGGAGGAAATTATGGTTTAGCTGTATCATACAATGGTGTGTTATTTGGTGGTTGGCTACAATATGATGTTAAACAAGGCAATAAAATAGTACAGAATTATTGGAAATGTATTGCCAACAATTTACAAATTGGCTTAAATCAAAAAAGCATGCAATGGGTTCATTTCAGTTTAATTTGGGGTGTCAGGAAAATGAATAATAGTAATGAAAATGTTTTACAATTATCGATTAATGGACTGGTCATAGCAGAATGTCGGAAAAATTCACAACCATCAAATCAACAATGGATTGATAAGGCAATTCAAAAGTCTACACAATTATTTGACGAGACAAATACGGATAAAGAATCATTTTTATTAGTCAGCTCTCAAACTTCAGATCCAACTCAACGAATAAAATTTTCAATTGCCCTATTAGCATTACAGCCAAGATATTTAACACAAACCAATTTCATGAATTTGATTGGTGTAGAATATTTTGAACTATTAGAATTATTATATTCAACATTCCATTGGCAAATGTCTGGTCTATTTTATCAGTTAACATCAAATCGTATACAAACTGTTAATTCATATTATGGACGTGATCAGTATGATACTTCTAAAGGTGCAATATGCACTGAAGGTAATAATTTTTCTTACATAATATTAAATGGAGATAAAATTAGCACCAACGGAGATATGACTAACTTATATGAGTCGTGTTTATATGATCCATCTAAATGTAGCCGTTATGCTTTAAGCTTTCGATTCATACTACTCAAAATACCAAGTAAGATAAATGGTCCTCAAGAAATTCTCCGCACAGCACCAATAAATCCTGGTGTAAAATATGTTGGCTTACTTATGTACTTATCATCAGATCAAAGTAAATTCATTATTGAAGTACGTAATCTACATAGAACTTCCAGAAATTCAGTAAAACTTGATTCAATACAACAACCAGGAAAATGGATCAATATGCAAATATTCTATTATCAAGATCGCGCATCAACAATACACGTTGATGGCAATTTAATTTTATCTACTGAAAACGTATCATCTATACCTGACTCAAATAGTCGATTAAAAGATAGCGAAAGATTAAAACAAAATCTTATAGTTGGACGTGGTTTGGAAATGTGTATTAGTTCAATGACACTGTATGATATATCAAGTGAAAGCGATTTCGATCTATTAGCCAATACAGCTAGTCCACAAACATGTTATACAAATATGGATATATTTGAAGCACTACCAGGACCAATAGATGATTATAAAAATCGTACAAATTCTGCATCTAGATTGGAAAACTTTGTTGAACCATTATCATTTCTATCGAAATCTTGTATTCAAAATCCAGACATATGTAGCAAAAAAGGTATGACAATGTCAATGTGGATAATGATAAATGGATTCGTCAATGAATCAGGAGAACAACTTATTCTGAATAACAATGAAAGCGTTAGTTAACTGTTTAATGATAGATTTATTTATAATAAAATGCAGATGCCCTTATATCTGTAGAACAAGCCCAAGAGAGTTGTTGTGGGTCTTTCAATTTCAATTATCAGAGGGTTTAATATTCGTATAAACTACAGTGATTGTAAAATCACGCAGAAATGAATTAGGTGTTTCTAATGTCTTTTATTGAATATTTTCAGTAAATTAAGATTTACTTCCTTTGATAAAACTAACGTAAAATTAACAAAACGAAAGGATTTTCTCTTATTCAACCAAACGTTCCTATACGCCAAATTGGGTGCTCATTTAGATTACTCGTTCGGAAATAATTATTCTTTGATCAATATTTAACTAATTATATTTTTGGTATCTTTCCTATCGATTTTTAAGACCAGATAAGTGGAGTGTATATCTGACTTATTTACGTGCTAATGGAGCATAGACTGCCTCTCAGGGTTCTCCAACCAACTCTATCCTGGGCTCTCCTGTCTAGTTGTCTTCAACTGCTACTCATTCTTTCATTTAGGAGCGACTATCAGCCGTTGATAAGTTTCTATCGTTCTGTGTATTATTTGAAACAAGAAAAATAAACCTTTTGCCTTCTAATCTGGCAAGTATTTAGAAACATTCAGTCTTTATCTAATGCATGATTTTTTACACTGATTAAACTGGGGTATCATGTCACAGATTATCAGTAAATATTCACTTCGATATTAATTAGTTTAGTGCGGCTGCTAGCTGGACACAGTGACCACGGTTGTAAAATATGGCGATTGAAGTAATCTACATTTGCTGGAGACCTAATTATTTACAGCCCAGATAAATTAATTAAAAACAGCAAACAAATCAAAAGTTTCAGGTTTGACTGGTACTTTCATACTGATGGTTATAGTAAGGTGTGGAGGTGAATAAAGTGGGATTATATTTTAACAGTTTGACGAATGTATATCAGATATCTTTTTTTATTATTTTAATAATATTCTTTGTTTTTTTAGCAAATCAGTGTTCTCTGATAACCTAGGTTATCTGAACATTCATCAAAAAACAGTTGAACTACAATGATTTTAAAGTTTCAATAGAACCTGTCTAGTAACACAACGTTTCTAAAATATTCAGGTGTCAACAATCGGTAGTATTATGTAAACCTGATTTACAAACATCTAAGATTGAAGGATTTGTGGACTAGATTAGATTTGATTTAATGAAGGTTTGACTTCATCCAACAATTACTAATTACGAAGCCAGTAATCTTTATGGGCACCTTTTTGAGCGAATGATGGTATACGTTAAAACCTTAAATCATTTTTTCAATGAGGAATAAATGCCCTGTGATATTACTCAGTAATGATTTAGTACACTTGAAATATTTTAACCAATTATTAGGCAGTTGTTCTTTGTTTTCACTGACATATTCGTTCACATAAGCAATTTACTTTAGGTGATTACACAATTCGTTCACATTAATCAGTAAGGATTTTTGTGCACTAGTAACCAGCTTCAAGATGGAATTCTCGTAGTTCTAGTAAGAGGCCTTGACTAGTGGAGTTTAACCATGTTGGGTATGAGACAGGTATATACCGAAGACAATGGATGATCGTTGATTGATTGAAGTTAAATATTAATGCCTTTGGATATCGACTCAGTGGTTTAGAGGTCAAGCGTTAGCACGAAAAACTGTAGTTCTTGGGTTCGACTTCGGCAGGATGGATTGTGGATGCGCACCGCTGGTTAGACCGATACTAGGACAAAACGGCTGTCCAGTAGTTCTAGGCTTTCAATGGTAGTCTAACAGTGATTAGTCCATGATTTCAATGAAACTTGATAATCTCCACAACCTTCAAACTGACGATTTCAAGTTAATTGATGATGATGTTTCTTTTTAAAAAACAACTGATAAACATTGAACTGTTTTTTTTTGTATGGCGGATCGTGTGCATGTGATTTGGATACAATTTTAGGTGAATGCAATAATTTTGTCTACCGGTCCACCTGATAATTCTGGAATTTTAATTCAAGTCAATGGTCGATTAGAAAATAGCAGATTAAAATTATCATTAAAAACCAGTGTTTTCACTCAAAATTATTTATGGTTGGTTGATTCAAACAATGCATTAGAATTAGGTCAATGGACAAATATAGGATTTAGTTGGTTCAGTCAACCGGAAGATAACAGTGGTTCACTTGAAATTTATATAAATGGTCTACGTAAACAATCCTCAACAATACCAGCTTCTGCGATAAATATGAACACAAATTTAAATGGTACATCGCAAATATTCATTGGTTCTGCATATTACAATGTCAACAAATATACAACAAATTCAGACATGAAAATATTTGCCACTGGGGGTATTGCAAATTTAGGTAGGTTGTTTCTTGAAAATAAAAAAGCAACAACTGAGAATTGAAAAATACATAACAAATTTATTACATTTTACGTGTAGATAATATCAAGAGTTTAGAATCAAAACAACATGACTGTTCACTAACATTTTAGAAAATTTTCTGTTTATCAAGGTAACACTAACTTGTATATTGAGTGATTGTAAAGGGAATATTGATTCATAGGAGAATAATGAAAGAAAATTTTATGAAGCGTCTATTAAATGTTCTATGGTAATAGATCGAAAGTAATTGTAATTCTACCTGCATACTTTTATTACTTACGCCTGTAACTCCAAATAGAGCATGCGTCACTGACCACTATTCTACAACCATCTCCCCACTGGGCCTCCCTTTCCACCTCTGCTCAATTTTCATTCATTCTTCTCATGTTTGTCTCCATTCACTCACCTAATGTGTTCCTTCCTTGGCCTTTCTCTCTGCCTTTATCAATGAGGGTTTCAAGTGAGGGCTTGTCTTGTGAAGCAGTTGCGTGCTTTCCTCAACGTGTGTCCAATCCATTTCCATCGTCTCTTCCTCATTTCTCATTCTACTAGAATCTGGTTTGTTGTAGCTCACAGTAGGTTCTTGCTGATGGTGTCTTGTCAATGGATCCGAAGTATTTTGAGTAGACAACTGTTCATCAACACTTGTATCTTCAGGATGATGGCTTGTGTATTTCTCCATGCTAACCATCAGGATGGTCAAACACCTTGACGAGCATCTCTCGACGACGGGCTGCAGCCTCTTGTACAATTGATCTTTAATGTCGTCATTGTAGTCGTTTGTAGATGCATAGCATTGGATGACGTTCATTGTGACGACCTCTTCCTTTGTCTCGAAGGATGCTATGGTGATACTGGGTTCATGAGATTCCCATGCTATCATTGACTTTTGTGCTTGTTTGTACAGCATCAGTGCAACTCGTTGTGTGAGTGAAGGATGTTCTTACTCATGATCGGTGTATAGTAGCAGCTCTCTTGAATCTAGTCTTAGTTGTTCAACCTGTGTCCAATGTGTTTCGCTGGTTCCAAGCACCTACTGGTTGTATCTTTCCGTTTTTGTAGTAATTCGGGACAGTTTACCGGTCTTCCACATTGTTCGAACACTCCATGTACCGATATTAATGGTTGCTCTGTTTGTGAGAATGGGCATCGGATTCATGACTTATGAATGAACTGGGCTTGCATCATGATACATTATGACTCTTGTGAATGAAGTTTTTCTGACTCCAAGGAATTGATTTTTCTGGTTGGCGTGTTTTTGGTGAGTTATTTTTCTACGAGATGGGGCCTCCAACTCCATCCCTTCTCCTTTATCCGTACTTGGGATCGGAATTAGCCACAGAGGAGCTACGGACAGAGTTAATTTTCATTCTTCCTTGAGTACAAAAGTAGTTTCCAACACAGCAGTTTTTTGGAAATGTTAGATTGATTTTTTCGAACCAGCCTTGCCGCTAAGTGTAAGTAGTTTATTAAGATTAGGTTACATCACGCAGTGATTTAACTTAGACTCGACAAAATACCTTGAGGCATTAGATAGCTGCTTCATTCTGTTATGAAACTTAGTGGATGTAAATGACCCCACTAGGAACCAATCCTAGTTCTACAGGCCTCATGACGAGCGCATAATCTTAATATTTATGGAAATTCTTTTACTAAGACGAATAGCCCATTCATTAACTCTCCAGTTTCAACGGTTTCTAGACTAAGGTCAGTTCGCTATGTAATCTATGAAACCTAGCATTATTAATGTTGATACATTTAGAAAGTGAAATATTACAAATAATTGATTCTTATTAGGAGATTTTTTTATCTTAAACAGAGTCTTATAAAAGCTTCTAGACATTATTTAGCTGCAATTTCTTAATAGGAAATTATTCGTTTAGATTTGTTTTATTCGCAATTTTTAATCAATAAAGTGTTTAGGAGTGTTTACTAATATTTGTTTATCCTAGTAATTCAAATGGTTACAACGACCTACAGCAGAAGTTCGAACATGTAAAGAAATGTTCAGATGAAGTTAGATTTAAGTGGAAGCAGCTTTATCTCTTATAAGCAGTGTATTAAAAGTCTGCTTATCAGTTGTGTCTCTAGTGTATTCGCTAAGTAACTGAATAGTAGTTTTTATCTTCTTTAATGATAAATAATTGCTATCTTTATGACATGTTTCATAATGTACACCGATGAGAATTTCTTCGAATTGCTTCACTAACTTACCTGATGACTTTCTGATATCTACCACTCACAAAAAGTATCCATTTAAAAAACTATGATATCCTCGTGAACATTCAAAATCTTTACTTAAGAAGACGAAAATTAATTACTGCTTAATAGAATAACATTATTTCATTTAAATGAAGAAGACAGAACGAAAAGACAAAACTGAAAATTTATACACTTGCTAAATGTACATTTCAAAGCTAATTATACATTGACAACTAAACAATGGTATTACAATAGGACATTACAAAAGTACAACTAACCGACCATAGTTTTAATGGATTAACTGAAACTAAAATATTCTTTCCTTATTTTGAACTCAGTTTCGTCAAAGTTTTGTTTTACAGCACAACTAATGGACTTTATTTTTTGATTAAAAGGTAAATGAAATTTAATTAAGACTCTAAGTCAATCTTTTTCAGCTTATTGGGAAAGCAAAAATGTTATTAGTTGTTCAAAACCTAGAAAAACGAAGAAATTCTTACTTGGAGACTGTGGAAGTAATACTGATATACCAGAAACAGTCACATGTGTTATGATGCAAGGTTGCAGACAAGTGGATGGTTTTGTATGCATGGATCAAACACTGGTGAGTCGTTTAGGTTGATTTTAGGTTTTTTTCTCTTTTTAAATTGTAGCAAACTTAATTCTCTGAGTGATGCGAGTTCGAATTCTCTCAAATATGAGGGTATATCTTGTCAATGAATGTCAGCTAGTTCGAAAATTAGGTCGGAAAGAGTTTCTTGACGAATTCGTCGATTACTTTTGAGGTGATGAAGGAAATTTGTAGCCCAGGTGACACGATTGTGGTGGAGTATCGTTCTCTGAGCCGCATGCTTTGGTTGTGGAGCTTTCATTAGTCTTCTCAATATCATCATCAACATTAACTTCATGTAGAAGTGAAGTTTATCGAATTTCTCCACGTATGGCTCGTAACTTGTCCTATTTACCTCAATCTTTATTAGTTGTTATCGACCTTGAACCTGTCGTTGTCTGCAGCTTTATTTTGATTGTATCCACTTTGATCTGTTTTTCGATCCTATGTTAGTCTACGAATTCTCTGATTGGTTGGTAAATTGGATCGATGTCGATGTGTTTATTACTTCCCAACTTACCTCAGCACCAAACAACAAGATAACTGAAGCCGTCTGGAATAGATCTAACACATAAATCAGAAAAATCATTTCAATCAATCCTATGTAAACCAAAGGACAAAATGACAAAACAAACATCAACTACAAAACAAACTGTTCAAACTGCGAAAAACACTACACTGCATAGAGTGGACATTCTCTCCAGATTCGTTTATGTGAGCATCAATTAGTAATCAGACTCTATGACATTTCTTCGCTCTTATCAATATATACGGACAACTGTGGACATATATTCGATTGGAACAATGTTAAAGTACTGGAAAGAAGGAGTAGAAAAAGCAAAAGAGAATTTTTAGAAGCTTGGCACTCAAGTCAGTCGGCATTCAACAAACACATCTACATCGATCCAATTTATCGAGAAATCAGGAAATTCACAGACAATCATATGACTGACAAGCAGATCAAAGAGGGATATAATCAAAATAAAGGTGCAGACAACGACAGGTTCAAGGTCGATAACAACTAATAAAGATTGAGTTCAATAGGACAAGTAACGAGCCACACGTGGAGAAATTCGATAAAGTTCACTTCTACATGAAGTTAATGTTGATGATGATATTGAGAAGACTAATGAAAGCTCCAAAACCAAAGCATGTGTCTCAGAGAACAAAACTCCACTGTATTCAGAAGAATGTTTTTAAATTTTGTGGATTTATTATCTGTATTCTTCTTGGAAAACAACATTCCATTAATATTAAGAAATATAATCATGAAATCAACTAGTTTATTGCAAATACTTAGATATGATTAGATTTTTTCTATTAATTGACAAATTGATATCGTACAATAGTAGTATGGTATGAAATAACTACAAACTGTTCATTACTCTGAATATTACACAAACTCCATCTCAATCTTCTACCTGCTTTGTACTGGAAATTATGTTCTCATTAATGAAATCAAAAAGTGATTTTTATCAAGAAGTAACATAATCTAGAAATTCATTGGAAACTACAGAGTAATATGTGCGGCTGGTTTGTCTTAGCTTGATAATTCCTGGTAATGTATAACTGTAACCGAAGATATTTGAGTCACCATATACCTATAGATCTATTAGCTATTGGGTTGAGATCAAAGAGATTTACAAATTTAACATATATCACTTTTGTAATGTAATGCTGTGACTATTTAGTATCACTGATGAGCTACTCATTCACTTTCTACACTGTTGACTCCAGAGAACTACGTTCGTAGCACAATAATATCAAAAATTCTTGCTCACATTCTGAATACACTAGTAGTATATTAAAAATTGGTTTGCTGAGATTCTCTAGGTTACATTGATCGATTTACCGATTATATAGTTGCACCATAACTTCTAGAAATTGATATATCAAAAAGAAAATTGGAGGAATGACGATTTTCTGAACTGATTTATGAATTATTATGGTATATGGTCTTTGTGTATAATGATTCAGTATATATATATATATATATATATATATATATATATATATATATATATATATCTTCCGATTAACTCATTAACTACTGTTACATGATTTACCATTCTGAACTTATTGCTAGTTTATTATTCACAGTCTCTAATATTCACTAGAAACTTAGGCTAGCTCATGTATAAATGTATTTTCTCATTCTGTGATATTTTTCGAATATAAACTATGTTTGCTTCAAATATAATGATTATGTGGAGGCTGGCTACGGACTTCTGGACTAAGAGGCAAGGTAGAAAGTGGGAAGCTGTCGAGTTTTGGGTCAATAAGGATTTAGAGTTAACTCAAGGTTTTCGGGTCTAAGGCATAATTCTGACTGGTGTCTTGTATTCGTCACGTGATATCGGTCAACATGAATGAAACAGAAATATATTAAATTAAATAAAAGACCACACATTCTGTTCATTTTGACAGCTAGTTATTAAATATTGTCATCAGAGTCGGAACAACAACTAAATGCATATCTATAAAGAAACTAACTTCAAAAGTAATTGAGTTAAAATTTCCAGAAGTCACAACGAAGGAGTAAACGTATTTTGTACTGTCAGAAGTATCAGCATTGGATAAGGGTTAACTTCATGATCAGAGGATATAGTATCCTTTAGACCCACTAGCAAACGAAGTACGACGTAGAACAATAAGAAAATCAGCTAATTAACATTTGAAAAGAATTCACTAATGTCTATTGATCTCTGAACCTGTTTCTGAACTTCTTCAGCAAAAATAGTACGTACAAAATGATTACACAAGCTTTTTGAAAAACAGAAATAGATGGTTTATGCCCTTTGTTGAATCAAAAATATTTCGAATAAACAGACAAAATTTAGGAGCTTGATGTCATGATTTTTTGAAAGAAAGAAAACACACTTCTGACAAAAGGCTGAAATCATATTTCCTTCTCTTTGTATGATTTTCAGCCAAATCTTATCCGAATGACAAATCAAGCGAATAAAATTATTTACCCTTCAGATTTTATGAAAGTTTTACAAATAAGTATGGAACTATTGAAGAATCACAATTCATATCAAAGTATAGTTAATAATAGTAGTATTGGTAATACTGACAACAATAATGATGCATCATATGGCTTAAACGTTTTATCTTCTACATTGAGTATAATACGTTTATGGTCCAGAACAATTGAATTACTCACAGATACTACCGACCAATCAATTATTAATGAAATCATTTCAGTTAAACAAAATGTTCACTCACTAATTACAGATTTAACACACCAGCTATTATCATCGGAATTCAAAGAAACCTGGTCACAATTACTTCAAGATCAAAATCGTAAATACAATGAATTATTGCCTGGTTTAAATCGGATCATTTTATCCATGTCCAAAGTAAATGCATACAATCAATTGGATTCGTGTAATACACTGATGAAATTAAGAAATGTCGACGTAGCTAGTTATTTGTTGAATTTTCAACTAAATAATACTAGTAATAATCTTTTGATAGTAAACGTATCACACCTAACGAATCCAGGCGATGAGATTCATCGTTCACAATTTAATATTAAAACGTATCCTAATAATTACCGACAAAATGCAACGTTAGGTGGAGTTTTAGCCATATTAGCCATTTCAGGTAATGAAAATGGAGAATTAATGATTGCTGATATTCCATTAGATAAATTCAGTATCACCACACAACATCAACAGAACTACATTGACACTAAACAGAATTCATATAACAATACTACGTTACAACCGGAAATACAATATGTGTTTCTGATTGCAAGTCCATTGTATGCTATTGAATTTTATACGGAAAATCAGTCAAATACAACATCAAGCAAAACTGCCGATAATAATACAACTATTCAACTCAATTATACAGTACCACTATTACGTCCGAATAAATATCAAAGTGTTTATTTCTATGAGACAACTTGGCGTATGAAATGGATGGCATATAACGCTGAAAAATATCATGAAAAGGATTTAGCCAATGAAATACGTTGTGTATACTGGGATGATCAATCGGATACAAATGGTGCATGGAATACAGATGGTTGTCAGATCGTTGAATCTACTAAAACACATGTTCAATGTTCATGCAATCACCTTAGTCTATTCGCAGTAGCTATGGAGTCAGAAGATGCACCATACAGAAGTATGCCAATATGGAGAATATGGGGTATAAGAACAGAATCAGAATGTACCATGCTGATGAATATTATTATTTTTGGTGGCAATGGTTTATCGTTGATATGTTCATTAATATTTCTTGTCACTTTAATCATTGTATGGAAGAAGGCTAGTATACCGGATGTCTGTCTAACACGTATAGGTTTATGTCTGTGTCAAATAGGATTTCATGTCAGTTTGTTAATTGAACCGTTAATGAATAAGTATCAGATACCATGTCAAGCTATTGGTGTATCATTAAATCTGTTTGCTATATTAGTATCAAGTTGGCTTTTAAACGAAGCAGTTAGTTTGTTCAAAAGTTTTGTATTAGGCCAATTGAAGCTAACTTATTGTTGGACATGGATTACAGGTATTATTATACCAGTATTGTTGGTTTTAATACCGGCAGTTGTATCAAAGTTGAACTCACACGGTGGTGATTTATTATGTTTACCAGCACATGAATCATTAGAATTTTGGATCATGTTTGGTTCAATGTTCGCTTATACAATTATTAACATAATAGTATGTTTTACATTAACTTGCAATATTGAAACACCAGCATTTTTGCCATCGAAGATACTTGATAGACTATTGTAAGTTTATAATAATTAATATATTATTTATGATATGTATATATTGAAAGGTTGTTATACTATTAATACATTTTATTGAAATATAAGAGATAGATCATAGAATTTTGATTATATCAGTAAAGTATAATATAAGAAATAGTTTTCTCAATTTTGTTTTAATGTTACAAAATCAAAGTAATTTACTTAGACGAAATATAAGTTTCATCTATAAAAACCCTACGATCCAAAATTAGTAAAATACAGTCAAGAAAAATACTTCAGTATATCAAAATGAGAAGCATTGTAAAATGACAGATAAATTGTAAATGGCATTTTAAGAATATGTTTTGACATACAAGACGATAAAAAAGTTTTTTTTTTATTTGAATGCAAAATTAGAAGAGTATATGTACTTCAGTTTGTAAATACTAACTGTGAGTTTGATTACAATTTTGAAAAGGAAAATTGACTCATCGAAAAATTAGATCACTTAACCAATAAAGTGTATGTTTTATTTATCTTGTCTCATAATATGGTGTATATTGAGTAGTTAACATGGTAAATTGATGCATTTGAGAAATTTCCCAGTTTAATAAAGTTTAGAAGATATCACCTAATAAATTAGGCATGCTACACTGAATGGAGCATACGTCGCCGACCACTCTTCTTCAACCATCTCCCCACTAGGCCTCCCTTTCCACCTCTGCTCAATTTTCATTCATTCTTCTCATGTTTGTCTCCATTCAGTCACCTAATGTGTTCGTTCCTTCGCCTTCCTCTCTACCTTTATCAATGAGGGTTTCAAGTGAGGGCTTGTCTTGTGAAGCAGTTGCGTGCTTTCCTCAATGTGTGTCCAATCCACTTCCATCGCTTCTTGCTTATTTTACATTCTACTAGAATCTGGTTTGTTGTAGCTCACAGTAGGTTCTTGCTGATGGTGTCTGGTCAATGGATCCGAAGTATTCTGAGTAGACAACTGTTCATCAAAGCTTGTATCTTCAGGATGATGGCTTGTGTATTTCTCCATGCTAACCATCAGAATGGTCAAACACCTTGACGAGCATCTCTCGACGACGGGCTGCAGCCTCTTGTACAATTGATCTTTAATGTCGTCATTGTAGTCGTTTGTAGATGCATAGCATTGGATGACGTTCATTGTGATGACCTCTTCCTTTGTCTCGAAGGATGCTATGATGATACTGGGTTCATGAGATTCCCATGCTATCATTGACTTTTGTGCTTGTTTGTACAGCATCAGTGCAACTCGTTGTGTGAGTGAAGGATGTTCTTCCTCATGATCGGAGTATAGTAGCAGCTCTCTTGAATCTAGTCTTAGTTGTTCAACCTGTGTCCAATGTGTTTCATTGACTCCAAGCACCTACTGGTTGTATCTTTCCGTTTTTGCAGTAATTCGGGACAGTTTTCCGGTCTTCCACATTGTTCGAACACTCCATGTGCCTCTATTAATGGTTGGTCTGTTTGTGAGAATGGGCATCGAATTCATGACTTATGAATGAACTGGGCTTGCATCATGATACATTATGTCTCTTGTGAATGAAGTTTTTCTGACTCCGAGGACAGAGTTTAAATTGTTTGCATTGATTTTTCTGGTTGGTGTGTTTTTAGCGAGTTAGTTTTCTGCGAGATAATGTTGCCAACCCTATCTCTTCTCCTTTATCCGGACTTGGAATCAGAAGTAGCCACAGAGGGGTTATAGGCAGAGCTTTTCGTCGATTTACCTCTGATTTAAGGTGAAAGATAATGAATCAATTTTTCAGTAGCATCTGATTTTACTTTTATTTTGTTCAAGCATTAATCAGTTGATAATAAATTGCGTTTGAAATATCTCTTCCTATACTAATTAGTTATAACAAAAGTATTCTGAATTCGAAATATCTTGATGATATTAGGTAAGGAGGTGTCTATATGTATTAGGAATTTGTTTACAGTTGTTTCGGCATTTTCATGGCGCACATACACGCCTGGATATCGGGTCAATCCAGTCAATAGACTGGTCCATATACATGATTTCGATTAAATATAACCTTATCGAGTTTGACAGTTTACTTTCGTATACGTGTCTCGTAACTTTCATGACTTCTGATTTTGAATATACGCTACACACTTTTAGATGTAAAAACAAGGATGAATTATAACGGTTTCTCACTCATTGAAAAGGTTTGATCTCATCTTTTACGAAGGTCTGTTGAGGAACATTTTACTCAGTAGACCGTCAAAAAATGGTGATATCAAGGTTAAAACTATCTCTATACATAGACAGTGAACAAACTGTGTGGAACTGAAGATGTAGTATTCATATTTCTTTCAAAACAAACATCCTATTCCTTACAAAAACTGAGCTTTAAAGCTGAAATTGTAAAGCTCTATCGTACAAGTCTGTAACTGAGACCAAAATAATCACGTATGATAATGCAATAGACTGCATGAATTTTGTTAGTGCCATAGTTTACTCTAATTAATTTGTCTAGAGAACTAATTAACACTTCACAGTCAAACCAGTCAATAAAGATGATGTCGCATCAATGCTATACATATTTTCTAAATCTGTTTTGAGGATATTTTCTAGAGACACACAAACAATTAGTTTGTCACAGTTACCAATAAGAATTTTATCACAACTTGTTTGTTTATAAAACTTTCTATTTACAACTAGGACACGTGTGAAGAATCTGAATTCATTGTTACTGTACTACATCATTAACTGGAGTTTACTCTTTGTTGTAATACAAATCCCAATACCATATGTCGTTTTTATCGCACTCGCGCTTGTCTCTTTACAGGTGAGATTGGTAGAAAAATTCACTAAATGATGTTCATATTTACATACATTTTTGTCATGTTCTAAACAAATTTTATTGACGAGCAAAGTTCAAATTAAGGATAGAAACAATTAGATAGTGTGTTAATAAAACGATTTTATAGCTGTCAAATTATCTAGTTAGTTTCACTGAGCATATGACGTATTAAGTTAAAATCTCTCAATGGAGAAGCAATAAAACTGTGTGACAGATGAGCATTTTGATAATAATGAACCAATAAATTTACTGAACAGAAATCGTTGACAATAGATAATGATCACACAAGTTGAAGTTCAAGATATAGACTAGTGGATGCCAACTCAGTAGTCCGATAGTCAATACCCATTCCTGAGACCTTTTGAATGAAGCAGCTGCCTAGTGCTTCCTGATTTTCAATAGCTGTCTAGCTAGAGTCAGTTAATGAATTAAACTACAGATTCGATGGTCGCAGCAAACGTCCAATCCTAATATCTATGAATCGAGAAGTTCTGAAGCTTAAGGCAACTAGTGTTATACATAGTTTGTATTTCAATTGTAAAACTATTCAATGTTAATAATACTACAATTATTTGTAAACTAATTGACTGTACTTTAAATTATTTGTTTATTTGAATGAAGGGAACATGGAGTTTTATTGTTTATGGTTTAGAAGATAGAGAATTGTTTAAAGCTTGTTCACATAAAACGGAAAAACAAGAGCAGGATGAGAATATTGTGGAAACTAATAAACTTCCAATAAACACTCTTATAATGAATACAGAAAAAGATGAATTAAACATAACTAATAAATCTAATCATCGACAGGGTGAAGATAATGGAAACGATACACAAGTTTCACAAAGAAATAAAAACAATAAGGATATCGAGTAGATGTTCTTTCAACTGAACCCTTGGTATCTACTTGTAAGTTATCAACTGGATTCAAAGCAATGAATTAAAAAATGTAAAATATCGACTTTTTGGATTGCATACTTGTATGTTTTATGTTGTTAAAAACTTAATTTTCATAATTAATCATTTATTCAGAATGGGATCGTTTATGTGTTTGATAAAAAGACTTATTTAATAAATTATAATTCCCGAATGAACTCTATTCTTTCTGTTGATTCAATTAAGTAAGGCACAACGGACATCAACTAACTATTTGTAAAGATGACTTATATTCTGTTCGATAAGTCGTGAAAAAAGCCGGCAGTCCAATGAACATTATGTGTAAAAAAAGTACTAGAATTCAATTTTTCGGTGTGTTGGGAAAAACAATAAACTAACAGTCAGTCAGATACAACATAGAACTTCGTACATGAGTACAAAAGTTTAGGTTGCAATACCCATCAGCGACGAAATCTCAGCACAGATACAGAAAGCTCGATTGGATTTCGCCAAGTTGTGTCACACATGGCGCAGGTAAGATATCCGTTTGCCAACAAAAGGACGAATATACTTCACAGCAGTTCTCTCGGTTCTACTATATGGATGTGAAACATGGCCGGTAAGAGTAAAGGAAATTCGTAGGCTATTTGTATTCGATTATAGAACATTGCTCATATATCCTGGGACAACCGAATAAGCAACGCTATCTGTTACTAACATCTTGCAATGAGGTGGTTTGGACATGTGTTACGAATACCCGACTGCCTCGACGAGCGATGTTTTGTGGCATAGGAGTAGAATGGAAGAAAGCTACGGGCGGCCAGATCAAAACACGGCTGAAATCCATAAAGTCAACGACAAGTGGACTGAGTCGTGTTGGTAGATGTTGGCTACCTGGTTGGGGTCCGCGAGACGATAGTCACCGATGGTTAGAGACCTTGAACGATATGGCTCACAATCGTTTACAATGTGGCTGGTGCATCCACTCTTTATGTTCTCGCTAATTCTAACCTTCTGAATTCCTCATCACCTCTATCTTTCTGTTTCTAAAGTTATCTCACTGAATTATGCTTCTAGAATCATATATTCGCTGCCTAATCTTCTCCATTACTACTAATAGTTCTACAATGGCTACCACTAGTGGATTCAAACTGACAGTTGCATCTCTGTGCTGATGCGGTATGGGAACCTGATTGGTCAATATTATGGTCATCCTTACTATATGTCACAAACTTCAATATTGTTTCCTATTCGACCTAACTGTATAAATATGCATTATCTGTAAAGCTTATTATTCCTTCCTTCTGTACTCGACCCCATAACAACTTCATCTAACGATGTTGTGTTCTGATATATACTGGAGATTTGGGAACAGTATTAGAGGTCGTACTAGAATATTTGCATTTGGTCAATCGGTAGGATTTCGAATAGCTACAAAGACTCATTATAACAATAACCTCATCAGGCACTGCTTCTCTACCTTGCTTAAGATTTCCTATAGCTTTTTCAACTTCATGTAGACTCGGAGGACCTACATCGATTTGTCATTCAGGATGACTGGAGGTCGTGGGCAACCGAAGTGTGGATGAGGGCCAGTCGAACTGATCCCTGAAGTGTTCTGCCCATCGATCCAACCTCATGGGTTGAGAATGAATGATACAGCCATCCTTTTCTGAGACAGTTTCGCTAACAGATGGATTTCTAATACCAGTTTCCTTGATGAGTCTGAATGATTGTCTACTGTTGCCTTTCCCATTTCTCTCGTTTTTGCCACCCACCACTGTTCTCGATCATTGCGTAGGCTTTTTATCAGCCTGCACCGAAGCTGACTTTGCTCTTCGTCATGTTCAGAGCCAGTTGGGATGAATTTACGAGCGCCTATCCGTTCGGTGGATGCTGCTGACATACATGGCTTGTTCTTAGCCTTATGGTTTACCTTACTAGCAGATATCACTGCTGTTTCCACAGCTTTTTGATATCATTCCAAGCTGTCTCCATATAGAAATCACTTACATGGTCGCCTAACTCTCTTTCTAGTTGTTCCTGAAGTATATTCATAGCTATGCTATCATTAAGTAGAACCCTCAGGGGTTTCCTTGCAGTGTCTTTCCTACGTCCAGTAGGTCGCAAACAAATATGTGCTCGTACTAGAACATGATCTGAATCTACAAATGTGCCCCAGAACGAGCAGGTGTCTTCTATGGAACCCCTCCATCGGTGGTTGATTGCAATGTGATCTAGTTGGGTCCAGCGTTGAGGCGACTTTGGTGGTCGCCAGGTCAAAAGATGCTTTTCCTGAAGTTACTAGAAATGGGCGGTTATATGAGCATACCTTTAACAGACGGTTGCCATTATCTGTTCTATTAGCCACGACACCATAACATCCACCAAGGTGTTTTTCCTTTTCACTTAGTCAATCTTCTTGAGTATTGAAGTCATCAGCCATTATAACTATATCAGAGTGCTTAAATTTTTGAAGACATTTAGAGAAGTTTCTGTAAAACTCTTCTTTTATTTCATCCGAACTGCAGTCGGTGGGAGCGTTGGCGGATACCACGAAGAGGCAACGGAAAATGTCCGTTTTTTCAAGTTCTTACTGTCCCATTTAGTCAGATAGAGCATAAGCTATTGTGTTCTGAAATATAGACTAAGACAGTTAGTTCTACCCCATGAGTCAATGCTATACTTACACAAGCAAGAGCCCGGGAAGCAGCATCAGGACTACCAGATACACAAAGCGTAAACCGAATCGACCTCACCCTCAGACGTGAAAGCCGAGATTCTTGGGAAATCACGAAACCAAAGCCTTTTTCGGAAACTACGAAAACAACTAATACAGGTACATGGAATGTCTGGACAATGTAAGAAAGTGGAAGGATTATTTAAATAGCTGCAAAAAGGAGATATGACCAGGCTGTACTTGGAGGCAGACATCCAAAGAATGAACAGCACTTGATCGAGACTGGAAAGGAGAGTGCCGACGGCAGAGTTGGCTGAATAAACCTGGCAGTGCCCTATGGTATCTAAGTAAGTAAACGGAAAACGAATAGCAGATATATAATAGTAAAACCGTAAGTAGCTTAGCTAATGGTTATTTAGCAATGTTCTAATCTTCCTCACCAAAATGACACTCAGGGGCTCTGGAAAATTTATAGATAATCAGACAAGCACAGTTCGAGAGTCGAACTCACTAATTAGGTGAATGAGACAAAGGCAACTAACTGGATCTCGAACAAATCATTGAAAAGTAATAAAATATCTTTAACTTGAAACAATAACCTAATTTGATGCCTTTCAATAATCAGACAACTATGAGTTAGTAACATACATTCGAAATCTTTGCCTAGCAAAAATATTTTTCACACTGAAAATGAGTTTTGTGCTTTTCAAATCAATTATTATTAGTAATGACATATTCACATTACAATAAAAACAGCAAATTGTTTGCGTAACAAAGAAATGAATGATGCAGAATATCAGATAAGATGAATATATATATATATATATATATATATATATCACAGTTGCATGAAGCTATTTCCTGAGAATTTTATTTGCAACAGAACTTCATTCAACAGACTTTTCAAGCCCATGATGTGTGGTTTGATTGGAACTTGTAATTCTTGGCACAGGAACTTGAAAGAATTCACAAAGTTGATTACGAATCGGTTTGACTATTTCCAAATCACCTTCCCTAATGAATTCGAAAAACGGTATAAAATTTTTCTTAACCAAAAATATAACTTAAATACAGATATGATCAGAGAATATTCTTTTTAGTTAGCTCTCTTCAGGTTTCACGGTTATATTTCCAAATTAATTTGCCAAATAGTGGCCACATTTAAGTCAAAATGCATCATTTAAAACCACAGCATTTAGGATTGTTCGTAATATAAATCGTTAATGTTGGAATGACTAATATGAAGTGTTCACTTAGATAAGTATGTATGTAAAATGAAATTGTGAGATTCATAATCGAATAAAAATGGTTAACATGAAGGTGAGCGATAATAATTACAAATCAGGAATCATGTCATCTATAGTAGGACGTGAGTGTGGTACGCATTAGTGAGTAAACGTGGTTGCTGAATGAATTTCTCAAAATGTTTGTAAACCTTATAAGTTCAGTCACTTCTAGTGCTCTGGCCTAATTAGTTAAGAATTATTTTGAAATGAAAATAGCGGCAGAGAACGTACACAATTCACTATACTACTGAAACTGGCTATAAGTAATCATACAAACTGTGGCAAATCAAGATCAATAATAACTTGAAACGTTTAATCCACACTAAACATTTATCTCAGATACAATATTAACATAAATTTAACCAGATAGTAAATAAAAATATGTTTACAATGATAAAAACTAACCAGATGGTTTCGGTAAGTATCGAGGATACTTGATCCACTAACTCAGATGCACATAACTCGTGAACCAGTAGACATTCATACAATTCTGTTGCAGTTGCTTTACGAATCTGATTTGTTCAACGAAAGAGAGTAAATGAATAGGTTGCATTCTACAGAAGACTTTAGAGAAAGTATGAACGTCCGAAAAGAAATCTCTAACAAATAGATCAAATCAAATTTCAGTACATTTCACAATTCTGTCAGCAAATTTAAACCCATATTTTTATGAAAGTTAGTGCAGGAACAGAGAAAAAACAATTCAGTGAAAACTTTTTTGTCAATGATATCATTTATTTAAGCTGTGTTTATAATAACGAAGAGGAATGTTAGCCTCTCACCGTGAGAGATTGGACAATTTGATTGTGTACACATTGATCAAACCTGCTCGATGCCTGGAAATAACACGGTGATGACAAAACATCCATCTACTTGATAAACTATCATGTGCAAAAATTAACTATAAATCCAACTGTACAGCTTAAGTAAATAATAATGTTAAAAAAGAAATGTTGCTTGGCGGCAATGACCTTCATAGGTTAATTACGAGAATCAGTGTCGTTTCTTTATTAAGATTTATTTTAATACACTTTATATAAAGGAGGCAAAATATCCGAACAATTTTCACATCATTAGATAATTAGACAGGTTAATTTTAAGTATAGTCACCATTTAAATAATGTCATGTGAATTCACAAATAAGTTTACAGATAAACTACTGCTAACTGGACAGTAATTCATGTTTGACTTACAATTGGGTAACGAGATCCCAATGTGACCATCAGTAAAGATAGAGATCGTTTTTGAACAGGACCAGTGAACTGTAACATCCCACCAAATCTAAACATGAGTAAAAAATAAAGATCATGCTAAGTAAAACAAATATTATATTGTCTGAGAAGTTCAAGAAGAGTGATATTTGTATGAACAATGAAATATAAAACATCTGATTTCGAAAACATCAATGATATGTCAATTGAACAATGATAGAATTACACCGTTACTATTGATTTCTAATTAAAACCAATCCCTTTATAAATAACACAAAGGAAATACAACTTTACACTGACTGATAAACAATAATTTTTCAAAAAAAATTAGTGTGTAAAAAATATTGACTAGATTCCCGTAATTATAATGTTCACTAATGATAGCAATCTTGGCAAAACTTGCAATATTACTACGTATCGGATTTTGTTGACAAGATACATTTCACTGAAAAAGTAAAAACTTCCTCTGTTCAGCACTACTTTAAAGCCTTTTTTCATCGCTATTTCGGGCAGTTAAACAATAATGACTTACATATCGATAGCAGCTTTGATACGCTGTACATCTTTAGTTAATTTAGTTTCATTCCAAACACTATCGATCAATTGTGAAAGAACCAGACTGTATAGATAGGAAAACATAAAAAAGACAAACAAATGTAGAGACCATATTTATCAATACATGCAGTTCAAAATAATCTGAAAATGATGGTACTATTATTATTAACTATGACAATAACGATCATGGATTGATATCTTGATAAGAAGAGTTGGAATATTAGACGGTTCAAAACATAGTGTGAGCAAATTTTCAGGATAAACAAATAAACAAACGCCTTCGGATGGTCAAGAGTGAGACGAGTCCATGTAGCCAATGCCACAGAAGTCCTAATCACTGCCTTCTCGTGGTCACGATGATGTTCGCGAAATTGCGGGAAGGAAAACTGAATGTCCAGCTGACGCCTAGTTCAACCAGATAGCTACGAAGTATCCACCCAGAGGAGTTGGGAAACCCTGATTCCAAACCTCAGGTGCACATGGACCATAAGATCCTGGGTTGTTGTTGGTTACCGAATATTAATGGACTGTACCATCTGACGTCGCTCCACTACCTTGCGGATTAGACCTCTTGGTCAAAGGTTAGAGAGGTGGCCCTCTAAGGCATCCACCTACGTCGGTTTGGGCAACCAGCCAGTAATATGGAATACAAACAGACTAAATGATGACGATAACTGGAAAACCTGGTGCTCGCTTCATCACTCACTCTCACAAATCGTACATGATAAGATTTGTTCTTAATTTACTTTACGTCACTTTTTTATTCCGTGATCCATATTTTGGGTATTCCTCACTCTTCAACTCATACAGCAGCTCACCTATGGTGGAAATCTTGTTTCATCTAAAATATCTCAAGTCATTTATTGTTCTAGATTTGAATGTTATCACCGATTACGAATTCTGAATCAGCCGATCAAAATGGCCTTCTTCAACATTCGCACACTGATGCAGGTCGGACAACAGATAGGGAAGTCTTAACATTAATGTCTGTTGTCTATCCGAGAACCGTAATTCAAGACTAGTGACGTCACAGCTGCAACGTAGAACTTAGTACGTACGTACAGCAGTTCAAGCTGCCATAACACATTAGCAAAGAGAGGTGGGATTGTCAGTTTAAATCCCAAAGCATTAATTGTAGTAGAAGTATCAGCAGTAATTAAAAAGATTAGGGATTGAGGATATGATTCTAGAAGTATATCACAGTCAAACAAATTTAAAAAGAGAAACAAAGTAATGAGGAATTCATAAGATTAGAATTCGAGAGAAGCCAGAGAATGGATGCATCTACATTATTGCAAACGATTTTGAGTGATGTCACTCAAATTCTTTAACCATCGTTTACTATTGTTTCGCGGACCCCAATTAGTCAGTCTACATCTACTAACATGCCTTAGTCCAGTTGTTCATTACTTCTTGAATTTGTGCGACGTTTTAGTTTGGCCATCCGTAACTTTCTTCCAGCCTAACCTTACACGGGACAGCTGTCTGTCAAGCTGGTGGGTAATTGGGCATACGTAATACATGTTCCAACCACCTCGACTGATCAAGATTCGCTACTTCATCAACTGATTTGTCATACTTACATAGTAACCTTTACTTAAAACAAGCATTGGTTACTCAGAGGTTCCAGAATAACCTAATAATGCTTCTAACACACCTATGATCGAATACTAGTAACCTACGAATATCCTCTTTCCTTAGTGGTCATGTTTCACACCCGTTAAGTAGGACGATGCGGACTGCTGAGTAGTAAATTCGTCCTTTGGCTGGCAGATGGACATTTCGATTAAGCCGCAGGTGATATAAGTTGGCAAAAGCTAATAGGACTTTCTGTAACCAATGAGACGTAGTAAAATTTTTCGTAAACATTTACAGGGAGTCACGAAACATGACAAAACAGCTCACCACTATTTCACGGTCATTAATGGTTCTTCAGTGGAGATTAATTTATAATGAAAATAATCTTCAGTAGTAATGTACTGGATGGAGGTTAAATCATACAGTATCTATTTATCCGGAGATGCAAAGACAGCTAATTTAGTTGCAGAAAAGAAATGAAACAATGAAAAACTTACCTGTTTGGATCAACTGTTGAGTTAACGATCGGATCATTCAGTAAAAAATCCAAAAATTTAAAAAGAGGCACAACAATCCTGTAAGGAAAAAAATTACATAAAACTATTCAAATGGTATTGTATTATAAGACGACTTACGATTTCAAACACTGAAAGCATATCAGGCATAAGCATTTCGAAATTCTTCATTTCTATAAACAATGCTTCGAATATAGAATAATTCTTGGAGGTGATCTAATACCAACATGTGTACATGAGACTTGTCCTCCACAGTAAACGACAGAGAGTGAATGTGTCTGCGTCATAAAGAACAATTTTGAAACATATCAACCAGTCGAAAAACATTGGTTCTGATGACGGCACAGACCATTAACAGGTGGCCTGGATTTACCTTCATGGCTCGGTCCAACTGAATATGAATCCATACACTAATATGACAGTTTGGTTTGACCGATTCTAGCTTTCTTGCATAGGTATTGATCATTAAATACCAGTAACCCACGAAAACTAATTGTTTTTAGAGGGCACGTTTCTCAACCGTAAAAAGAAAACCGCTGCACAGTGTACTCGTTCACTGGTTAGCAAACGGACATCTCTCCTACGTCATAAATGAGGCAAGTTGACCAACACCAACCGACTTCATATACCAAGTCACTAATGATATATCCACCATATCGGGTCGTAAGGGTATTTTATATATTTATATTTGAGTACTTGGACCAAAGTACGTGGAACGCAGTTTCAACCTGATACCAAATAGTTGGGAATACAGTTACTGGATCACTAACACACTAAAGTAATTAGTGAGTTTACAGAAAGCTTTCGATTGTGATACGATAATGTCACAAGAACAACTATTAACTACATATAGTTAAATCTTAATCAGTAAAGTAAACTAAGCAATCTAATTACCTTTCTTCTTGATTAAACGACTGGAGAATCTGTTCAACAATCCCTAAAACTTCCATAATAAACCGTTGATCTGATTCATGATCGAGAAAATATGCACTTAAAGCTGAGGTGCTGCATCTAATCTACATGAAAAAACAAAACAGCAAAGTTTAAAACAATGTATATAAACTACAAAAGAAAGTATGATATATTTGTACTGTTATAATAAATGTCTATCTAACAGCTAATTTTTAAAACAATTAGTCCTATTGATAAATTTGGATAATACAATAAGAAGGTGGACGTTATTAGAATCATGTGATGTATCTGCACAATACATTTAGAACAATCTGATCATACTCGTAATTATTAAGACATATATGAAAAAATAAAAGGTCAACTAAACAAATTAGGTGAAGGGAAACAAATATAATCATACAACACACAATCGGGAAACCACGCTGGATAGTAAATCAGTAATACCAAGGCAGGCTAAAAGTAAGAACAAATGTGTCATTCAATTTTAAAAGGGAACATTTTCAACAGCCTGATAGCGTAGCTATGGGTAGTCATTTAGGACCAGTACCGGCTGCTATGTTCATTGCATATGTGGAAAATCTGGTTTAAAATTCAATGCAAAAGATATGGTAGGTGGATGAGATTATAATGTGATAAACACAAAGGTGTGAAGCCCTAGTTAAATTGTGGTGGCGTGTCGTCCTCTGAACTGGATGTTTTGGTTGCGAAGCTTTCATCGATCTTCCGAACAACATTATCGGCACAAACTTCAGATAGGAGTGAAGTATTCGAATTTCTCAACGTTTAACCCCTAGCTTGTTTTGTTAACCTCGATCTTGATTAGTTGCTGCTGATCATAAACCTGTCGTTGTTTGCAGCTTTGTTATGACTGTATCCCCATTGTGATCTGTTTCTTGATCCCATGGCAACTATGATTTTTCTGATTGGTTGATAAACTGGGTCAATGTCGATGTGTTTGTTGATTGCTGATTGACCTGAGTTCTAAGCTTCTAAAATTTCTCTAGTGTTCTTCGTCCTCCCCTTATCCAGTATTTCCACATTGTTCTAATCGAATGTACGTCCATAATTGTCCGTGTGTCGAAGAATTGTCGTGGCGTTTGACTGATAATTGGTGTTCACGTAAACGAAGCTGAAGAGGCCATCCACTTTAACAATAAATGACTGCAAACTTTACATGATTTTAAGTTCATAGATTGAAGGTGATTCTTTTTGAACAATTAAAGATTTTTCCAACATTCTACATATTATTACTATTACAATAAACTTATTTGGCTTCAAAGATAATTATTTCGAGTGGGAGCTTTAAGCAACAGATTTTTAAATTATCTAACAATAGATAATTAAAATATAAATGAAGTATTAATTAAATTATCCTATAGAGAGAAAACATAACTTTTGATCATAAGTATCAGGAAATTTATAAAGAATGAACAGAATTTGGCCAGCAGTCAGATTCACGACGGACAAATCATCCTAGTTGGGACTTGTCAGCAGGAACCTTAGAGTGAATATTCATTCAGGAACTCGGGTCCAGTACCTTTTGTTTCAAATGTCAGTCTTAATCAACATATGGGCAATCCATGAGAATTGTCTCAATACAACCATTTTACTGCAAGCCAAAGTCTATTTATTCCATATAAACTTGAGTCATAATGGCTATATAGAGGTAAACCGCATAGGATGCACATGTACCAACCAAGACTGATCAAATTTCAGTCAAAATATCAACAGGATAATCCAAACTATTTGATTTTGAATTGTAACAGAAAATTATTTACATACAAACTATGTATATAGAAATGAATATATATATATATATATATATATATATATATATATATATATATATTAGCAATAGTTGGACTGTAAGACGATTGTTTCGTTCGATTTCACTTTCAAGACAAAAATACCAGGTAAAATATTTTCGCAGAATTTCTCGAGTACGTAAATGAATAACATTAAATCAAATTTACTGAAGAATGTATATATACACATCACGTTTGAATTGCGTTAGCGTTAGCGAAATGGAACACAAAATCTAACTGATCTGTGCAAAAATTTTAGTTTTTTGTTTAATTTCTAAATAGAGATTATGAATGCACATAATGCTGTCTTATCTTACCTTGTTGCTAGTCGACTTCTTGGGTTTATGATTGTAAACTAACAATTTAGATAGATGATTGAATATGACAGTTTGGAATGATTCATGTAGTAGTGAACGTGCTTGTTTTGTGCATTCATTGAAGAAAAAAAGTATTTTAAAATTACAGAATTTCGACAGTCTTTGTTTTTGAAGATAATGTTGCATGTGTAAGTAAAAAAAAACAATACTTGTTTTTTTTAAACATTTGGAATGAATACCACACACAATAAACAAAGCCCCTTGAACATAATAAAATTACAAAATTAAAATATAAATTCTAAACAAAAAAAAAGAATTTACTGACTGTTAATTCCGTCAGACCACCGACACTGACAATCAAGCCTAAAATTAAACGATAACGATATTCTGGAAAATCCAACAATTTTGTAAAACGATGAAATGTCACGTTGGCCGAACTCCATATCATATTATCACAATCAGATCTAATAATGAATTTGACAAGAAAAAAAATATCAATAGTAGCTACGTACGTAGCCATTAAACTGTTGTATGCAAAAAATCAATTCTCGGTGTAAATGCAATTTTTCACTATGCCTTTCGAAAGTAACATCATAAATATCTCAGATAATGAAGATTTCTTAGGTATTACATCATTCAAGACCGATCGTGTATTAAGTGCGGATGCGTTCACGTTTTTGTTCTTATTCACATATTTGAATAATAATAATTATAATAAATAATATTTTATGCCTTTTTCATTTATCCCCACATTGAAATTGTTTAATGATGATGCATGAGTTGTTTTCTGATCTGCAATATAATTACGCACTAATTGTGTTACCAACAGATTAGTGTTGTGTATCTTATAAGAAAAAAAGCGCAAAAATATGAATCAGCCGACGAGCTAGTCAGATTAAAATTAGTGTCAATTGGATTTTTCGGTGCATTTCGAAAGGTTATGATGGATAACTTGTACATTAATAAGAGTTTGGTATAAATCTAAAACGCTTAAAAGTTGATAGATATGGGAAAATTAGAATGGATTATTTACAGCTTTTCGCTGACTAGAATAAAAGAAATAACTGCATACCTACTTAGCCATATGGCTAAAAGCATGTTTCGACTCTATCCCAAAACATTAGTCATAGCTCGTGGACACAAATCCTAATCTTAACTTCTAACTTGATTTACGGCTTCTGTGTAATAAATTATTCATCCATAGGACTTACATTTTGACTGGTCAAAAATTAGCTTTACTTTATCAAGATAATTTAGGATACCCGGAATGTCGATAGTAAAGTATGCTTTCATCAAAAAGAAAGCACTTGATAATCAGATTAAGACAAGGGTCTAATGAAAAAGAACATTTCATTAGAAGCAATAAATCGATATGTAGTGATACAGTATCAGACGACGAATAAAACACTCTTCAAAGTAACATTTCAACAGATTTGAATTACTTCACAGGCATGAAAATTCAAATGGCTTAGAATTTAAAAAGGACATTTATAAGATACATCTTAGTAACAGGCAAATTCTATGAGTAATTTACGTACACTAACAGAGTCATATCGACCATGACAAAATGACAATTCTATATTACAAATATTCACTTTTACATAGAAGAATGAATAGTTGAAAAAAAGAGATATATAGAAATTACTTTGGGAATATTTGTTTCAATTTATCACGGTGAGAAATGTGTTCGACAGGAGGACTGTTGAAAAGAAAAGACAAGCATATTATCATTATTATGATTAGTATGTATGAAAACTATTTTTTACACTAATCAGTAGTTTTTTAAAGTAGTATATTTTGTCATTTAAATTCTAGCCATGAAATTGTGAACAATAAAGTTTTGGTTTACACATAACAATTAGGACAGACTATTCACCATTAATTAGTTAATAGATGTCACAAAAGTAAGACACCCACTATTCCATAAGCATCATAAATGTAGTTTGAAGAAATATGATTTTTCATTATAGAGTTATGAAATAAGATTTTGTTTTAGAAACAAAACCTTATTGTCCCGGTATTACTTATCCAGTGTATAGTTCTAAATATAGTTTTTATGGACAGTAAAATCTATATATGTGTGTAACAAAACTGTCTAGGGTGGTTACCTATTCATCCACCTATAATATATGTAAAAGCGACAATTGCAATAGTTATTTGCTTTTACTATGCTACATGGGAATAACTGAACCAATTCATTTTCTATCTCATTTCTGTTTCACCTCCTGATCATGCTTTCTTTTCGACATTCTTTACCTGCTCTCGTTAATAAACTTGGCACGTTAACATTGTTTCACTTGGCTAGGCGTCAAAAAAAAAAGAAAAAAATACGCCATGAGAATATGATTCACTCACTCATGATGAAGTAAATGAGCAAACACTTGACCAGCTACACCTCGCGTCCGATCGATTTTTTCAACAGCCTGCTGTGCAATTGTCGTCATCACTTCTTCAATCCTAAATGCAAAGTAAAGCAGCAAACGAGACAATGTCACTGGTTTTTAGCGATACAATTAAAAAAGATTCACAGATTACAAGTTGAAGTAGTTATTTTCAGTAACATAATTGAACTTGCAATATCAATATCCATTTTATGATTACAGTGACCAGTGGTTAAAGACTTGGAACAATATGGCTTAAAATCATTTGCGATGGTGCAGGTGAATTCAATTTTGTATTTCTTTAGAATTTGAGTTTTGTGATAATTTTTTGTTCCACGAATTCCTATTTCCTCTATCTATATCTTCCAAACATAACAATTCCCATTACCACCGATAATAATATTACTTCTAATACTTGACAGCATTATCTTCCTGTGTTGATACGGTGTGGAGACTTGAACAAAGGAACATATATGCAAACTCATACGTATGGACAATCGACTGAGATTAATGTGTTTCTTATAAATGTCTAAATGGAAAGTTCAACTTTTAAAATGTAATGTAATTATTTTAGTGAAATGGATAAACATATATAAACTTACATGTCTGATGTAATAAGCTCTTTGTATTGATTACTTACAAGAAACTCAATATATGAGTCTAGACATTTCATTCCAACTTCACGAACCCTTTGTATGTAAAATAAAGGAAATAAACCGAAGCTACTAATCAGTATCTGCTGTAAAGATCTAAATGGCACTATGACAACAAAGATTGGAAATAAATAACACCATGATATTATCTTATTAATAAATAAAATAAACTTAAAAACAGATATCCACAGATAACATGTGTTAATCATCATAAAATACAACCAGTTATAATAACTAGATAATAAGCTATGGAGAAATAGCTTCCTAATTAATGGTATTTACGAGTTGCTTAACTAGAACATAGACACACATTTAAACGTCCGACAATAGTTGTTTTCCTGGACCTAAAAGCGGCATTTGACTCTGTCAATCGTGAGGTTCTGTGGCAGTGTCTGTCATTGAAAGGTGTACCAAAGAAGTACATTAACCTTATACAAGCACTCTACTCGAACACCACTGGTCGGGTGAGAGCATATGGCGAACTGTCATCTGAATTCTCTACTTCAAGTGGTGTCCGTCACGGATGTCCACTTCCTCCATTCTTGTTTAATTTTATCATAGACATGCTCCTAGACATAACATTGTCCTCGTCTGAATTTTCAGGAGTAGACCTTTTACCAGGTGGCTCGCTTATTGACTTAGAATGTGCCGATGACATTGTCCTACTTGGTGAAGACGCTGACAAAATGCAGAGTCTTCGGACTACCCTAAGCAACAATGCAAGCATGTTCGGTATGCGGTTTTCCCCCTCGAAATGCACAATGTTGTTTCAAGATTGGGTTGCTTCGGCACCTGAACTAGTGATAGGGAGTGAAGTAGTCGAACGTGTAGACCGCTTCACTTATATGGGGAGTCTCATCAGTGCTGATGGCATGGTGACTGACGAAATCTCAGCTCGGATACAGAAGGCTCGATTGGCTTTTGTCAACCTGCGTCACTTATGGCGTAGAGGAGATATCCGTTTGCTGACTAAAGGACGAGTGTACTGTGCAGTGGTTCGCTCCGTCTTACTTTATGGCTGTGAAACATGGCCAGTGAGAGTAGAAGATGTTCGTCGGTCATTGGTTTTCGATTATAGGTGTCTTCGAAGCATTGCTCGTATATCGTGGGACACCCGAGTGAGCAACGCTGTTATTAGGAATCGGGTACTAGGTAAGAATGGCAGATCAATCGATGAAGTAATGAAACTTCATCAGTTGAGGTGGTTGGGACATGTGCTGCGTATGCCTAACCACCGACTGCCTCGTCGAGCTTTGTTTTGTAGTGTAGGAATAGGTTGGAAGAAAGTTAGGGGCGGCCAAATCAAAACATGGCAGAAATCCATGAAGTCATTGACGAGTGGACTTAGCCATGTCGGTAATTGTCGACTACCTGGTTGGGGTTCGCGAGATGATAAAAATCGATGGCTAGAGACCTTGAATGACATGTCTCAAATTCGTTCGCAATGGCGCCAGTGCATTTATTCTTTGTGTTCTCTCAAATCCTAATCTTCAACACCTCTAGTTTTGACTTTCTAAACTTTTCTCACTGAATCATACTTCTTGAATAGTATCTTCTAACCCTAACCTCTCCGATTACTTCTAATACCTTTACTACCTCTTCTACTTTTGGATTTGAATTGACAATTGCATCTCTGTGCTGATGTGGTATGGCGACATGAACTGATGTACTTACGTACGAAGTTCTACGTTGCATCTGACTGACTGAGAAATCATCGTGTGCTAACTTTGCTTACGTTATTTACATAGTTATCAAAATAAATTTATCGCTACGAAAACAAACAAATACTATTCTTGTAAATCTGTGGTAGTTGATAGCATCTACAAAGATTACAGCTCTTCGGATATAATGTGAACCGTAATGACGAGTCAATACTGAAATAATGGAAGAACATATTTATTACCCCATACCGAAAAAAACACCGGAAGAAAGTAAGAGGAATTTAAAGCAAACATGATAAGAGAATTTATTTTCACGCCAGTGATGTCTTAAGTTCGGAGTTAGTTAGGCTTGCAAAGGAAGAACGAGAGAACAGTGTTCGTGAGACCAGTCGTTAGGAATCCAATGTAGTTTATGTGGGAGAAACATCTAGACGGTTGCATGTGAGGTTGAAGGAACACAAACGGAGTTTGAAACATGTTTCATAATCCTCGGCTGAAATATATATATATATATATATATATATATATTTGAGCAAATAGAAAGCAGATACTTATAAATGCTGTGAATACAAAGTTTATTGGAACGATGTGCTCAAACAATACTGATTACGTACCTCCGACCAAATTTATACACCTACATTTATGCCGAGTAAAGTAAACTCAGTGTTTGAACACATGATGATAGTATTTTGTGTAATTAAAGGAACAATCTAACCACTTACAGAGAACCTACATCTCCACGAGAATCCATCGTATAATCAGATAGAGATTGGAGCAATACATGAAAAACAGTTTTCAAAAGCGTAGTATTTAGTTCTGGGTGATGAGATCCAAGATTTCTGATGATTCTAGAATTAAATTAATGGAATCAAAAATGCAAAATAATATTTAACCAAACGTTGAGCAAAATTATCCAGTTATAAATTCAGCATTATAATAAATTACGTCAATAAAATTATTGGACATGAATTACGTAGTTGATTCTTAACTTTCAAATATAATTAGATAATGTTATCGTAAATTGTGATCTAAAATCCAATAGAAAAGAAATAACATGGAAACCGTTGCAACCACTTTTACAGGGTTTCTAAGAAGTTTACAAACATCTTGAAGATACACTTTCAGTTAAAGGCATTAGCTGGGCATTCACTTTTCCTTTTCGTAATTTCGTGAACATCATCGTTACCACGAAAAGGTAGTGATTAGGACCGTATGAGAACACCTCAGGATGGAGAGAGGAGACTTCCTGTGCTCTACCGTACCAGGGCATTTAGGGATCCTTTGATTCGTTCTGATGTATTTTTCTTTACTGAAAATTATTATTATTTCACTCTCGTACACTAATGTCTATCCTTTTTCTGTTATTCTCACTGCTGATTCTCTATTTTTTTCACAAACTTATTTCGATTATGTGGTACATATATATATTTTAGTGATTATGTATACCAAGATCTGTTTTACATTAAATAAGAAAAACAATCACAAGTAAATTACTTTCAAACGAACGCAAAAATAGGACGGTTACTGTTTTCTAATAGGTGTAATATAATTCAACATTTTGGCGGAAGGTTAAAATCAATTATGGAGAAATTTGAGATCTTTAAATCAAATAATGTGAAAATGGTATTATGAATTTACAGCATTAATTTCGTAGATAACCTCTGTTTTTCAGTTCATGTTACTGAGACTAAGAATATGAATGAACCACTAGTGAGTTATATCGATTATATGAAAGAGGTACACGTTATAAAGTAGCTTCAAATGGCAAATCACCAGAAAGAAACTATGAGTACAATTCCGAAATTTGTTGATCGAAAAATTTATGTTGTAAGTAATGACGGAAGTGGACGAACTAACATTCTAGAAACATAAATCTATTTATGAAGTGTTATTTCTGAAGATGCTAACTTACGCGATGAGCAGTTACTCAGGACACTATTGTGGAACTGTCAAATAATGTCGATAGTAAAATTTTGCCAAATATATTTAAGATTTTTCAGTTTAACAGAAAACTTACTCTACAAGAGCTTTTAAAGCGGATCCGCGAGAATTCACCCAACATTTTGTTTTTGGAGTTGATTTACAAGCACCCATGACGGTATCCAACAAATCGGCAACATGTCCACAATATAAACTATTTGGAGCTGCACCAATAATTTGTAAGTATCCAGAAAGTTTAGATTCAGAATTGGTGATTAATTGAAGCAAAAAATTCCTGTACAATAAGTCTGAAAACGGAAGTAATGTAAGAACTAGGTATTAAATCAATAACTTATGATGAGTAATGTGATTATTTTAACAATCAAATTTTGTCATTATATAACTCATAAACAACGTCTATTCAGACAAATTCAAAGAAATAAACAAAGACAATACATCTAAGTGAGATTACATTTACTGTTTAAGTAACTGTACAGTGAACCGATAGACCAATTAGTAAAAGTAAATATATTATGAATTTTTAAGTGATTTATCGAACTAACTTTCAGGAAAATAGAAATCAGTAAGTTACAACGTAGAACTTCGTACATTCGCACATACGTTCAGGTTGTCACACCACTTTATCACACAGATGTGATTGGTAGTTCAAATAACATAATGGTAGAGATAGTAGAAGCATTAGCAGTAATGGAGAAGATTAGGATTTAAAATATTATTCAGGAGGTATGATTCAGTGAGATAACTTAAGAAAAAGAAGGATAGAGATGATGAGGAATTCAGAAGATTAGAATTTGAGAGAACACAATCAATGAATGCACCTGCGCCATTGTAAACGATTTTAAGCCATGTCGTTCAAGGTCTCTAACCATCAGTTACTTTCGTCTCGCAGACCCCAACAAAGTAGCTTACATTCGCCAAAATGACTAAGTCCACTTGTCAGTGATTTCATGGCATACGTAACACATGTCCCAACTACCCTAAATGATGAAGTTTCACTACTTCATCTATTGACCTGCAATCCTTACCTAGCACCCGTTTCCCAACAACAGCAATGCTTACTAGATGGTCCCAGGATACACAAGCAATACTTACGAGACACGTATGATCGAAAATCAGTAACCTATGAATAACTTCTACTCTTATTGGCGATGTTTCACAGACATAAAGTAGGACGGAGCGAACTACTGTGTAGTACACTCGTCCTCTAGTCAGCAAACGGATATCTCGCCTACGCCATAAGTGAAGCAGGTTGGCAAAAGCCAATCGAACCTTCTGTATCCAAGCTGAGATTTCGTCAGTCACCAGGCCATCAGTACTGATGACTCACGAGATAAGTGAAGTGATCTACATGCTCGACTACATAACTGCCTATCACTAATTCAGGTACCGATGAAACCCAATCTTGAAGCAAAATTTTGCATTTTGATAAGGATAACCGTATCCCATGCATGCTTGCATTGTTGCTTAGGGTAGTCAGAAGACTGCGTTTTGTTAGCGCCTTTGACAAGTAGAATTATGTTATCGGTATATTCTAAGAAAATAAGCGAGCCTCCTGGTAGAAGGTCCACTTCTGAAAAGTCAGATGAAGATAATGTTAACAGTAAAAGCACATCTACGACAAAGTTAAACAAGAATGGAAAGAGTGGACAGCCCTGACGCACACCACTTGAAATAAAGAATTCCGCTCACTCGACCAGTGGTGTTCGAGTAGAGAGTCTGTATACGGTTAATGTACTTCACTGGTACTCCTTTCAGTAACAGACACTGCCATGTACGCTCGCGCTCAACAGAGTCGAATGCCACCTTAAGGGCGAGAAATACTACTAGTGTGAGACGACTGAACGTGTGTCTTTGTTCTAGGACCTGACGTAGTGTGAATATATGGTCCATACGTCAACGTCCAGGTCCAAAACCAGCCTGGTTTTCTATAGTCTGCTCTTCACCAACTTTCGTCAGGTGTCGAAGTATTACTGAGGCCAATATTTTAGATACTATATCAGTTAGATTGATTCCTGTGTCCATTCTTATAAGTTGGGACAATCAGGAAGGAATTGAGACCAGTCAGATAGGAAGGATTACATCCAGTTCCCAAATTCTACCGAAGATCTCAGTCAATCTGACTGCTAAAACTAGACCACCATCCTTACAAATATCAGGGGTAAGCCTATCAGGACTCGCTGCTCTCCCTTGCTTCAGATTTCCTATAGATTTCCCAACTTCATGAAGAATCGGAGGACCTACATCGATTTTCCACTCAAGTTGACTGGAGATCGTGGGCAACCGAAGTGTGGATGAAGGCCAGTCGAACTGATCTCTGAAGTGTTCTACCCATCGATCCAATCTCCTGGGTTGAGAATGAATGATACAGCCATTCTTTTCTGAGATAGTTTCGCTAACAGATGGATTTCTGATACCGGTTTTCTTGATTAGGTGGAATCCTTAATTAAGCGGAACAAATAAGATATTCTGATACCAGATAAGAACTATGATCTGATGAATAATCCTCAACAAACTGCGAGCGTAAACGCGAGGAGTAAAACCATGAAATCTTACTAGAATTGGATGGAGCACTACTATGATAAATTCTACCAAAAAATTAATAACGACACTTGATCAGTCTATTTGAATATTATTTGTAGCGAATAGGATTTATCAATGGTAACGCCTACCACAGTAGCATAATGTATGTGTAACCGATTTAAAGGATGCTATTCACCAATTTGGAGTGTGTTTACTTAAATGAAATTTATCTACAGAATTCGACTCATAGACATAAAAACACTCCTCATTCATAGATGGACGGCACATGTATACTAGCAGTCTGAGTTTCATCCGCTACTTTATCACCACCTAATAAACACTGCAAACCTGTAACCGAAGTACGAAGATGAGTGTATATTCGTGACTACGTATGATTATTCCTTGACTTGGTTTTGATGTGACGAGCTGTCGCATGAAAAATATTATCTGACGAGTCTAAACTGAAAATATTGTACTCCCAAAGTGATTATAACAGTTTGAGGAGCACATGCTTATATGAATGGTAATGCTGATAAACGGAAAAGAATGTCCCAGTAAAAAATAGCTGGCCAATCAAAAACCAGTACATACTAGTGAAAGATTGTTAGCAAACAAATTAACGGTTAATCTATTTTGTAAAATTTGTTAACCTACCTTTATAGTCAACTTTCAGTTCACCATTTCGGTTGTATAAATAAGTTGATAAAAAGTGAGGATATGCATTCACAGTAGCTTTCTGAAAATGAAAATATAATTTATTGATGGAGAAAAAAAAGCAATGCTTCTCTCATAAATTAAAGTTTATTTATGACAGTTAATTTTATTATGTAACAACCTAATGTATCGAAATGGAGATTATTTCTTAAATGAATAAAGAAAATTTTGTTAATGTGTTCAACTTTCGTTTAAACTGTTAAGTATTACATAATATGGGATAAACTGATAATTATAATACTGAAAACAAGCCAGAAGAAAATAGCCCCATCTCCATCTGTCATCAGAAGAAGAACAAAACCAATTACGATATGATTTTTACACCGCTTCATAATTTTATTGTAACGATTGTTTAATACTTTTAATGCAGCTTCTAAAAGACTGAATTCATTTCCAATCAAGAAGAAGTGTCAACGTTTGGAATCAAACTAACCGACGAATAAAGGAGATGAATAAAGACAGAATGATCTGAATTTTAGATTACAAATATTAGTGAGTGCAGAAATAAAATAACAGTTAAAAGACGATAAATGATGACGAACAAACGAAAGATCGTATGTTTCTCAGTGAGCTGTTAGAATAAATTTAATCAATAGCCGTTTGCTTATATCAATATGATTCATAAGAAGAGCTTAAATGTCAAACTATTTATCACACCAAACATTAAAAACTTCAATAGCGGTTTTTCGAAAGATTTCATTTATTAGAAGTGAATGGGCAAAACAAAACAAAAGCAACTCTAAAAATAATTAAAACTTTAAATAACGTAATATTATAGATTTTTTCAATGTAAAGTTTTATCGGTCCTTACCTGTACTTCAGGATTTGCGTGTCCGACACAATCGTCCAAGAATTCACGCCAAACCTCTAACGGTACAAAAATAATATAACAAACAAACAAAACAATAAATCTAAAGACGAATGTGCAGGATTTCGCACATAGTATTAGGAAAAAGTAATAAGGACGACGTAATGAACGGTTGGTTACATGTGCTATCGAAATTAACAATAAATGATGTATTTATGATACCTTCTTACTGGTTAGTCCAACAGCATGTGGTCATCAACTAGAAAAATAACTGGATCTGATAAATACGAAGTTACGCGCTATGTATTCCACAATAATAAGATTTAAATATATATATATAGTCGTGGTGCAACTCGCCTAGAATGAACACGTTTATTCAACTAACCGCAAGCAATACTTTTTGTGAGATGGTTGGTGACGCTTCGCAAACCCAAATAAGGTTGAGTTTAAACCTACAAAATAAGTTGGGGGCCGAACGCTTTAATTGTGAAGTCATCAATGCTATCATCCATATCTCATCGAAGAATGAAATAAAATCGACGTGACTGAGGGCACTGAGATGAGTAACTCACTATATCACGAAAAAATAATCTGTTCCCTCGGTAGTTTATTCCGAACTGCAGTTAGTCAATGGAAAATAAAAACCAAAGGGAATTCGACAGATAATCTAACATAGTTTAGGATTTATGGAATGTGATCACACACGATACCACTTAGTATCAAGTACAGAGACATAAAGTATTGCGACAACCGCAATACTGGAATGCAATGTTCTGTACTCTCAAATTCAGTTAATTTGTGATGAGTCACGATAATCCTATAACATAATCGATTAGATGGTGTTTCATTTCTGAGTTGCTAAGTCTATATTTCATTATCGCCTATAAGTAACGGTGAACTACCTTGAATACATTTACCAAATAAAATATGATTATTACAAATAAGTGATGTTCATCCTTGCAGGTTTAAGTATGTCGAATGTTATAATTCCTAACCAAACAGAAAAGTTATAATAAGCGTAGCAAAAACTTACCTATAACTGGATCATTGTGAAATGGTAGTTTGGCCATTGCACAATTTTGAATAAAATTAGCGGTTGCTTTTCGAATTAATTCACCACTCAAACCACGAAATTTATTAGCACTTTTGAGCTGAGTAGAAAAATTGTCAAGACATGTCTTATTAGTAACCACACATAAAAATGATGAACAAAATGAACGCATAAAACAGATGTTCAAACTGTTCTCGAAAATTTATTACGTAAAAAACAAGTTGTGAGATATTCATTTGCGCTTTCAAAGACAATATAGAGATCACTATTCATTTGTTGCACAATTATCTAAACAAAACTGCATCATTGACAACCATAGTCACTACGATAAAAGTTTAATAAAAGGTTATTCGTAAGCATATTCCAGTTTACAACGAAATAACTGGATTGAACGAAGACGGAATATGTACGTTAACGTGTACCAAAGCTCTATACAGCTTGAAAAAAGGTAGCGGAATTTTAATATGGCAATCAGGATCGGTAGAACTGCGTGGATTCAGTTCGTTAACTAAATGGTCACAGACACTATCAACAAATCATCTACGATAGTAAAATACTAGGCAAAGAGAACATTATCCTCGACCAATTCATGGAGTAAAAAGACAAACAAAAATTTTACAATTCTGAATCTAGTGGAAGACGAATAGTGAATTGATATGTGCAATTATAATCGGTTATTAGCCACATCATTGGAAATCTCTTATCACTGGTTATGATAATTGCACAAATTCTCAACTAGGTAGTCTACAAAAACCGACATGGTTCAGGCTAATAGACAAAATCCTCGAAAATACTACGTTTTTGGTTTGTCTGACCCTAGCTTTTTACCAACTTATTCCTACAACAGCCATCAGTGCCCGTCAATTTAGGCATACATAACACATCCCAACCACCTCAATCAAATACAGACTCATAAACTAATCAACCGATTTGGTATTCTTGTCTAACACCCAGCATATAACCCCATAACTGATCATACACCCACGATCGAATATCAGTAATCCACTCGATGCTAAAATAATAAAACGTTACACTAGATAAATTCGAAAACGAAATTCCCTTAATCAGTTTCCTAGTAAACTTTTATTGTTTAACAATATATAATGATTATTAGATATTTTGTGACAAAAGAAGCATTGAGCAAAATTTTTGGACAATTATTAGTATTAGAAGTCAAGATATGTTTTTCTTTCAATTTAGGACAATACAAACTGTAACAAACAGAATTATATCCAAGTTAAAGTTACGAAAGTAGCTTCCTTTGTAATTTCACACTATTCCGCGTTAATGTCTTTCGAAAATGTTTAGATCATAGTTACCGCTATTTTTAAAGATTGCTGGTCGGTATACCACATTGCCCCTAAACTGTGTAACTGTTAAATCGGATGAAATGAAACAGCTTACAGCTATCGCCAAACAGCTACTAGTAACCTTTCAATACAGATTTCCACCACTTCCTATGATATTAGTTGGGTTGCAGAGATTTAAGTATGTCTGTGAAGCAACCTCTATTAGCTTAGAATGTCCGACAAGTTGTGTACTTGGTCATTCCTAGATTTATAGTAATTGTCCTAGTTGATTTTTAAACCTTGCAAGTGATGTCGAGGCTCGATTAACAGTGTTTGAAAATGATAAGGACTGCGATACACAAAAAGAATCGAAATTAGTAGACCTGTAAACTCGGGCCCTACAGAAACTGTAAAATGAACTATGAATGTTGTTTGCCATTTTCATTCTTCTTTAATTTCTTCCTCATATTATTAGTATTAGTGTATTGAATTTCTACATTTTGACTAATACACATAGTTTTAAGGCTACACACAACCACCAACAATAATAATAGAGTAATACTTGAAGATAAATATGGCTCCCTATTATTATTATTATTATCATTACGATTACTATTTATCTTCTTTGTCATAAATATTAAAACGAACAGATATGTTATAGGTACTTTATATTTAGAATATATCTTCATGCCTAATTCCTACAAAAATCCAAAAGAATATGTACTATCATTGAGAATGGGAATTCAACTTACTGCTGGAACAATTTCCTTAATCTTCAGTAAATTTTCCTCATTTATATCACAACTAAAAGAGTTAGGAATGTTAATAATCAGGTAGAACACTTGGAAATAACAATTAAATTAGAAAACGCTACAGTTAATTTAACTGGAACTTCATCGAATTCATTATTATAACCACAGTGGTTGTTTTATGTTAATATATGGTGATATACTACGTAGTATACTACTATATTACATATTCGTTTATCATTCCATAACGTATAAGTAAGATCACCACCAGTAATTGTGCATCTGTAATTCAACTTTCATATTCTTAAATGTAACATTCAAAATGAAAATTTGTGCAGAATGGATAAGAAGTACAACTAGTAATAGTCTTGTAAATTTTCCCTACTCGGAGACTGACCAGAAGACCAAAAAGTCAGAACCCATATACAATGCCGATGCACTGTACAAAAAGCCATTCTGATATTTCGTCAATTACCTTATTATCATCAATGTCCAAAAGTCTTTAGGAAAAATTTAAATTTCAGTCTAATTTACTTGTATAACAGAAAACAGTTAATTGAATAAAATTTGAAAACTATAGAGATAGAAATTAGACATTGTTACTGTTTCGGCATCATACTTAGAATTTTCAACCCATTTAAACTGTCATCACAATTTAAGCATAAACTTAAAACAATTTCTTATATAAGTGGAAAAAAACCTTCACTGATGAATTACATTCAGAATTCTGTGACTAAAGATTAAATACTACAAGGGAGTATTCTGTCAGTAAACTGTATTTGAATGCTATCCAAAAAATGAATTAAAACGGATTACACAATGATAGACTGCCGTATACATATAGATATAGCATAAAATAATTCAATGAGCCATCTCATTTTCATTGATTTGATAATTAACGGTCAACATTTATAATAGAAAATGTGATAAATAAACGGTTACAATGATATATATAATACAATCAGTAAACCGCTAACCTGGATGCTGCATATACCAATTCACCTGTTCCAAATATACACCCCTGTTGATTGTGTAGAGTAGATTTAATCGAACCATTGATTATTTGAGGTAAGACTTAAAAGCAAAATGAATGCGTCCTATTACTTCAACCGTGAAACCAGTTGAAAATTTAAATTTTAAGCTGTCTGATAACACATAGAGTAGCTGCGTTAACTGATTTCTAAGATTCCTTAAAAGGAAAGATAACATGCCATTTAATGCCAAAACAACGAACGTAGCCTCCATTTTACGCCGACTTAATGACTGATCCTAGTAGCTTTGCAGCTGTACTTATAGCCTTTGACTTTATAAGGAGAAAGTATACTTTTTAACTCAATTTCAGTTAAAAGCTACCAGTAATTTTTCCTAGTAAACAGATTATGAGGAAAAATGTACTTCAGATTTTACTAAACATTGTTAGCCACAAATGATGTGTAATAAGTAGGTTTAACGAAAAAGTTTAAACTGAATGAAAAGCGAGTGACCTACAAACTAATCTCCTCTTAAACCTCTATAACCATTTATGTTTATTTCGTTTCTATTTTATAGGTCATTCAATTAGATGAGAGACCAATTGTTCTGACTAAAATGGTCTTGTCTTTAATTCCAAATCATTCAAGAAGCATCATCATCAACAGCAACGTAGAACTTCGTACGTTCGCACATACGTTTAGCTTATCATACCACTTTATCACACAGATGAAATTGGCAGTTCAAATCACATAGTTGTAGAAACAGTAGAAGTATTAGCAGTAATGAAGAAGACTGTGGTTTGACGATTGTCAGGATATTCATCCAATATCCTAAAAAAATTATTGGTCAGTTCCTATTGGTTTATTCCTACTGGTCAATTTTATGGTCGTCCGAGATATTAATGTCACGAGCTCCAATGTTGTTTCTCATTGGTTGTCCTGACTATCGATGTCACGTCAAATGTCGCTTCCTATTGGTCGGCTTACCTGCCAATGCCACATACTTCGATGCCGTTTCCTATTAGACCAAAATGTACAAATACGCATTATCTGTAACGCTTAATGACCAGGACCAGGGCCGGGACCCATAGTCCGGGATCCTGATTCTCTTCCGGACTTGGACCTCGTGCATTCTGAATGTTTGTAGGATACAGGTGTGACATCATATCAAGTCTTCTTATTTTTACACAATATGGGGGTTGGGAGAATCGGAAGTAAGAAGAATGTCGTGTCGCCGGATCCTCGATCTTGTTTTCCGACTAGGTAAACTCCTAATAGTCCAAGTATATCAAGTTGACGTGTTTACGTGCATGTGTAAAAAAGATATGATTTGAGAAGTATAATTCAGTGAGATAACTTTAGAAAGAGAAAGATAGAAGTTATGTGGAATTCAAAAGATTAGATTTTGAGAGAACACAATCAATGAATGCACCTGAGCCATTGTAAACGATTTTAAGCCATCGGTTACTTTCGTCTCGCGGACCCCAACAAGGTAGCCTACATCTGCCAAAATGACTCAGTTCACTTGTCAGTGATTTCATGGATTTGTGCAATGTTTTGGTTTGGCCGGCCCTAGCTTTCTTCCAACCTACTCCTACACCACAAAACAACTCGATGAGACAGTCGGTGGATAGGCATACGCAACACATGTCCTAACCGCATCAACTGATGAAGTTTCACTACTTCGTCTATTGACCTGGGTCTAGGAAAACAACTATTTTAGGACGCCTAAATGTTCCAGGACAAGTCGTAGTGTGAAGATAAGTTCTATACGTCAACGTCCAGGTCCAAAACCAGCCTGGTTTTCTATAATCTGCTCTTCACCAACTTTCGTCAGGCGTCGAAGTATTACTGAGGCCAATATTTTAGATACTATATCAGTTAGATTGATTCCTGTGTCCATTCTTATAAATTGGGACAATCAGGAAGGAATTGAGACCAGTCAGATAGGAAGGATTACATCCAGTTCCCAAATTCTACCGAAGATCTCAGTCAATCTGACTGCTAAAACTAGACCACCATCCTTACAAATATCAGGGGTAAGCCTATCAGGACTCGCTGCTCTCCCTTGCTTCAAATTTCCTATAGATTTCCCAACTTCATGAAGAATCGGAGGACCTACATCGATTTTCCACTCAAGTTGACTGGAGATCGTGGGCAACCGAAGTGTGTATGAAGGCCAGTCGAACTGATCTCTGAAGTGTTCTACCCATCGATCCAATCTCCTGGGTTGAGAATGAATGATACAGCCATTCTTTTCTGAGATAGTTTCGCTAACAGATGGATTTCTGATACCAGTTTTCTTGATTAGGTGGAATCCTTAATTAAGCGGAACAAATAAGATATTACGATGTGATCTAGTTGGGTCCAATGTTGTGACGACTTTGGGGGGTCGCCATGCCAATAGGTGTCTTTTGTTTGTGCCTAAAGTTAGCATTTACTAGCAATATTCGCTTATCTGAGCAGAGTTACTGCATATAGTCGCCAATATCTGTTCTCTGAGCCGCGATATCATAAGATCCACTCAGGTGTTTTTCCTTTTCACTTAGTCTACCTACTTGATCATTGAAGTCACCAGCCATTATTACTATATTAGAGCGCCTAGCTTTTTGGAGGAGGTCCGAAAGCTTTCTGTAAAACTCATTATTCACTTTGTCTGAACTGCAGTCAGTCGGAGTGTAGGCGGTGACAACGAAGAGACTACGGCAAATGTCCCCGTCTTTGCGAGTCCTTACTGTCCCGTTCAGTTGGATAGCGCGCAAGCGACTATCTACTGGGATCCAGTCCATGAGAGCTGGTTCTGCCGTTGGACTCAATATTATACCTGCTCGGATCCTGTATGCGCGTTTCGTAGACTCAACATACATCCATGGCGCGAGATTCTAATGTCCTAGCTAAGGAAGCCTGTTGCCCTATTTGACACAATGCTGTTTCCACAGCTTTTTAGATATCATACCAACCTGCCTCAGGATGGGCATCACTTGCTACATAGCTGCTTAACTGTTTTTCTAGTTGTTCCTGAAATATATTCTTAGCTTTATTATCATTTAGTAGAGCCGTAAGAAGGTTTCCTTGCGAAATTTTTCTTGCGTCCAGTAAGGCGCAAACAAACACGTGCTCGCACTAGAGTATGGTCTGAGTCTAAACAAGTGCTCCAGAATGAGCGGCAGTCTTCAATAGAGCCTCTCCACCGATGACTTTTAGCGATGTAATCTAGTTGGTTCCAAGGGTCTCTAGGTCAAAAGGTGTTTCACCTTATGCTTAAAGCTAGTGTTTGCTAGGAATAGGCGGTTATCTAGGCATATCTACTCGTTGACTTTAACGAATGAGAATTCACCCATCAGATCATTAAATTCTTCTCCATAAAACAGTAATACTATAGCAAACAGAGAATTAGTCATATTAGTTCACATTCAAATGATGACAACAATTGATTTTCCCAGTGAAGTATCAATGACAGCAACATTACAGGCTGCATTATACAAAGAGTGGATGGCATAACAATTTCAGAATAACGATTACTAGTCTACAGTATCAAAAAAGACACTGTTACATCCGAAATCAAAGAAAATAGTGAATGCACTAAACACGTAGTATTAAGATGTGATAGTTAATTTATCCACAGTTCACCAGTATAATGCCAGTAAATATGGCTTATATAAAATTTAACACGCTTAAAAATCAAAATTATTGATTGACTATTATGTATGAAACTAGACAAATATATGATTGTATTAATTCAATACATTTCCTCATCACCTTTGTCCGGATCTTTTTAAATTTATTTCATTAGATTACACTACTTGAATAATATCTTTGAACCCTTATGCCTCCGATTACCGCTAATAACTCTACTATCTCTAACACTTTGATTTGGATTGTGTTAGGATATTCATCCAATGTCCTAAGAAAATTATTGGGCAATTCTCATTGGTTAATTCCTACTGGTCAATATTATGGTCATCCTATATATCAGTGTCACGTACTCTAATGTTATTTCCTACTGGTCGTCCTAACTTCAATGTCACAGACTTCAATGTGTTTCCTATTCGACCTAACTGTATAAATAAGCATTATCTGTAACGTTTTATGGCCCGGACCAGGACCTGGATCCCTAGTCCGGGATTCTGATTCTCTCTTGAACTCGGACCTCGTACTTTCTGGATGCTTGTAGAATACATGTTCTACTTCATATCAAGTCTTCTTCTTTCACTCAATGGGGCTTTGGAACAGTCGGATTAGAGTAGCCTGTCATGTCGCCGGATCCTCGATCCTTGCTCTCGTTTTCCGACTAAAGTAAACTCGTAGTAGTTCAGGCATATCAAATGACGTGTTTACGTGCATGCGTAACAGATTAACAATTGCGTCTGTGTGCTAATGTGGTACGGAAACTTGAACTGATGTACATATGTACGGAGTTTTACGTTGTAGCTGACTGACTGACTAACTGACTGATTGAATACACAAACCATACTATTTTAAAAATGAGATTAAAATAAACCACAAGTGTACTGAAGTCTAAACTGCGCGAATAAATGAGTGATACGGTGATAAATAGATAGCATATAGAGAAAATCAAAATAAGCATAAATATACCCTGAATGGATTGACAATATTTTTACTAGGGTACAATGAGACTCACTAATTTCCATCATGTAATCGGGTTCAGCTTTGTACAGTTTCCCCAAAGCACAAGCAGCCAGATATCTGATTGAATCATCCCAATGTCCAAGACGAACATTGACCAAATGGTCAATCATAGGTTTTACATATTCTTTATACTTGGCTACGGACAAACTAAACAATAATTCAATCACCAATACGAAAACTCTGAAAAATTGTATGGTTTGAACAAGAGTAGTAACTATTTCCAAGAACATTTAACCACTAGCCTTAATGAACTAGGCTAAGTAGCGCTTAGTGTGACGGGTAACAATATTACCCGACTACAAAAACTGAAGTTTTGGAGGTGACGTTGGAGATAAGGGCAATCTAGTATACAAACAAAGCCAGAGTGACTCGTTTTAATCTGGGGTATTTTTAGCCCCACTGTGGTGTTCGACCGTCAATAGCATGTCAGCGTTACATGTCACTGATGGCAGTATTGCTTTACCTTTGTGAAATCTAATCCTTTCAGGTTGAGGACGTTTGACAACTCTATGTTCGATCACCGTTGTTACTGAAGGATTGCTCACATACAATGACAACACTGTGTTAGCAATATGTATTCGGGAGCAATAACGATAACTCACTGTTGAAATACCGACTTTATTGGTTAGGTAATATTTACATATGCCATCCCAACGACTTCTATGTTAAATTATTTTCCAACACTGAGACTGGCTGGAAAGTAAGATGGTCGGTTTATAACATAGATCTGTGTTATGAGATAACTGGACAGAACGGGAATCTGTTAATCATTAAAAACTCACTGGTTCGAATGCTCATTGGTTTGAGATGTACTTAAGCATAGCTTAAAAAAACCCAGTGGTAATCCTGTTGTAGTTATTATTACTATTACTGTCTTCAAACAAGTGAGGCGACCTCTGTTGAGTGGAGTTGTTTATAGCCGTATTTTTAAATGCACTGTATCTATCACCACATGCTATTATTGTCCATTAGTCTAGTGACTGTACTAAACTAATCTATTATTTCTTCGTAAGATTGTCATTAAGTTTGTGTAACTCATTTTTCTGGTTCCCTATTGCACTAAAATTTACATGATTCAAATGAAATAAACAATCCACTGAATATTGAAAATCTGTAACTCAATTTTTAAGGTACACTCCTAAACAGAAAGAATCGGTGCTGCAATTCGAGATTGGTCGCTGTCTTTTTTCCTTTCTATAAAAATCCATTCCTTGATGCACTAACCCAGTCTTTTAGAAAGTTTTTGTAGTTTATCACAGTATTTGGAAAAGATATGAATAAATGACACGGGCCAAAGTTTCACATAAATCTATGGTACATTTTATCCAAATATAATATCAAGTTATTGGAAATCTTGAACAAAAAATGACCATAAGAAATGTACTCCGTCTTAATAGGATTGTTCTTTAACTAACCTCAACTGAAGATAGCAGTGGGCACGATTCCCTACACTGGAATAATCACATGTAGTGAGGATTTCGATTCCATGTGGAAACTGACCCTATTTATATATACAAGAATACAAATAATAATAATAATAATAATAATAATAATAATAATAATAATAATAATAATAAAAATAATGATCAACCCAAATATGACAACTAGGGTAGTTAATGATCAGAAAATACTGATATCACCCATAGAACATGTATGTACTACTTACTTACTTACGCCTGTTACCCCCAATGGAGCATAGGCCGCCCACCAGTTTTCTCCAACCAACTCTGTCCTGGGCTTCTCTCTCCAGTTCTGTCCAATGTTTGTTCATTCCTCTCATATCTTTCTCTATTTCTCTGCGTAGTGTGTTCCTTGGCCTTCCTCTTTTCCTTTTGCCTTGAGGGTTCCATGTGAGGGCTTGTCTCGTGACGCAGTTGGGTGCTTTTCGTAGTGTGTGTCCTATCCACTTCCACCGCTTCTTCCTGATTTCCTCCTCCATTGGAATCTGACTTGTTCTCTCCCACAGTTCGTTGTTGCTGATGGTGTCTGGCCAACGAATACGAAGTATTTTGCGTAGACAGCTGGTAATAAACACTTGTATCTTCTGGATGATGGCTTTCGTAGTTCTCCATGTTTCTGCTCCATACAGTAGAACTGTCTTCACATTTGTATTGAAAATCCTGATTTTGGTTTAGGTTGAAAGTTGTTTGGAGTTCCAGATATTTTTCAACTGTAGAAATGCAGCCCTCGCTTTGCCAATCCGCGCCCTCACATCTGCATCCGATCCACCATGGTTGTCGATGATGCTGCCCAGATATGTAAAGGTGTTAACGTCCTCGAAAGCATCTCCATCAAGCGTGATTTGGTTGGTGCATGTTGTGTTGCATCGGAGAATTTTGCTTTTTCCTTTATGTATGTTGAGACCTACTGCTGCAGAGGCTGCTGTTACACTGGTCGTCTTCTCTTGCATTTGTTGTTGCGTGTGAGATAGAAGAGCCAGGTCATCTGCGAAGTCCAGATCGTCCAGCTGCGTCCTAACCGTCCAGTTGATACCGTGCTTCCCTCTAGATGTTGATGTCTTCATAATCCAGTCGATGACCAGGAGAAAGAGAAAGGGTGAGAGTAAGCAACCTTGCCTCACACCGGTCTTCACCTCAAAAGAGTCTGTCAGCTGACCTCCGTGCACGATTTTGCAGTTGAATCCATCATAAGAATTCCGTATGATGTTGACTATTTTCTCAGGTACACCGTAGTGTCGAAGAAGCCTCCACAGTGTTTTCCTATCCACGCTATCAAATGCTTTCTCGTAGTCGATGAAGTTGATGTAGAGTGGTGAGTTCCATTCAATTGATTGTTCCACAATGATCCGTAATGTAGCAATTTGGTCAGTACATGATCGATCCTTACGAAATCCGGCCTGTTGATCTCGAAGTTGGGCGTCTACGAAGTCCTTCATTCTGTTTAACAATACTCTGTTGAAGACTTTGCCTGGTATTGAAAGAAGAGTGATGCCCATGTAGTTCTCACACTTGCTCAGGTCGCCTTTCTTTGGTATTTCGATCAGGTACCCTTCTTCCCAATCTGATGGTACTTGTTCCTCATCCCAAATCTTCTTGAAGAGGATGTAAAATATTTTCGCAGTTGCTTCTACATCTGCTTTCATTGCCTCTGCTGGAATGTTGTCTGGTCCTGCTGCTTTGCCGTTCTTGATTTGTCTGATGGCCATACTGATCTCAACCGTAGGTGCGCCAATATTAATTGGGAGGTCTGTGGATGCTGCTTCGATGTTGGGTGGGTTCAGTGGAGCTGGTCGATTCAATAGTTCCTTAAAGTGTTCTACCCACCTATTTCGCTGTTCGTCAGTGTTGCTGATTATTTTCCCTTCCTTGCTTTTCACTGGTCGTTCTGGTTTACGATAGTTCCCGGCGAGCTTCTTTGTTGTTTCGTACAATTGTCTCATGTTTCCTTCTCTTGCAGCCTTTTCCGCCGTCATTGCTAGATCTTCCATATATTTTCGTTTGTCAGCTCTGATGCTCTTCTTCACTTCCCTGTTTGCTTCTGTATACTCGGCTTGCGCCTTAACTTTCTCTGCTCTTGTTCGGCTGACATTCATTGCTGCCTTCTTGTTCCTCCTTTCTTCAATTTTTTTAAGAGTACCAACAGAGATCCAATCCTTGTGATGGTGCTTCTTGCGACCAAGGACCTCCTGACATGTTGAAGTGATTGCCTCCTTATAGAACATGTATGTGGACCAAGTAAATTGTCAAAGTAGCATTCAATTGAAACTGGTGGTAGACATTTTTTTATTTAGAGCACCATCTTCTTGAAAGCTTATTGTCAGGTACAGAATGTTACTCACCGTGGTAACGCTAGTGAAAAAAATTAGTTGGCAGAATATTGAGTATCTAACCAAGTCAGTATTATTGACGATCTGATAGTCGAAATATTTCATTTCAATGTTAGAGTAAAATTGATTTATAATATTCATTAAACACCCAGACCTACTATAAACAAAGTACAATGTGTGCATAGGCCATACTTCTCATATGTGACAAGTTTAACCAAGATATCATAAGACAAAAGTAGGGGTTTTGAAATAGTAGAAACTCTAACATGAGAAGTATAGATAGACAAAACGAAAGGAATTGACGAAGGGAATCGTGACTCAGGATCCATGAAGGGACTACGACTGAATACACTAATGTCAACCCAACCAACCAAAATTACGATCATCTCCCCTATGATACTATCGGGCTGGCCACACCGAAATAGGCAAGGATGGGTTTTAATATGCGAAGAAAGTCGAACGCTTAAAAAGAAACGCCCTTGGATCTATTCTTACCGTTAACCAAAATATTCAGCTGTATTTTAACTACCAAATTACTTGAGGCAGAGAATAGAGGGTGATATATTATCATATATGAAACTCGGTATACAGTTAATAACACTAAATGGTAGAACCCGAGTACTAAAGATATATACTTTTCTAAACAGCAGGATTTTTCATACCAACGTTATTCGAGTAGCCAACAAAAACAAATTCTGATTTAACAGTGTCTTCGCGGTCGCCTCGAAATGCTCAGTGATTATTATCATTGCTACACACATGTCAATAAGCATGACAGTTTCAATAATGTATTCAGAGCAATCAGTGAATTTTGGTAGAACTTTTTAAATTTTCGGTGCTTGTACTATCCAATTTTCCTTACACATTTCCTTCCTAAATTTATGAACAAGCAAATTCAAAATTCAAGTTAATGTTTGCATAACAAGTGACTGTATAAAGTACAGTTACTGACTATGATGACTAGGTACAAATTCGCCCACTCAGCTCTAAGCTACACTACGTATGAGGGATAAGTGAAACTATCCCAAGACCGAAGTGGGCCGGGACTTGAATCTGTGATATAGTGAGTGAAACTCATTCCCCTTAACTATTAAGCTACTAGTTGCAGTACTGACTGATAAACTAGTGTTAATGTGGCTTAGCGCTTTTAGCACAATTTTCGACTACTGGACAGCTGATGTAATCCAATTTCACTTTCCTAGATTTGACCAGCTGATGGTAGGTCTAAGCTCTAATAAGTGACATGCACGTATATTAACTTCAGGTTTTCTTTATGAAATCAAGCATCAAAAGTTTTAAGTAATTCATTTAAATCATACATATACTAATTAGCTGAGATTTAAATGGCTTAACTGCTGTTGTTTTTATCTTATCATAACTATTTGACAGAGGTACAGGAAAAGTTATCCACGGACCACAACACTTTTAGTAATCATGTATGCTAAATTCTGCGATAGGATATATCAAAACCTAGCAAAATACTCCCAACACTGTTTAATGTGTTAACTGATAACAACAATACGATCAACTAGTTAAAAAACTGAAATTGTGTAACTGACCTGTCGACCCACGTTCTCTTGAAATGCAGCGGACCCTGCTCGACGTACACTAACCTCTCGGTCGAACAGGCTTACTAAGACTAATGAGCTTGCGATAGGAACGACATAATTCACGAAATCTTTAGGATGGTATGCTCTTGCGAAAGCCCAACATACATAACACCCAGCATCTCGAACATTAGATCCATAATTATGATCACCAGACCTCTCATCATAAAACAGAGCCCGTAAAACGACTGGAACCACCTAAAAGTGAGAAACCCATTATTTGAACATTATATTATCGGAGGATGGTGATAATAGTTAAAATCAAGATCGCAAAAGTTTATTTTAATTCAGTACGTAAAATAGGATACAGAAGTTGCACCGAATTTTCACGACTTATTTCCAGATACTGGTTCATGCTTCGGTTTAACTGGACAGTTTATTAGGTTCTTAAACCAATCAGCAATCATAAACTGATTGAAGATGTGAATAGATTGATATTCATTAGCTTTTGGTTTTTTCAGCCATAGGTTAAGTACTGGGCTTTAGTATTCCGTGGCTATGAAACTTAAGGTTTTGATAGTAATGATTATTGTTATCGATATGCAAACTAGCAGTCAAAATTTATCACAATCATTGTTTTATTAATCAACTGTCATAAAAAAAGATTTACTTCTGGTAGCTTGGATGGTAAAAGAAGACTGCGACGACCAAGCTCAGCCAAAGCAAGACAAGCTCCATGCCATGCAGTATATGGTTCCAGTTTTGTGCACAAGGATAGTACAACCGACAAAACATCATCTACCATCGAACTAGATAGACGAGAACAAATCCGACCGATTCTGAGGAAAAAATACATTGAAAGGCGATCCTTGAAACAAACTTTGGCGGAACGAAATAGAATTCAGATATTGCTAATCTAGATTTTAATATAGAATAGTGCTTAGAGGTAATAAATATTTAGTGCGATGATAAAAGACTTAATCTTAGTTAACAGACTACGATACTAACATCTACCTAAAACACAGCTACTTATTTTAACTTAACAGCTCCATGGTTAAGGTACTGGGCTTTTGATTATTAAGCTCTTGACCCAAGCGGATTTTCATCTATTTCGGATTGAGCAGCTGGGTAACATAACTAGTCCATACAGGTCATGCGAGATACCAAACTATGAAATAAGCTGTATTCGATAACTGTATTTGTTGTCAGAGTTCAGTAACACTAATGAAACGATTTAGGGGTAAAGTACTTTTAAATGCCTCATTTTGTAAAGAAATGATGATTAACTTTTCTCTTGTACTCAGTTGCTTTATTTTGTTTAGCGTTACCCTAGAATAATTGTTTCGTGCCAAGTCCGTTATACATAAGGTAACTAAATATTTCTAACTTTAGAGAAATTATGTTGTTTCATATACCGCCAGTAGTATGTGTAATGTAGTTTAAACACGGTATTTACGTTATAATAATACAACTGTCCCATAATCAAGTGGAACATTCCATTTCAAACTACTGATTTATAAGGTAACACGAGAAAAAAACCCATACAAGTATATTGTAAACCATACATATATTTCCTACCCTTTGGCAGCAGACCAACGAACTCCAGTAAATTGACTCCGCAAAGCGCTTATCAGTTTATCAATAACTTCTGCAACTTCATCTGTGTTGGGAAATTCACAGTTCATAGTTGATGAACAATCTGCAGAAATATCACTAGTGATAGTATTTTGACAGCTTGTGTATAACGAGTAGTCAGTAACTTCTTTAGAGACCGAGGAATGAAAAGAGTTAGGTTTTTTGTCATGTTCCACCATAAGAGATTTCAAGTTGTCTTGCAATGATCGGCATCCTCGTTGATACTGCCATGTTGTATTTAATGGCGGGCAAAACAGTAAACCAATTCGTTGCAGAACTTTTGTTTCAAGACGACAGAGAAGAATTCCCTTAGAAGAATCTCCGGGCAACTGAAGTACTGTGCGCAAAAGGTCACTCGCATAAGGTAACAATTCAGTGCGGCTTCCAAGTTTACATATATTGGCTATACTCCTGAGGATGCCGCATACCTGCTTTTGGTCTTGTACACTGATAACTAGGGTTAATATTTTTAAGGAAAATTATAAGTTCAGTAAACCATATTGAAGGGTCTAATATGACTGATAAACACGCTATAAAAAAATAAATAAAGAAAATGAAATCTGAATACTGAATTATCGCATGAAATGCAATCACTTATTCCATGAGCAGGATACAGATTGGAGTAGAGCATGTCCATAGCAGGGTTGTGTTGGAGAATGCTGATTGAGGCATTCTTAGCCAATCAGCGCTAGCGAGGAAGACTCAAAAATACTCTTGTGTAAAAAATTATGAATATACTAACGTTTTGATTACTACGACTTTGCACTCATCTTCGTTTGTTCAAGTTCAACTAACTACCTGTTCAAGCTGTGTTTTGGTTTTGGAGACTAGTTGAATGCTGAACAGTGTTTGAAGAATACTAAATAATAAGCAGCTGGGTCACATAAGAGAGATCGTTAACACAGGTAAAAAAGACAAATATATCGTGGACCGATAATATACATAAAACTAAGTTGATACGACGTAAGCTGGTTGATTGATAATTTCTGTGAAATTTCAGAACAACGTTTGCTAAATAAGTGAACGAGTTTTTTTACGGCTTCCTATTTTCTGAAATATAAGTAGATCCTAGTACAAAACAGCTTTGGTTAAGGTTACAAAGATAACTAGGTTTTGAAACGGTAGTAATTTTAATCATAGCAGAAAGCACAAACATGGAAGCTAATCGCAGTTTTCGTCTATATTCACAAATTAGATATGCGAACTTTGGTCCCAACTGCCGCTTTATAGAAAAGTATGTATGATGTTTGTTAATTTTTAAAAAATAGAGGACTTAGAGATAACCACTCCATCCTCTATGAACCAACCCCTCTAAAAAACGCACTCTACTTTTCAAAGAAAGACATTACATATACCTATGTAATAATTTTAAAGATTCCCATTGTGAAAATTAGAACAACACATATAAGCGAACAATATTGTTTTCGATTAGATCGTCATCAGGCTTTACTCTAATATGTAATAAACAAGGATGCACTTAGTAAAGTTACTTTTGGGTTATACTCTTTAACGTGTTATCTCCATTCAAAATTCTAATGTAACGAAAGTATATTATCCTCTTATTTCTCACCATGCTATTTGTTGTAAACTTAAATTGTTTTCACTGAAAGGAAAACCTTTAGATTAAATGACTCCATTTTGGAAATATTACTGCCTCAGTCAGACAGTTAAAACATCGAACGTTGTATGTAAGTGCACCAGTTCAGGTTGCCATATTCCATCAGCACAGTAACGCATTTGTCAGTCCAAATCCCATTGTGGTAGCCATTGTAGAATTATTAGTACTAATAGAGAAGATTAGGGTTTAAAGATATGATTCGAGAAGTATAATTCAGTGAGATAACTTTAGAAAGAGAAAGATAGAAGTTATGTGGAATTCAAAAGATTAGATTTTGAGAGAACACAATCAATGAATGCACCTGCGCCATTGTAAACGATTTTAAGCCATCGGTTACTTTCGTCTCGCGGACCCCAACAAGGTAGCCTACATCTGCCAAAACGACGCAATTGATGTATCAGCGATTAGGAAATCGCCTCGTTAATATCCACGTTACCTGGGACTTGAAATAATCAACCCTAACCATCACGAAGCTGACTCGATCCCCACGCAGTTTATTCAAGTTAGGATCCGCCCATATATATAGGGCCTCAACTATTGGATTTTGATTTTGAACAATTTTGTCTCGTGTGCTGTTGCGGGTATGAGGGCGGTTATCACTTCCCGGCTGCCCACACCGTGGAAGGTTGTTTCTTGACGAACCTGAAAAGGAAGATGGATTAGTGTTGGTGCGTGACCGCAGAGTCCAAGGGACAACTGCTTGAGGCCGGTCACGCACGGCCTTTTTATGAGAGGTATTTAGAGGATTAGCTCCGTTCTTAAAGGCCCTTAGTGGGCACCCTTAACCAAGGAGACGGAAATCCGTGAGGTAGGGGAGGTGTGACATTTTTAGGGCCGACCTTTTCTAACCCTTCCTTCCTTGTGAGAAGGCAGCATCGCTGCAGATGCTGGTTGTCCGAGGGAAACACCTTACTGCTGTCACACGCCTCTGCAGTCAGCAGTACGACTTCGCCCTCAGACCTTGGGTAGCTGCTTTTAGTCTCATCGTTCTCCAATCGACCTGCCTGGCATGGTAGGACCTGCAGCCAGTATAGCTCGGTTGGGTCATCACGATAGGCAAGCCCGACCACCACGTCAAGGTAGCAGCTTCGGTCGGGCCTCAACTATTGGTCTTCCTTTATACTCAACAAAGCCCTTCTGAATAATGTCGGTTGAGTCAGAGTCAGTTTAACGTCCTTGTTGCTATTGTGTTGTTATCTCTGATTTGTTTCCAAGCCTCCTGAGGTCTAGTGAGGATTTAGAAATATTCAAACATTGTTTATACTCATTTTCTCTGCCTGTTTGTCTTCAAATACGCAGCAATACACTCATTGCATCTAATTTCTTACAAAAAATTAGTGCCTTAATCTTCCGAACTCCTCCTCATCTCGACCTTTTTCTTTCTAAAGTTATCTCACTGGATTATACTTCTCGAATAGTATCTTCGAACCCTGATCTCTTACATTATCGCTAATACTTCTACTACCTAGTCTAAGATGTGATTGTAATTGAAAATTGCGTCTCTGTGATAGTATGGTATGGCAAACTGAACTGATGTACGTACGTACGAAGTTTTATGTTGTAGCTGACTGAATGATTTTATTTATAATTACAAACATTTGTTTGGATATTCCTTATAAGATTCAATCTTAATTGTTAACCTAAAAGTAACTAAAAGTATGAGTGCTTCTTATGACAATATAGTTTACTGGGTTCCAACAGAAGTAATGATAAACAGCTATTAAAAAGATACCACTCTCTGATTGTAAATCTGGACCGAATTCGACAACTACGTCACGAATACGTATAATAACATGTGGCCCTTATCTGTTAACTTATAGTGAAAAATTTTTACTCCATATTTAAACAACGACGGCCGGCTTTACTCAATACATCGAGTAACCATGTCCAGATATGCATGTGTACGGAACCACAACCAATATTTTTGAACTACAACGATTCTGTTTTTATATCTATAACAAGCTACATGTATTGTAAACTTGGACAATGTCTAATGTATATATATATCAGTGCATAATATAGAGGAAGTTACAGTGAACATTTTTTAGCTAATTTACTAACCCTAGAATAATCAGGCAGGAACAACCCACCGATAGTACAACGAAGGGTGCCATAGGCAAGCTTTCAGCATTTAGAGCTACTTATAAATACTTTGCGAAAATCCTAGATTTGTATATTACCGTCCTAAATTTACTCGTTTTTTATAAAGATACATAGACGGCAGGGCACTTAAACTAAGCATACATTTACATATTTGACTTTAAACCACATTTGAGGTTAGTGATACTACCAGGCTGCTTAGACGAAAATGTGGTCTCATTAATAGTCTACGATGGATGAGCCCTTGTGATGCAATGAAGATTTTGTTCCGATGATTAAACTAAGTTTAACTAAAGTGATAGTAGTACGAAAATGGAGTCACATAAAAAAACATGTAATAGCACAACGGCTGGTGTGTCAACTAATATTGACAAATTTCAGTCAATTTATGCTGTTTAAAAAAAATTAAAAAACTTAATCAGACAAAGAATAATTTTACACTTACCGTCAACACAACTTAGATTTTTTATTGCAAAAGAAATCATTGATGGTAGCTGGGTATGAACTGCATCCGGCCTTGTCACAGTATGCGCAAGGAGGAAAGCGGCTGCTTCTTGAGTGCGCTCGTCCTGTGAGAGATAAAGTTTGGCTAAATCAATCACACGCTCAAGTATAGGTTTTTTTCCTAAGCTATCAAGAGCTTCTAAGTTGAAAGGGACCATTACCAAGATTGATAACCAAAGGAGAAGAACATAGCGCGTCTCCCAATTCTAAGGGTTACATTCAGAGCGTGAAAATAAACAGTACCTTTAGGTCGTTAACATCTTGTTCCATAAGAAGACTTAGAGTCGGTTCGATATCGTCAACTGTATGTGGCATTAAATGGATGATAGCTTTGTAACCTCGGGTTTTTGTCATTAAATATAAGATCCTGAACGCGAAATGAAAAACTTCAGGATCTGAAGAAGAACGATACACTACATCCAGACAGGCTGATATCATTTTCCCAAGATAAGGGTCAAGCAAATGTGGCTGTTCCTGGTATTGGTTGAATATATCTACCTATATATCAAAGAACTGAAAAATACATACGGACAAGAGTATCCTCCAAGTACTCTTTCTTGCGAAAATTAGACACTTCCACCTTAATCGCTGATATCAACTTCATAACCTGATCATAATGTTTAAATTCAGTAAACACACAGGACTCCTCGGCAGGCAAATTATCTAGAGTAGCGCACATGTTTGTATTTTTGACATGGCAGTGTTTCTACGCTGTATGACAAATGCTTTCAAATCTTTGTGTTAATTGGTGAAATTTTATCCCCGAAAAGTAATGAAAATAAGGGTAAAAAACAGGAAGTTTTACTTTTATGAAAATTATGATAGTGTCACTCCAGGTTTAGTTACCTGAGGGAGAAAATACATGGTTTGACTAATCTATAAGTGTACACAAAACTAAGACTTTTGTTTAACCCTTTAGGGCCATTACAATGTCACTGGGTCCTAGCTAAATCATCCAACAGGCCATTCAATAAATCCCAAGCAGTCCGTCGAATCGCGGCAAGGCCAAGTACAACCACCCAATAATCGATGGCATGCCATGGACAACTAGACACAGTAGTAGTTCCGCCATATACTTCTGCAAACTGTTGATACTGATGTATGCTGTTACTTATTGAGAGTGTTTATTTTAGCAAATCACTTGGTCATCATGATGGTATGACCCAGATTAGGTAGTAGACGCGAGGCCTGATTTCGACGTGTGCCGGAAGGTCATTACCGTCAAACTTGGGCAAGCCGGGACTCATGGCGGTAGCTCGCTTATATTGGCAGTCTATGACCCTCCGCGTTAACTTTTTTCATTTGCGAACTGCTTTCTGCGACCATTCATTTTCATGTTGGGTGATCTGATAATATTTAGAGTTATGTATAGCGATTAGTAAATGGCTAAAATAAGTTGTTCTGTGAATATTCGACATCAGTGCTAACCTCATTAGTTTTAAACCCTTGCTAAAAATTCTTCCCCATACGTCCACAACTGGTCACAGCCGGGTATGCTATACTTCTCAACCAACCAAATGTATTCAGTCACCATTTCTGTCGCCTGGATTGTTCAGATAAAAGATCGTCTATTATATATGAGTTACAGACAAAAGCCCTGAATATCCATTGCATATTTACTTACACTAATATGCAAGCTAATGTAAAATCCTGTGATGTTTTTTGACTTGTGTTTTGGTTCTAAGTAGCTCATAGTGTTCAATACAGGTAGTCCAGGCACAGAACTGTGCTTGACCTGACAAACTCAACATTTGCTTGTAATTGGAATCTCCCCTGTTTGAGCGAATTTCCGGTTTTACGGCAGTCAGGATGCCAGAACCAAAAACTATCAACTTTCCGGTCGGAAAATTAGTTAGCTGGAAATTAGAAATCGCGAAATTAGAATAAGGAGTATTGGAGAAAGGATAATGATCAAAATGAATGAATAAACTATTTAAAACATAGAAAATGGCCAGATTTTTCATTCTTTCAAGCTTTGCATGACATACTGATATCCCAGATCTTTAACCGGGAAGAAGATGAGGCCAAATAAGATTTATGTAATTGCTGGCGATTTCGTGGCATTGAAGAAATATCGAAGCGTGCTAGCGACTGGTAAGAGGATAAGCGACTTGATCTCAATCTGTTGTCAGCATATAGACAAAAACGACGAAGGTTATTGCGTAAAAAAAAGTATGAATGAACAAATATTCGGTAATACTTTCACTGGTATAATTGATGATAATAATGAATGATGCTATTTAATCAACTTTGTTTTTTTTCGCAAAAGTAAAATCACTAGAGCAACCTCTTGCTAGAATGGGTGTATTCTTTCGAATTGCAGCGGCTTCGTTCGTGGAACTAATCAATGATTGCAGGACGGAAGGATAAACGAACAGAAAGCGATCCACGATGCTTGATTTGTCACTGGTCTTTTCGTAGAACGGTACCAGAAGTAACGTACCGTGTTTGCTGTTCGAGTTGGCGTGCCACACTACAGTGGTTTGCATCCGGAATGTGCGGACGGCGTTCGAAAGGTTAGGGCCAACAAACGCTACAGATGTAGGGCGAAAGTAAGTTCAGTTAGAGAACCAGAAGCGACCTTGATAACCAGAGTCGTACAAATTGTTGCATTTGTGTGCTTTGAGATCCCTTATAATTTGACGGTGGAACCGTCAAACTAGGTCACTCGATGCTGGGTGGTAGGCGGTGTAGAATCTTTTTTGAATGTTTTGTTTTTTGGAAAATCCCTCCATGTATATATATTTGTGTTATGATATTACTGATTCTTTCTGTTGACTTTTTGGTACTTTATTTGATTCCATTTTGAGATTTTATCATTGTATGTTGTTATTATTTGTATATTTTTTACTTATATTGAAGTTTCTATGTTTGCTTCTGAACTGTACACATGTTGTTTAAATGTGATATTTAATATGTCTACAGCCATATTTGGATTTGATACCGTGGCAGTTAGAACTAGTAACACTTATTCTTTTGGAATCCGATACCCATCAGGGTAATTTGGACTTGATATTAATAGTCAGGTATCTGTTTGCGTTTCCATTTTATTATTATAAAGTGAACTGCTAGGGCAGAAAATTCATCTACATGCGGTATTACGTATGCGTACCATGCCAAGCAGTCGGGTTATCGAGGAGAATAAATCGGACCAGAATTGTTGTTTTCAGGAGTCGTGACGGTTAAGGGACAACCATATGGAGCTATCCATCGTTCTACGAAACCGTTGGAAACTTTCTCCGCCGTAATAGACTTAGTGAGAATATCTTTGGGCCATCTAGCAAAGCGTCGATGCACGTGAGTTTGTGATCATACAAGTGACAAGGTGGAAACAGTTTTTCAATTTCAATGTAAACGTGATCGAAGCGATAGTTAGGTGTAGCGAACGTGTTAATATAGACAGCTATGAGCCTATGTACTTTAAATCATTGAAATTGTAAGCGTGGCTCTGCTCACATACGAACATTAATATTCATGGACGGCCAGATGTATCATGCAACGACGGGGCGTAAAGTAGCTAGGTAGCCTGGGCCAGATGGTCCATGAATGATGTCAGACACGAGATGACGATAAGAGGAGGTTACGACGATTCGAGGTAGACCCGTAGAAGAATGATAAAGAGTTGTACCTGATCTAGCAGCTAGGAGTGCTTCCTTTCACTGAAGGGGTATACAGCGTGCTACCTCCGTACTAGAAGAATCGCTTGCTTAGCAGGTCAAGTACAGGTGAAGTAACCGAATTTATTTGGATACGTGACAGATCGTCAGCAACGTGGTTCAACTCGCCTTTAGTATAACGCAGGTCTGTCGTAAACTGGAAGATATAGTCCGAATGTCTGCATTCTTGTGGTGAGTGACTACCAGACTGGGTGTGAAAATAAAATGTTAGGAGCTTATGCTCTGCAAAGTATCATATATCTGATTGTTCCTTAGAGTTCTCGACGAAAAGCACCATATACCATCTTAGTGAAAGTGAGGAAAATTCCAGAAGCTGCCAAATTCCATAGATGTCTTGTTGCATTGCGGCTCTCATAGCGAAATCCGATGAAAGTCGTTGGAATAACGGTGTTTAGTGCTGATAATGTTTGATGATAGGATTTTTCCGGCGCCAGTTGGCGAGGTTTTGCCGTGACTTGAGGTCCGCTAATGACGATGCGATGTACCACACGATTAGTCGCTCAAGGAATCTCCTCAACAGCTTTCGTTAGTTGGGTGGGTTCAACAAATAAAGCATTCAATACATTGACATGCTATTAAAATACACCAGTATTTTTCGGAACACATTTGTTTGTCCTTTTAGACTGGTAAATTTAATATTCGACGAAGTATCGATTAAATGCAGCTCACGTGAAATGGTAAGTGCTGTAAGAACTCGATGCAGATCACAGCTGTACGAATGTATACGAGTATGAACGTCCACAGTTACTGTCATTGGTTGCAAAAGTTGTTCGTTAGCCTCTGCGAACTTCGAAATACCAAGTATCATTCAGCCTCAACTTCGATGCCCCTCATACCAGACCAATGGTTTTCTTCCGATCCAGGTATCCTTAATCTGCAAGGTGTTACGGACAAAAGCGTTCTCCAACTCTGAATATCTGTGACATTGTCAAGAGTTTAGGTATTCGGGTGCGATTCGGAACAATTCCTGTCAACAGGACACGCTCCATTGAAATATTTGCCTCCCATTTACCAGTCTCTAATAAGCGAAAATTACTTTCTTTAGTTTATAGCGCGTTGAAGACAATTGTTCTTCGCGAGATTACCAAGTTAAGTCCTCGATAGATCCAGAAACCAGAAAGAAGACAGTAACTGGTCTCGTGATATCAAAATAATATCAAGACCGGCATAAAGAAGCGGCTAAAGACTACCGAGGAGTAGCGGAATGGGGATGACACGCTTGGCGCGCGAATTATAGTCTTTAGTGCAGTTAGACAAAAGGAGCACAATACAACAATAATAAATGTTTCAGCAGTTGTGTTATCTTCGTAAGAGTATCCTACTACAAGTTCATCCTATAAATGGCTGATATTGAAGTATATGGAATCAAAAATCAAATGTCCCTGACTCAGTAATTCAATTCAGTTAAGAACAAGATTTGTTGAGGATAAAAATGTTGGAGTGTTTTCAATAGTTAATATATACGAAAATGGATAAACTACTCGTGATTTGTTACCAGAATTTGCCCGATCTTTACCAATTTTCGAATAAGTTCTTATCTATCCAAACTTGAACAAATATGATGTAACCATAGGTCTTCGCATACATTTCCCTGACGTTTGTTAATGCTGAAAAAATGAGAACCGAATCAGTATTTCTTGTATTGCTGGCGTAGGCATAGCATTAAGTCGTAGAGCTGAACAATCTCTCCTAGACTGGATCCCAGTAGATAGTCGCTCGTGTGCTGTTCGACTGAATGGGACAGTAAGGGCTCGGAAAGATAGGGACACTCTCCGTTGCCTCTTCGTCGTATCTGCATATGCTCCCACTGACTGCAGTTCAGACGAGGTTAAAGATGAGTTTTACACAAAGCTTTCGGACCTCCTCCAAAAAGCTAGGCGCTCTGATATAGTAATAATGGCTGGTGACTTTAATGCTCAAGTAGGAAGACTCAGTGAAAATGAAAGACACCCAGGTGGATCTTATGGTGTCACGGCTCAGAGAACAGACAATGGCGACCGTCTGTTGCAACTATGCTCAGATAACCGCCTATTCTTAGCGAACACCAACTTTAGGCATAAGGAAAAACATCTCTTGACCTGGCGACCTCCAAAGTCGTCTCAACGTTGGACCCAACTAGATCACATTGCCATCAGCCACCGATGGAGGGGTTCGATAGAAAACTGTCGCTTGTTCTGCGGCACATGTTTAGATTCAGATCATGCTCTAGTGCGAGCGCGTATCTGTTTGAGGCTTACTGGGCGCAGGAAAGATACTGTAAGAAAGCCTCTTAGGGTTGTACTCATTGATAATAAACTTACTTACTTACTTACGCCTGTTACCCCCAATGGAGCATAGGCCGCCCACCAGTTTTCTCCAACCAACTCTGTCCTGGGCTTCTCTCTCCAGTTCTGTCCAATGTTTGTTCATTCCTCTCATATCTTTCTCTATTTCTCTGCGTAGTGTGTTCCTTGGCCTTCCTCTTTTCCTTTTGCCTTGAGGGTTCCATGTGAGGGCTTGTCTCGTGACGCAGTTGGGTGCTTTTCGTAGTGTGTGTCCTATCCACTTCCACCGCTTCTTCCTGATTTCCTCCTCCATTGGAATCTGACTTGTTCTCTCCCACAGTTCGTTGTTGCTGATGGTGTCTGGCCAACGAATACGAAGTATTTTGCGTAGACAGCTGGTAATAAACACTTGTATCTTCTGAATGATGGCTTTGGTAGTTCTCCATGTTTCCGCTCCATACAGTAGAACTGTCTTCACATTTGTATTGAATATCCTGATTTTGGTTTTGATTGAAAGTTGTTTGGAGTTCCAGATGTTTTTCAACTGTAGAAATGCAGCCCTCGCTTTGCCAATCCGCGCCCTCACATCTGCATCCGATCCACCATGGTTGTCGATGATGCTGCCCAGATACGTAAAGGTGTTAACGTCCACCAAGGCATCTCCATCAAGAGTGATTTAGAATGATAATAAAGCTAGGAATATATTTCAGGAGCGACTGGAAAGAGAGTCAGGCGACAAGTTAAGCGATTCCCATCCGGATGCAGGTTGAAATGATATCAAAAAGGCTGTGGGAACAGCAGTGATATCTGCTAGTGAGGTTAACCAAGAGGTTAAGGAGAGGCCGTGGATTTCAAAAGCATCTACCAAACGCATGGATGCTCGAAAACTCATCATACCTGGCTCTGAACGTGATGAAGAACAAATTCAGCTGAGACACAGGCTGATAAAAAGCCTACACAACGACCGTGAACAGTGAAGGATAGCGAAAGCAAGAGTGATGGAAAAGACAGCGGCGATCGGCAAAAGTAGACCACTTTTCCGACTTATCAAGAAAACTGGTATCAGAAATCCATCTGTTAGCGAAACTATCTCAGAAAAGAATGGCTGTATCATTCATTCTCAACCCAGGAGATTGGATCGATGGGTAGAACACTTCAGAGATCAGTTCGACTGGCCTTCATCCACACTTCGGTTGCCCACGATCTCCAGTCAACTTGAGTGGAAAATCGATGTAGGTCCTCCGATTCTTCATGAAGTTGGGAAATCTATAGGAAATTTGAAGCAAGCGAGAGCAGCGAGTCCTGATAGGCTTACCCCTGATATTTGTAAGGATGGTAGTCTAGTTTTAGCAGTCAGATTGACTGAGATCTTCGGTAGAATTTGGGAACTGGATGTAATCCTTCCTATCTGACTGGTCTCAATTCCTTCCTGATTGTCCCAATTTATAAGAATGGACACAGGAATCAATCTAACTGATATAGTATCTAAAATATTGGCCTCAGTAATACTTCGACGCCTGACGAAAGTTGGTGAAGAGCAGATTATAGAAAACCAGGCTGGTTTTGGACCTGGACGTTGACGTATAGAACTTATCTTCACACTACGACTTGTCCTGGAACATTTAGGCGTCCTAAAATAGTTGTTTTCCTAGACCCATAGGCGGCATTTGACTCTGTCGATCGTGAGGTTCTGTGGCAGTGTCTGTCGTTGGAAGGTGTACCAGTGAAGTACATTAAGCTTATAGAAGCTCTCTACTCGAACACCACTGGTCAAGTGAGAGCTTATGGCGAACTGTCATCGACATTCTCTACTTCAAGTGGTGTCCGTCACGGATGTCCACTTCCTCCATTCTTTTTCAATTTTGTCATAGACATGCTCCTAGAAATAACCTTACCCTCACCTAAATTTTCAGGAGTAGACCTTTCACCTGGTGGCTCGCTTATTGACTTAGAATGTGCCGATGACATTATCCTACTTGGTGAAGACGCTGACAAAATGCAGAGTCTTCTGACTACCATAAGCAACAATACAAGTATGTTTGGGATGCGGTTTTCCCCGTCGAATTGCAAAATGTTGTTTCAAGATTGGGTTGCAGCAGCACCTGAACTAGTAAAAGGCAGTGAAACACGCGAACGTGTACATCGCTTCACTTTTCTTGGGAGTCTCATCAGTGCTGATAGCCTGGTGTGTGACGAAATCTCAGCACGGATACAGAAGGTTCGATTGGCTTTCGCCAACCTGCGTCACCTATGGCGTAGGCGAGATATCCGTTCGCTAACAAAAGGACGAATCTACTGCGCAGCAGTTCGCTCCGTCCTACTTTATGGCTATGAAACATGGCCATTAAGAGTAGAGGATATTCGTACGTTACTTGTTTTCGATCATACGTATCTTCTGGATTCTTCAACCCCTTTAGTTTTGACTTTCCAAACTTATCTCATTAAATCATACTTCGTGAATAATATCTTCTAATCCTAACCTCTCCGATTACATCTAATAGCCTTACTGCCTCTTCTATTATTGGATTCGAATTGACAATGACGTCTCAGTGCTGATGTGGTATGGCAACATGATCTGATATACTTACGTACGAAGTTCTACATTGCATCTGACTGACTGACTGTTACAACGAATGTTCCAGACTTTCATCGATGCTATCTACAACTAAAACTTCGAATTTCCTCTGTTTAATATAGGAAACGTTTGTTAAGATAAAGAGAGTTCACAGGTTTCGAAATTTACAAGAGCTATTTTCCTTTGTAACGTAAAATTAGAGTGGAGTGCTGTGCATTCTCAGACAACCTTGGTGTGTTAAAGCGCTCCTTATGACTGACTATGAGTCGTGTGACTCGTTTATGATATGCTACCAACTTTTAGTTCTGATTATAACTTTGTCTTCATCTCGTGCTTGTGTTATTTCTAATTGCTGTTTATTGTTTTTTTATTAAATGTAAGTGCATTTCGTGTGTTTTCTAAATCGTTGGCTCAATTTTTATCTTCCAGATAATCTCATACTGCTCCTTAAACTCCCTCATCACACAAGGTACTAAAGGCTGGTCGTTGCAATCAAAATCACTCCTGTTGCTTACGGTTCGAATATGACGGAGCTGAAACAGAATTCATCTTACAATTTTCGGTTGGGCATTTCTAGTGATGTAGAGGTATTCTATGTGACATAGTTTAGCAAAGAACGTATTATCAATTTTAGGATATTCAAACGTTCCATAGAAACCAAGAATCACGTCGCAACTCTGTAGGCGTGTTATCCTATACCAATGATAACTTACATCCTGACATATTATTAGATCAAGGCATCGAAGTAGGTTTTGTCTAACAAAACACAACAGCTCTCAGGGTTTTGATTATGATGATGTTCAGAATAAAATATTCACTGACGAAGGATCACGAAGAGCATCTCACGTAATCCGCACTTCAATTAATTACGCTTAACAGAGCAACATTTTTAGAGAAGCCTTGTTAAGGCACTCAGTACTATTTTTTATAGGCGTATTTACTGGACTTGCTGGTTGCGTGATTGATTATGCTATTGAAAATATCTCCACGTACAAATATAAATCAGTTTCATGGCGTATCCTTTTAATAACAAACTTAGTAGCGCAAGTGATACTAACAAACTGCTTTCCTTAACTAACGTAGTTATTAGTCGTTACACCCATTCCCTATGGATTTCTATTCCAGGATTTTTGTGGTGTGCAATCAATTGCCTCCTCACAGGCATAGCGGCTGCACTAGTCGTTTTCTTAGCTGTATGTCAGGTTCTTGACTAAATCATTTTGTAGCCAGTTGCTTCTGGAAGTGGAATCCCGCAAATCAAATGTTATCTTAATGGTCTAAACATTCCTCGTGTAGTACGCTGCCTCACCATGATTGTGAAGGGTGTTGGTGTTGTTTTGGCCGTGTCTGGGGGTTTAGCTGTTGGAAAAGAAGGACCTATGATACATATAGGCTCGGTGATTGCTGCAGGATTATCACAAGGGCGCCTGCGGTTTTTGAATTTTTCCCTGAGTTGCCTGAAGATTTTTAGAAACGATCGAGAAAAACGTGATTTTGTTAGCGCTGGTGCAGCTGCTGGAGTTGCAGCTGCCTTTGGAGCACCTGTGGGAGGTTTGCTATTTGCTCTAGAAGAAGGTGCTAGTTTTGTTTACCAAAGATTAACATGGACTATAGTGAGTCATCATTCACTTTTATTATTATGTTCTATCTCCCAGTTTTATATGTTAAACTGCATTGTCCTCAATCGGTTTTTCTCTCTGTTCACTTTAGATACACAGTGGACGTAAAATCATGATAATCTAAGCGGTTGAAGTTTAAATTGTTTCAATGCTTTATATGGCACTTTAGACTAAGCATCTTCAGAAAAATAGGTTAATGATTTTAAGCAGATAGATTCAGAAATAGTGCTATACTCAACACTTGTCCAGTCACGTTCATATATTAGTTTTGTATGTACGAGTATGTATGTATGAGTCATTTGGTGCATGTATGTTCAAAATGTACCACACGAAGACCCGTATAATTTCATTCCAATAAACGAATTAAAGCGTTGGACACAGTTATGGTCATATCAATATTCTGTTTATACTATAACTCAAATGATATTAGAGCAAAGTAGCTTATTAGCGTGAATCAGAAAGTAACCAAATTTGTTGTATTTATTTTAAAATAACTAGATACGTCCAAATAGTCAATAAGTCAACCATTAAAATCACCTCGTTAATATCCACGTTACCTGGGACTTGAAATGATCAACCCTAACCATCACGAAGCTGACTCGATCCCTACGCAGTCTATTCAAGTTAGGATCCGCCCATATATATAGGGCCTCAACTATTGGTCTTCCTTTATACTCAACAAAGCCCTTCTGAATAATGTCGGTTGAGTCAGAGTCAGTTTAACGTCCTTGTTGCTATTGTGTTGTTATCTCTGATTTGTTTCCAAGCCTCCTGAGGTCTAGTGAGGATTTAGAAATATTCAAACATTGTTTATACTCATTTTCTCTGCCTGTTTGTCTTCAAATACGCAGCAATACACTCATTGCATCTAATTTCTTACAAAAACTTATATCAATCGTTTAGGATCATGTTCTTGACCTTCACAATTGCAGGTCTAGTGATATCACAAGTACTAGAATGAACTTTTGAATTCCATAATTCTTCTTATTTTCTCTACTGAAAGTTTTCCAGGTATGTACACTGGCACTGTAGTAATCAGTCAGTCAGACAGTTAAAACATCGAACGTTGTATGTAAGTGCACCAGTTCAGGTTGCCATATTCCATCAGCACAGTAACGCATTTGTCAGTCCAAATCCCATTGTGGTAGCCATTGTAGAATTATTAGTACTAATAGAGAAGATTAGGGTTTAAAGATATGATTCGAGAAGTATAATTCAGTGAGATAACTTTAGAAAGAGAAAGATAGAAGTTATGTGGAATTCAAAAGATTAGATTTTGAGAGAACACAATCAATGAATGCACCTGCGCCATTGTAAACGATTTTAAGCCATCGGTTACTTTCGTCTCGCGGACCCCAACAAGGTAGCCTACATCTGCCAAAATGACTCAGTTCACTTGTCAGTGATTTCATGGATTTGTGCAATGTTTTGGTTTGGCCGGCCCTAGCTTTCTTCCAACCTACTCCTACACCACAAAACAACTCGATGAGACAGTCGGTGGATAGGCATACGCAACACATGTCCTAACCGCATCAACTGATGAAGTTTCACTACTTCGTCTATTGACCTGCAATCCTTACCTAGCACCCGTTTCCTAACAACAGCATTGCTTACTGGATGGTCCCAGGATACATGAGCAGTGCTTCGGAGACACCCATGATCGAAAACAAGTAACGCACGAATATCCTCTTCTCCTTCTGGCCATGTTTCATAGCCATAAAGTAGGACGGAGCGAACTGCTGCGCAGTAGATTCGTCCTTTTGTTAGCGAACGGATATCTCGCCTACGCCATAGGTGACGCAGGTTGGCGAAAGCCAATCGAACCTTCTGTATCCGTGCTGAGATTTCGTCACACACCAGGCTATCAGCACTGATGAGACTCCCAAGAAAAGTGAAGCGATGTACACGTTCGCGTGTTTCACTGCCTTTTACTAGTTCAGGTGCTGCTGCAACCCAATCTTGAAACAACATTTCGCTTTTTGAGGGGGAAAGCCGGTAAAGTTCGAGTAGCGAGCTTGTCTAAGGTTAATGCACTTCTGTGGTACACCTTTCAATGACAAACAGTACCAAAGAACCTCACGATCGACAGAGTCAAATGCCGCCTTGAGGACGCGAACTACTAGTGTGAGGCGTCGGAAAGAGTGTCTATGTTTTAGGACCTGACGTAGTGTGAATATATGGTCCATACGTCAACGTCCAGGTCCAAAACCAGCCTGGTTTTCTATAGTCTGCTCTTCACCAACTTTCGTCAGGTGTCGAAGTATTACTGAGGCCAATATTTTAGATACTATATCAGTTAGATTGATTCCTGTGTCCATTCTTATAAATTGGGACAATCAGGAAGGAATTGAGACCAGTCAGATAGGAAGGATTACATCCAGTTCCCAAATTCTACCGAAGATCTCAGTCAATCTGACTGCTAAAACTAGACTACCATCCTTACAAATATCAGGGGTAAGCCTATCAGGACTCGCTGCTCTCGCTTGCTTCAAATTTCCTATAGATTTCCCAACTTCATGAAGAATCGGAGGACCTACATCGATTTTCCACTCAAGTTGACTGGAGATCGTGGGCAACCGAAGTGTGGATGAAGGCCAGTCGAACTGATCTCTGAAGTGTTCTACCCATCGATCCAATCTCCTGGGTTGAGAATGAATGATACAGCCATTCTTTTCTGAGATAGTTTCGCTAACAGATGGATTTCTGATACCGGTTTTCTTGATTAGGTGGAATCCTTAATTAAGCGGAACAAATAAGATATTACGATGTGATCTAGTTGGGTCCAATGTTGTGACGACTTTGGGGGGTCGCCATGCCAATAGGTGTCTTTTGTTTGTGCCTAAAGTTAGCATTTACTAGCAATATTCGCTTATCTGAGCAGAGTTACTGCATATAGTCGCCAATATCTGTTCTCTGAGCCGCGATATCATAAGATCCACTCAGGTGTTTTTCCTTTTCACTTAGTCTACCTACTTGATCATTGAAGTCACCAGCCATTATTACTATATTAGAGCGCCTAGCTTTTTGGAGGAGGTCCGAAAGCTTTCTGTAAAACTCATTATTCACTTTGTCTGAACTGCAGTCAGTCGGAGTGTAGGCGGTGACAACGAAGAGACTACGGCAAATGTCCCCGTCTTTGCGAGTCCTTACTGTCCCGTTCAGTTGGATAGCGCGCAAGCGACTATCTACTGGGATCCAGTCCATGAGAGCTGGTTCTGCCGTTGGACTCAATATTATACCTGCTCGGATCCTGTATGCGCGTTTCGTAGACTCAACATACATCCATGGCGCGAGATTCTAATGTCCTAGCTAAGGAAGCCTGTTGCCCTATTTGACACAATGTTCGTACATTAAATACTCCAACATAAAGTCATGAACGGGGTTTCAGGAGACCAGAAATGACGTTTCGGTAATTCAAATCGTTATCATTACCGGTGCGAGGTAATAAGGCAATGTGAGAAGAGTTATTCGAGGAGATAAGGGAAATGTTAGAGGGTGTCGGATGGATTAGATTGTGACCAATGCGGTCTCGTGTGCTGTTACGGGTATGAGGGCGGTTGTCACTTCCCGGCTGACCACACCGTGGAAAGGGGTTTCTTGAGGAACCTGAAAATTAGATTAGTGTTGGTCTTGGAGATCTGTGAGCGTGACCACTGAGCCCAAGAGAAAACTGCTTGAGGTCGGTCACACACGGCTTTTTTTTAGAAGTTTTTAGTGTTAGCTCCGCTTTTGTTTAAAAGGTCTTACCGCCGGAGACGGAAATTCGTGAGGTAGGGTGAGGTGTGACATTTTTAGGGTCCACCTTTTCAACCCCTTGTGAGAAGGCAGCATCGCTGTAGGTGCTGGTTGTCCGATGGAAACACCTTACTGCAGTCAGCAGTACGACTTCGCCCTCAGACCTTGAGTAGTTGCTTTTAGTCTCATCTAATTCCAATTGACCCGTCTGGCATGGTACAAACTACGGGAACATATGTTCAAGCCAATATAGCTCGATTGGGTCATCACTATAGGCAAGCCCGTTCACCACGTCAAGGTAACATCTATGATCGGGCGCAAATACTGATACCAAAAAAATAAACATTTAATGTTCAACCTTACTCAATTGTACTTTGACCTCAGGTAGATGAGGCCATCAATCCTAATATTATTCGTTTTCAGTTTCCTTAGAAAGGAATATTCTTCATCTTCTACAAATCTCCTCCAACACTTCAACTTAAAAACATTTGTTTCGCTTACTACTTAAACTCATTTAAATCCATGTTTTAAACATTCCTCCTATAACTCGATTGAGAACACTAAATATCGGAGCTCTATAAACGTTATATCCTGTATTTTACAACCGTACTGCAAACTGTATATCCTTGCTTCCAATCTTCATCACATATCAGTCAATAAAAGTGACCAATGAAGTCCATTTCAATTAGTTGAGCAGAATAGACAAAAGTAATCCTGAGCCGCAGTGTGAAGTAAGCAAAACGAAATGCGAGATTCAACATCATCATGTTATTTTTGTGAATCAGAAAAAGTAATAACCAACATGATAGCTTGAAAAGAAGGAACTAACCTTAATTTCGGGGTTATTGCAAGATGCTAGTTATGCTTTAAACACTGTGTCAATGTTGGCATACACTTGGAGTCAGAGGTACTTCCAGTAAATCATTTTCAACTATTGATCATCCCACTATCTATAAGAAACACGCCGAAGTCTAATACTGGTGTTTATATGAAAGTTAGAGCAACCGAACCATAGTTTGTTCTGTAAAGTGAACTTTAACATAAATCCATAGGTACCTGACTTAGTTATCAGAAAAAACGTTTAAACCTGAATTTCAAAATGACGAAAGCTTTCATAAAAGCTTGTATTTACTATTTCACCTGGTAACTGGTGATATGCATTTTATGCATAATACAAATTTGAGGTTTTAAGGTTTTAACAGGTAATATAACTCTTGTTGTTACTACGAAAATGATAATACTTGTCTATACAAATGGAGAAGGTAGCTTTTTTGATTTTTTTTTATCACTGCATACTGTCAATCGGTTCTTAGTGTTCTCGATTGCAAGCTTTTTACTGAGCACTAAGCTGGAACGAATTTGCATCATTTTAGATTGTTCCACTTCATACTAACACAGTGAGTGGAAATTAATGAGGTTTTGTTTGTAGTATTCGAAGTGTTGTTAGTATTTATGGTGATAGAAAACTAAGTATTAAGTATACAGTGCAAAATTACTGATCAGCTTTGTTACAGTCGAAATCATGAACCGATCATTGTTATTCCACCATTAGAAACCTGGACATTAACACCGTTGGATGCTGACTTAGAGGCCTAGAGGTTATTCGTTCGCGCGCAAGACTGGACGCCATGGATTTGATTCCCGCGAGCGGTGGTCGTGGATGCGTACTACTGATGAGTCCCATATTAGGACAAAATGATCGTCCAGTGCTTACAGGTTTCTAATGGTGGTCCAACAATGTTTGTTTCATGATTTCAGTGAAAAACAACAATCCTCATAACTCTTTAATGAATTGTTATAATCATCGATGTTTTTATTTATTAAGGGTGCAAAAGTTTAGAGGTTAGAATTCTGTGACAAACTGAAATCCAAATATCGAACTGCTATTAATTATTTAGTCAGGTAGTCTGAAAATTGTCTCCTGGATGTTAGTTGCACTGGATAGATTATGAAAATTAACCACAGCTTTCACAACTACTGTACAAACATATATGACTATAATCTATCACAAAATAAACAAGGGATCACTGTTATCCATTAATTGTCAAATGGTGACGAGTATCATAACTCCTTATCCACACCCTTCAAGTGTTAAGATGTATATTTTGTACTAGTTTATGTGGATAGATATGGAATTTTACTTCAACTCCGTAATGTCATTCCACCAACGAAACTTTGCTCATATAGCTCTTCGCATCAATGGTTTCGATGTTTACTTTGGCCCTGTTCAAATCACTGACCCGTAATCATGAGTTCGAATTTACACCTGGTGGTCTTGTAAGCTTTGGTACCTTTGAAGTAAGTTATAGCTTCTCATTTATTTAATAATTACATTCATTTGCGACACATATTACATTACAATTATTATTTGTCGGTTTACTTTCCTCATAGTGTAAAGCAAACTATCATTGTAATATTTTTACTTGTATTAGCTAGCCTGTTTCCTGGAAATTACTTATCAGTCCTAGACTTTAAATCTACTAGCAATCATTACATCCGATGAAAGTGATGCTTTTCTTAAATATAACATTTGGAAGTATACATATATATGCTCATTATAGTAGAAATAGCCATTATTATATAATCAGTTTATTATCGACAACTTCATGTCGTCCACAAAACATTGTTGAATTTTGGATCTAGAATCGTTATTTCTCGCTGCTTCTAAAAGTCCAAGTCTTATGCAGTTAGCTAAGCTCTCGACTTTGAGTTATTAATGATTTATACTAAAGCTTTATTTATTAGCTAATGTAATCTGTTTTTGTTCGTTTTGTGTCCTCTTGGTTTAGTCATTGAATAATTATAATGCTTATGAGATTCTCATGTTTTTACTAATGGGTCTCATCGGTGGATTATCCGGAGCATTGTTTGTGAAAGCTAATTCAGCGCTAACAATATATAGACAAAAGTAAGTAAAACGTTACTAATAATCGGCTCGGTACTTATCATAACTATAAATTTAACGTTAAAACTAATTATAAACCTTTTAAAATAGGATTTTGTCAGTTGATTTTAGTGTTGACGATGTGACTCAGACTTCTGAACAATATACCCCATTCATCGAGTAGTCATAAATATACGTTTTATATTAGTTGTTCCATCCGATACTACATTTCTGTGTACGTTGTAGGATTTAATTTGTCCTACAGATGTACTTCTAGAACTGTAAACGCAATATTGGCGAGCACAGAGTCTGTTGGAAAGCTATAGTCAAACACAAGACCGATTTGGTTTTAAACTTTATCTGTTTCGACCAATATAGCGTGTCTTATGGAAATGAATAAAGTTGTGAGTCACATCAATATAATAAGATAATAATGTCCTTCAATTAGTAGGTCATTTACAACAAAATAGTTTACAGACACGTCAGGTCAGATCATGTGGTGGGCGCTTAAACCACAATTTAATTGGTTAGTTATGACATAACTACAATTAGTTATGGAAATAACTAACATATGTTGTGTTAGGATAATTTGAAACAGTTAAGATTGAACTATTTTTTCTCTTTCAGAAACATTACAACAAAATATAACAAAATCCTAGAAGCCATTCTGGTTAGTTCGTTAACTACCACTTTATGTTTTTCAATAATGTGGGCTGTTCGTGATTGTAGTCCATTAGCGTATACTACCAGTTCTTTCCCCTTAAAAGTATGTTTTCCCCTGTTGGTTTTTATTTAGCATATTCATTTACTAATATATTGTTTTATTAAAGATATTAGATCGATACAAAGTTGCTTTTTATACACTCAGGTAGTTTTCGTCATTTCTGATGAAGTGGTTAAGTGAACGTTGTTTAGTATTCGTCTTAGATTTCCTGAATTGATCTCAAACTGGACGGTATTAAAAATGGTGCTAATACTAGGCTATATTATAATCGGTTAATATTGATTATGGCACTATTTCGTCTACTTATAACTATTCTAGAACTTGCACTATGGAATTTGTGTGCAAGGAAAGCTGGATGTAAAATGCCTTAGGTACTCCTTGGTCATCTATGTCTTTCCTTTAATACCAGTCTGTAACGATGACCAGGTCTAGCTACTGTTGACTAACTACTCATTTTTACTTTTAAAATCCATTTCATGAAAATGGTTCAGATCTACTATTTGCCTTAAGGTCTCTATCATACATGATAATTAAACAATTGTATTTCTTACCCGAATTTGTTTTAATGATGGCAGCTACTCCACTAAATTTACTTAGCTTTTTCTAGATGATTATAATGTCTTCTGACTATAATTATGAAACACTTTTCTTTTCACACGTGCTGCATATCAGAGACTCTTATTCGAGATTTTTGCAAAGCATTAAACTTAGGTTGTTCATTTGTTGATTTAAAAGTTTCTTCTGTATGCACATACCCAAGAACGTTAATCTATTGAAGTATCAACGGTGTCTACTTTGCACTAGAGAACAAGTAAAGCTAGTTGATGAAATCATTATTTGAAGCCTTACTGTTAGACCGGAATGTTTAATTTATGTGAAGAACAAGTGGCAGGTGGTTTAAAATTTTGTTATTCTTCAAATTGTTCCTACTAATAGTAGCGGAATCCATCCAAAAATTGTATCTACCACTAACCAAATGATAATAATGAAGGACGAACAACGACTATTGCGGGATTAATTGTGTCTTGGATACACAGGTTAAATATCTAGAGTCAATAAAGTAAGTTGTATGACCGACAAAAGCCTTCTCATCCGACTTCATAGTGTAGCTGATATAATTGCACTAATAATTTCGCCGCTAAATTGATGAAACTTGACTCAATGAGACATGAAAATAGCCCGATAAATAGTTGAAATTTTGTTTCACAACCCAATACTAGATTAACTATATTACAACTTAGTATTTATGTCTGAACATTTAAAACGCATTGAAAAATCCAAATTCAACTACCGTGAACACTTTTGTTGTGAGTAAGCATTTCATATCACAATGTTACATGTTTTCACTTGGCTTTTATATATAAGTCTAGAAAATAAAATGATTGTTATCTCATTTGTTGTCAGTCCATAGTATAAATTTATCAACACTGAGTGAATTCAACTTTTAAATATCTTAAGTTCTTGATTAACTATTTATAAGGTTCACTAATCGCCCCTATATATTTTTTTTGTACTAAAAAGATGATGTGTGCAGACAACGAGTTTAATTCGATTTCCTCACTATTATTTTCAACACCTGAACGTTCTCTTCGAACTCTGCTTCACGATCCTGCAATGACATACAGTATTTCAGTGTTAACCATATTTGTGCTTGTATACTATTTCTTGGCATGTATTACGTATGGACTGTCCGTTCCTGCTGGTCTATTCATACCATCTTTGTTGATTGGCGCTGGTTGGGGTCGAATCATAGGTGAGTAGTTATTTCACAGATTTTTATATTATTTTGAAATTGGTACAACTATTACGTCACTTCTAAAATATACTCCACTGCATCCTTAACATATGGAAAGCATTTGTGCTAAAAAGTAATGAGCAAGGTAGTGTATTTTCGATTTCAGAATGAACCGTAAAATCTGAACAGTTAACGAATTTAAATATAAGGAAAGGTATTATAACATCTATGCCATGTGCTCGTGCAAATTATATCAAATTAAGCTAATGACCATAGCGATTTTCAGGATTCTAATTTACTAATTTAAGACTGTATCACCTCCATGAATGCCGTGTGCCAATAAAATACTTTCAGTATTATGTTTTGAACAACCTACAGAACCAGTTCTTTGTTCTACCCTTGGGTAATACGACGAAGTAGATGCTATTAATATGAACTGATTTAATACGGCTTTTTTTAGACTAAATGACTAAGCTTCAACGGTGACAACCGCGCGTAACTAAACAAAGAACTGACGACAGAAGTTTTATGTCTTAATATGAAGCAATCAAAACTGCTAACATCTCTGTCTCATGCCACACTAGCACAACGAGATGAAATTGTCAAAATGAATAACAAAGAAGTAAAAATAGTGCAATAGCGGTGAGAATGGGAAAAACAAAACATTGAGAATATGTTCCTAGATGTGAAATGGTATATACAAAAGAATACTAGAACTCAAGATCTAGACGAAGATAAGGTGTCAGTCAGTCAGTTACAACGTAGAACTTTGAACGAACGTATACCATACCACATTAGCATAGAGACATAATTGTCAATTCAAATCCTATATCAGTAGAGGTAGTAAAAAGTATTAGCAGTAATCGGAGAGATTAGAGTTCAAAGATTTTATTCAAGCTTATTTCACCAGATTATACTTCTTGAAAAGAGAAAGAGAAAGGCACTGAAGAATCCAGAGGATTGGGATTTGAGAGAAAACAAAGAATGGATGCACCTGCGCCATTACAAAGTTTTGAGGCATGTCATTCCACATCTCTAATCATCTGTTACTATCGTCTCACGGACCCCAACCAGGTAGCCTACACCTACCAACATGACTCAGTCCACTTGTCAGTGATTCCATGGATTTGTGCCATGTTTTGGTTTGGCTGACCCTAGCTTTCTTCCAACCTACTCCTTTACCACAAAACATAACTGGACGAGGCAGTCCGTGGTTAGGCATACGTAACACATGTCCTTTTTCTAACGACAGCATTGCTTACTCGGTTGTCTCAGGATACACGAGCAATGCTCCGAAGACATCTATGATCGAATACTAGTAACCCACCAATATCTTCTACGCTTATAGCTAACTGATAGTGGCTGTGTTTGTTTGTGCTTAAGCTGCTTCCGCTCCTCATCATTCCATAGCCAGATGGAATGAGTTTCCAAGCATCCGCTGCTTCTCCCTTACTTTAAAGTTTACCTTACTGACAGATATCACTGCTGTTTCCACAGCATTTTGTATATCATTCCAAGCTGCCTTGGGGTGGTCTCAATTACATCGCTGTCTAACTTTTTCTAGTTACTCTTGAAATATACTCTCGACTTTGCCGTCGTTAAGTATAACCCATAGGGGTTTCCTGTCTGTCCGAAGAGGGCTGTGCTGTCTTAGAATACTTAGCAATGCTGTATGTTGTTTCTGTATATCTTTCTCTGTTTAAGAAATCAACGACATTTCTATTTCGTTAGTTTCCGCCAACCGTGTTATTGTAGTATTGTATAAGCACGTGATTTTACGAATATCAGTTGGTGAAGTAACATAGTTCATGGAACTCAAGTATTCAATACTTGTCATCTTTCTAAGGTGCAAAACTGCGTGTGAAATTCACCTAAAGTTTGTCGACCCACCTAAATGAGTCTTTATTAATTATTTTACTGCACGAATTTATAGTTCTTTTTATTCACTTTTATGCTTAATTTAGGAAATTTAATGCATAACTTCGATCCAATTCATTTCTCTGATCCCGGTAAATTCGCACTAATTGGAGCTGCTGCACAGTTAGGCGGTATCGTTCGAATGACATTAAGTTTGACTGTTATTCTAATGGAGGCAACAGGAAATGTGATTGTTGGACTACCTTTGCTAATGACTTTGACTGTTGCTAAATATATGGGTGATTGTTTAAGCGAAGTAAGTTATCAGGTTTGATTTTATTTTATAAATTGATGGATTAGTAGTTCAATATTACTCTTTATTCTTGTAATCCGGTCTTTCTTGTATTGGCCTTCGATTTATTACAGGGCATTTATGATGAACATATTGGATTGAATAGTATGGCTTTACTACCATGGACTCCACATTCGCTATCAATAACTAAGCGAGCTTATGACTTGATGTCTAATCCAGTTGTGTATTTGTATCCTATTATGCGTGTTGGCGAATTAGTTGAACGGATTAAAAATAATTTACATCATGGATTTCCAGTTGTAGTGGGTTCCACAGATTCATCAAGATTTTCATATGGTACCTTAGTTGGAATGATTTCTTCGGAACATTTAGCACTACTATTGAAGAAACGTGTACGTTACCTTCTTTTGTCGCTTTAATTTTTTTCCTTATCACTATTATGTTAGTTATAGTTTTTTTTATCCGTTTGAGTTATCGATTCAAGTTGATGCAGAGTGTAACATAGAATCATTACATTATATTTGCACATATCAATATATTTTAAGCGTCTTACTTTCAATCCATCAAGAGTTTTATGAATGGAAACCAATTGTTTATTGTTCTGGTTTTCAAGCTTGTAACCATTTTTGTTAAATGGATGCAAGATTGTGTTTAACAAACCGGAGGTTCACCTATGTTTTATCTCACAATGTCACTGAGGCAGGAACGCTTCTAAATTTAGTAATTATGCAACATCTTAAAATGCTAACAAAAACCTTATTATCACATTATCAAATTTAAAAAGAATATCGAAGACAAGACTGAGTATAACATTAAAAAGCTTAGCATGGAAATACCATTTTGTTTGCCAATGAGTTTGCATCCCCTAGGAAGCATTAATGGATGAGGTGTACCGCTTTTAACAAGACAAGGGATTGGGTTTTTAAAGCATCTTGTGAAAAGTATTGGTTATTTTCTAAGGAAAAATTCTATCAGTCTTTCTGGGTTATTAAGACAGCCTATTTCTTTCTTAAAACATATTTTGGTACATCCAAATATTTGTAATATGAAGCTTAATTAAAGCTTTTACGCGACTCACTTCAATCGGTTATTGTCTACACTTTAAACTAAGTATAATGATGTCATCGATTAAATAAAGCTTTATATTGCTGTTAGTGATAAACTAATGGCCAGACGTGATTCAATAGTAGCATATTAATTCACTCATTAGACTGTTGGCTACGTGATTTGTTTATGTGTTTGATAATACTGTGTTACTAAAACCAAGCTAAATAAGTCCTTGAACTTTGTATCAAATTACTTAACAAACAGTTGTTTTAATTTCTTAATTACTATTTCATAACTTAACAAATTATTTAATGCAGATTTTTCCTTATAATAAATATCATTAATTCTTGTAAATTTTTTTCTTTAAATCGACTTTTGTGTATTTAGGCATTTTTATCTAAAGATGGTAATATCGTTTATTCGTTAACCTATAAAGATTATGATGATGCTTATCCATCCTATCCAAAGTTAGGTGTAAGTTAACAGATTTTTAAAAAAATAGCTTTGAAAAGTTGTCTTTTTTGATCAAATTGTCTGTTTCACTTACTGAGTGAGATTAAAGTCTTAGCGTGTGTTACTGGTTTAAAATGATTCAGTTTATGATAGACTGATTTTTGTTTCAGGTTATTAAATGTATTTGTTCGGTTCATAGAAATCAGTTCAATTTTAAGATATCTTCTTTCTGGAGAACAATTTAAAGTCAAAATTCGCTGGATAGTTGTTTTGTTTTTGCTTGGTTGTATTAATATTTGGAAATATAGACCGTTAAATTAAAATTCATTGATGTACAGGTATCATTGGAGAAAGGTTTTAGGTCTGGTCATATGTGGTATCATTACTGAAGAGTCTAAGGCTAGAATAAAACGACTGTTCAATGCTCCATATTTTTCAGTAGTCCGTCACGAAATCAGGATGATTAGACAGCTGTTTCATATTACTTTCGGGCTTGTACAACGATGATGTCGATCGATTTTAGTAATCGCTTGAACACCTTCAGACTGCCTTGTTTAACTCAAGCAGTTTTCATCTGTGATTAGATATTTCACAACTTCGGTAAATTAATACGATTTCTTACACATCTTTTAAAGCCAGTTATTACATATTCATCTATTCCTGGTTTGCTTAAAATAATAAATACCACTCTACCTTCAAAAGCTAAGGAGTTCTATTTATAAATTAAGCGGTCCCTCTCGTAACCATTGATGCACAAAGTGTTTATAATAAATTTGTTCCACTGTTCACCTTTATTCATTGTTTGTTGGCACATTAACATAAAGAAAACATCAAGGTTACAGAAGCCGATGCAGTGTTCAAACTCAAAGGAATTAACCATTACTCCCTATATATAGCATGATATATAACTGTTTCATAAACCTCTCACTTACTCCAATAATTAACAACATGACCTATCTGCATAAATCCAATCAGATCGAGTTCTTCTAAACTTCTGTTCTAGTAAATGAAAAGTAAGCCACTACCACTAAGCATAAACCTTGTTGAAATGGAATTTTGTTAGTGATCGGTTAAATTTCATATACACTTGGTTTTGAAATGTACATTTTGATTAATGATTTATGATACTACCTGACTGTTGGCTTAGTAATGTTGGAATCTGCACCTAAGAGATTGAACCTCTAACTATCGCTTTACTACTACATTCGAAATCTCTAACTTTATTAATATTATTTGATTACCTTAGGGAGTTTAGATAATGAAAAATATGAAAGAAATGCGAAGATTGCAATGATATTATACACATTTTGGAATTATTTTTGATTTATTAAGCTTGTTCAAAATTCAGATGTTTTTAGTTATATTTTTTTGTGTCCTTTTTCATTTTGATAGGATGTTTTAGCGAATTTATCATGTGATGATATGGACGCCTACTTAGACTTGAGGCCATACATGTGTGAAGCACCTTATAGTGTCCCAGAGGTGAAATTGTCTTTTTTTAAAAAAAAGCGGTTGTAAAATCTATTCTTCTTGTAAACATTTTGAGTAACATTGTTCATATGCTTTTTCCATAAGATACTGATGTGTTGTTTCACTGTAAAAGTGTACAATGTTCTGTTAGTTTGTTTCAAAACATTTTAGTACTGATTATTTAGAAATCACAATTTTATATTATTCACCCTACCGCTGTAAATAGAGCTCGCTACAACATGGGCTCTATTCGTAAACTAAAAGCCTAGTTGATTACCCTTGTATATTGTAATCAATAGATGCAGGTTCGAGAATATATGAAATGAAGCTTTACCCGTTCGATCATGTAAATAAATTCTGCTGACGATTTTAAAACATGCTTAGAAACGAATTATTTGCCCAATAGTTTGTATAACTTTTATTTTATGGGTGTTAACTTGTCATTATTTGATCTGTGATATGTTCGATCGTAAACGTGGATAGACCCTATGATCGAATCTACGTCCATTGTTCATAATGATGTTATGTTTGAACACCGAACAGGAAACTGTATTGATCACAGAAAGTTTCATTTTCAGATAACAACTTTGAGTTATGTTTAAGTGAATAAAAAAATCAACCAAAAATGAACTGAAAAAAGGATTTTTTCAAAATGAAATCTTGTACATTTGAAACTAAAAGCCAATTTCAGCAAGTTAAAAAGTTGCATTCCCAGTGGTCACTCCTTAAGTTCATACCGAATCACTCTGTAAACACTAACATATGACTATAGTATCATCAGTAGCAAAAGTAAAGGTATTCCTCAGTGTCCATTCATCTTATTAATTATGTAGGATCAGGGGTGATGCATAATACTGGGTAGTGAGAGTCTGATTTATAGGTCACTAAGAATTGTAAAATGAATCACACAATAACAAGCTAGCTATTTGTAAATTACAACTAAGAAATCTGATTTATGTTAGGAAAGTGTTAAAAAAGTACATCGAATCTGTGAAAAACTTGCCCACAATCGATACATGTAAGCTATCAATTTTTTCTCGGATTTTTGTCTACCAATTCTTTTTTATCGGGAACTATTCATTCTCTGTTTTATGAAATAAATAATAAGAACTTCTTGGTCACTTGGGTTTTAACATGATATTTGATAAAATTGCTACTTTTACACTGATATACATCTTCATATTTGACAACACAATCCACAGTCAATACCTTAAAACTTGTTGAATAATTCTTGTTGATGAAATACAGAGTGCCTCAATCTTTTGAAGATTTATTAATTTAATTGAATTTGCTTTATTATGTTATCCTTTTCAAGGATTATGTCATTTCTGTTACGATTTGATCATGCGATCAACTTGATTCTTTTAATTTTAGACTATGACAATGACTCGTGTTTATCATCTTTTCCGTTTACTGGGTCTCCGGCATCTACCAGTCGTTGATAATCAAAATCAAGTATATTACTAACTTTGCATTTTTTTTTAATCCTGTATATATATATATCGAATTCATGCTTATAATTACAATTTGTTGATATCATAAATATAAGTGTGATTTTATTGAAAGTTACAAAGGAGTGTTTAGCCTGTGATGCCTCTGTTGTCTTCTCAATCCTACTATTGAATTGAAAAAAGGACCCTTTTTATTTGAAACGGAGCAAATAAAAGCACGAAGGATTGGTGAAAATGAAGATTTATTGACTTGTTAAAAACTCGTCCAAAATCGCATCTTGAAAACCTTTCGATCTTAGTTGACAAATAATGTACATCCTTGCACGACTATCAAATTTTCTATGTTGTATTTCCTTATAAATACATACTGTCCAGTTAATAATTGTATGGATACTTTTAGTTACCCATAACCATCATTCTGTATTAACAACTCCTTGGTCTTATAAGGACTTATGTCCCATCATAAGAGTTATGTTCCAAAACCATATTTACTCACAATTTATGAGGTAGATAAACTTGAATCTGATAATAAATTCATTTCAAAAAACCTTATAACACTGAGTTAGTGAGAATACATTGGATTTAATCTTCACTTATTATTTGCATACTACTAACAGATGAGTATACTTTCTTTTGGCAAATTAAGCACTACTTTCATAATTATTTACATCTAAAAGTTGTTAATGACGTAGATAATTTTTAATTCATATTTATTAGGTTTTGTTGAAGCATAATTTTCACATTTGTCAATAATGAATGAACTGAAAGTACTTTGATAAATTCATTAATTTCCTTGAAACCGTGAATTGGTCAGTGTTAGATCACCATTGAAACCATAGAAGCATTAGACAGTAGTTTTGCGAATGAATGAGGCCGTGCAATATGGTGGATTTTTTGATGTTAAACAATAAGACCATTAAGTGTCGGCTGATTAGTCAAGAGGTCAAGCATTCACCCGCAAAGCCGAAGGTCCTGGGTTCGATTCCCGCCTGTACGGTTGTGGATGCGCGCCGTTGATGAGTTCCATACTAACAGAAAACGGCCGTCCAGGTTCCTAATGGTGGTCTGAAGTTGATCGATTTATGATTTCAACGAAACTCAACAACAATTTCCAAAACTTTATAATAATGATTAACTTCTACTTTATTCTCAGGTTCGTGGAATCATTACACGAAAAGATTTGAGACGTTTTAAATTCCAGTTTGTCAGTGGTGAGTATCATGTGGAAGAGCTGATTTTTTCACGTAAAATGTAACAACCTTTATTCAATGTCCATTTTTTTTTATCAATCGATCATTCTTTGATATTTTTGTATATCTATGATGATGGTTATGATTATGATGATAATTGTGAATAAAATAAACATTAAAATTCACTGATTTATTATTCGTTACTGTAATAATTATTATTATTTCTATGTTATCTGCTTTGTGGTTTACCGAAGGAATATTAAATTTATTATTATTATTATTCTGTAGTATTTTATTTTCAGTAATCTACTGGTTGTTTCTTACTTTTATTCCTATTTGTTATAAACCTTTTTCTTTATGATTGTTTACTTTTAAACCAATCTTTTTTTTATATATATTTTTCTGTGTTTTCGTTCAAAATCACTATTGTAAAATTGTGTATACACATCAACGGATTGAATTGTGCTGTTTTTGATAATTTGGTTATATTTCGAAATTTTTTCGTTAATAAATCTGTATTATCTTTTGAATTGTATTAACTTTGAATCAATTTACTAGAAATTCAGAAAAAAAAAGCAAATCTAGATACATTGAATAAGACAACTACGGAAGATCCAAAATTTCTCCTTAGTATTCAAGCATGATTTTATGCTTTAAAGGAGGTCATATATCGTACCGACTCTGGAATTTTTGAAAAGCAATTGACATTTCAAATTTTATCACATTTGTCTGTAAAGTTTTTGCTTCAGTATTTCAACTAAAAAATAATGCTAGTAAACGATTTGAATACTATCTAAAAGACATGGCATTACCAGATAATGAAAACGAATTTTGCTATAATTAGAGATAAATCCAAATAACGGAGTCGAGGTACATAGTTTTCTCTAATTCCAACTATCCATTTCGTTTGACTAAATACAATTTATCTACTTTTCAACCAATTTAGTTTGCTTCGTCTTTAAGTGTGTTCATTTACTGGGAATGTCACATCCTGAAGAAAATGCTTATATGTTGTTGGAACTGATTTCATTCAAATCAAATATCTTTTGATATTATTAAGTGCCATATATGTGAATACTTCTTGCGAGTTCTGTTAGGTTTATCATATTGTATACAGTTTTTCAGGTGTTGAATGAGAGACATCAGTTTTCTTTCAAATAAATCAACCGGATGTTGCTTTTGATATTAACTAAATTAGATGGAAGAAGGTACTCTCTCAGCTTCAGTAGTCACCGAAACGAACCTGTTTACTATAGACATGGTTACAAAAGAAACAATGTTGAATTAAACAAGCAGTTAAGATAAGTCATTCAGTTAAAGCGAATACGGTAGTTAATACATAGTTGAGTGAACGTTTAGAGATCCTAAAATACTAGTAAACAGTCTAAAAACCAGATTGTGAATCATACCAGCAACATATTTATTTCATATAGGAAAAACTAAAAGTACAATTTAAGCGTATAGGAAATTGCTGTAGATGTACACAAATAGCTGCATCTATTAACAATTTCATCGAAGGTACGGAGCAAGTAGGCACAATTTTTTTTATAAACACTGGAGAAGTTTAAAGCCTGATGCGTAGATTGCAATAATCTCTTCAGACTAGAATGTAATGTCAGGATTAATGTAACACATTATTTGTATTTCATAAATTCGGCTCCTTCCATGGTTTTTTAATTAAATAAGGGCAAGGCTTTGCGTTGAGCAGCGTCGTTAGGACCTAAAGTCTGACATAGTTTATCTTGTAACTTTGAAACACAATCAAGCAATATAACTTCAGAAATAACCCACAGGAAAAATGGAGATTCTATATAGAAAATCAACTGTTCTCTCTGTGGCTGAATCGTAGTTAGACATCGTGGTCGAAATAAAATATTTCTTCAGTATCACTTAATCCTTTAACGGCTCAGTATATGGTTCTTCATTAGGATTGTTAAACTCATCAGTCACTCGCAGCGACTGATGCCAAATGATTGCAGTCTAATACTTAATCGTTCAACCAAGCTAATCGGTTTCAGGAACTCTATTCGTGCATCATTTAGTTATCGGCTGTCAACTAATCAAATCAAGCTAATCTTTTTCCAGTTAATCCATACAGCGGTATTTTAGCACAATCGATTTCTATCCAAGTCGTTAAAAAATGGAGAAGTGCAGATCTAAATATGGTCAAAATATCAAATGAAACCAATTTTTTTAAGCGCTAATAGACCACCTTCGAAAAGGACTTTGAATTTAGTTGATTAAGCTCACTTTAAAGTTATTATATATTTTATATTATCTAGCTGTAAACTGAACGACTTTGCAAAGTTAGATTAAAGTTGACAAAACGTCTCATCGCACGCATTTTGATTATTGCTTAGTTTACATAGAATCCCTATTATTCTTGCTAGTCTCCTACAGAATTTTAGCTCAATACGAAAATGTTATTGAGTTGTGAATAGCTTTTACTCTATTTAAAATCAAAATATCCTGGATTGAGTCCAGTGTAGCTTATTGCATCTTTCTTTTAGGCTATTAATAACCAGTTGTAGTTGAAAGTAAATGATACTTAGAATCACTGATGTTTGTGAATATTGAATTCATATTATTAAGTTATCGAGGTGAATACTGAACAGATTTCATCGTATTACTTATATATTATATCATCATTTATATCATGTTCAGTGAAGAGTGAATTTTTCAGAAACCTGGTAATGTTATTGGTTGCAAGAGTTCTCGCTTTTCTCACCGTTTATGTTTAGTGTTCATGTTGACCAGTCTCTGTTAGTATAATGCCTCTGTTGATGAATTGTTCTCTATCACTTGTATTTAAAGATTGGAAATCGTGATGTAGTCGTTGAGTGAGACAAGTCTCTTGTGTCTATGGTAAACAAGTGCTAGATTTGCAAGTTAGTGTATCAAGCCTAGAATGTAAGTAGACCAAATTGACAAGTTTTAAATGAGACGAAAGTTTAATCTTAGAATTTATTACTAATCGCTATTCAAAAATAATTACTATGGTAACAGTCTGTATTTTATATCGGTTGTGCATGATTATGATAGAAATCTTATACTAGTCTTGAAATTCTATTACTAAATGGTAATGACTCTACAATCGTCTTAAGATTCACATATATCAATCATTAGAGACTAATTCATTGTTCAGTCCTTAACATCAACTGCGGGAAACAAGTATAAACACTTGAGAAAATGCTTTATTTTTTTATTCAATCATATAAGAATGCGTATTAATTTGACATGCTGATTATTGACTTTGTCATGTTAAATAATTTAGTATTTCATTGAACTGACTGTCGTGATATGTTATGTATATATATATATATATATATATATATATATATATATATATATATATATATATATATATATATATTTGGGCTCTGTCACATTCTATAAGTAATAATAATGATAACATATGACAACTTGTGGAATCTGTTATCTTCATTATCGTGATATTATATGCATATATGTTTATCACAGGTTATTTATAAATTACAGATTAATATTTGACAATATGTATCTTGATTGTCGTTATAAACAATGCCCTATTGAATAGTTCAATGTTAAAGCTTGACAGAAATAAGTTTCACAGGTTGTGGTCTCTTTTATAGAAATGCATCTTTATAATTTATGCTATTGGACCATATGAACAAGGAAGGGTTAAGCTACTATCCATACTGACTGATAAATTTCGCTATTCACATTGGAGTATCGCAATTAAGAAAAATATTGTATCGTATTCTGATTGCTTTTGAAGTGCATTTATATCATATGTTAAAGTGTGTCTGAAATGAATTCATATTTGTTGCATTTGGGTTCTGTGGATTTTCTGCACTAATTTACTTAGTCATACTTGAATATAACTAATTACTTGATATCAATCATATATATATATATATATATATATATATATATATATATATATATATATATATATATATCATTTAGATAACTGATATCTGTCACTCATTATAGTCTACATAGTAGCCAGTAGTTCGGTTGATTAAGATTCCATAGATTATTCGTCTAGTTGGTGAACTGTATATCTGACTTCACAAATTCTAAAAACAGACTTTAAAATCTGTTTTAGTCAACTTTACTTTTCTAATTTTAGCCGTTTGATTTTTTTTAATCAGCGCTTTTTTATACAATAATTAACACTACTTGCTTGTTTATCAAAGAAATAGTTTTCACTGGTGGTAACAGACAATATCTGAAGTATAACTGGGAGCAGTGGAACATCGGACGGAACATCTTATTCATGTTTAATAACAACGTAACATAGAATCGAACTTTGCGCAATCGGCTGTCATGGTAAACGCAATACGAACTACCTACCGAACAAAAATTCATTGACTGTCATTTCCAAACTTAATTTATATTTAGTACAAAGTTTTTTTTCGAAATCATTGAAAAATACTGTTATTAACTTCTGACTTAGTTGACTTTGCATATTATGATTTCTCATATAAATCCAGCAATCTAATTCAAAGTTCATTACCAATAGGTAAACGATTATCTATCATATAGTATGTTGATTTAGCAGTTAACAATAGTTTATGGAAAAGATTTTTAAACTGTACAAAGTCTGAAGAAACTAATCTGTTTCATTTGTTTTGGTAGTCAAAGTTTTATTTAGCTTTGTAATGTTAATGTGCATAAGCAAAAAATAACAAAATGAAAATTCAACCAAAACCTACTTCGTAGTTTAAAATAATCAGAAACCAGAAAATAAGTCTTGTAATATTTATGAAAAAAAGTCTCGCAAATTCTCACTGGAATTTTGAAGCTGTTTGAAATTTGTGTTTCTTGTCGTATTTGTATCAGCAAATTTCCCTTTCATTTAATAGAACAGATAAAGAAGACAAATCCGAAATCATCTAAAGGATGGGTTTTATCAATTACGGAAGGCGTTTTACTCCATTTACTCATTCAAAAACGTAAATTATCAGTCAACCAATAGTACATATTGAAGATGGAATTACTTCTTATTATCGGAAGTAACATTAAATATATCAATGATCTGTAGGCGACAGTTATAATAAAGTATTACTTTCCTTGAATAGGTAGCCAGTTAAGTCGAAATGACTTATATTAATATATCTAGACAGCTCAGGACGCAAATTCATTTAGAGAGGTGATGAATCAATAATTCAAGTTCATTCTGAGAGTGCAAGAGAGTCCTGCTAATCAGGCTAATTTACAACTATTAGATATCTCATCCTAGATCTCGTTTATCAACCGCTAAAGATAAGCTCAATCAATTATACCGGAAAGAAACATGGAAATGATAATGTTTAAACTAAATTAGCTCATTAGAATATCACAACCTTATTAGGAGCATTTACTTCAGTTACGAATTTTCTGCATTATTGATAAATCTTCAAGTTGACAATTTTTACCTATTACCCTATGTTACCAGAGTAGTAATCTGTTTTATTCAATTATTGTTTACTGTCAGTCATTAGACATTGATTCAATGAAAGTTTCAAAATTATTCATATTGCAACAGATCATTTATTCACTTTTATGTATTATATTCAAATTATTCAGAATTAAATTGATTGGTCAAATTATTATTTGAAATCATAAACCAAACAATGTTCGACCAGTATTACAAACCTGGAAGTACAGTATGGGACTCATCGTCAGTGCACATGCATGATCCCCGTTCGCTGGTCCTTCGGTCTCGCAGGCGAACGCTTAAATTT